CAAGCACTCTAATCGATTGCGACGCCACAACTCCAACGACAATCAACAGCTGGGAGTGGGAATGACTGTCTGAAGTTTAGTGTAAGTGTCAATTTTGATCCGATTTTTCGAATAAGACAGTTGTGGCCAGCTTTTCAAATTATTGAACAGATTTGACCCAATGTTTGGGTTGACCGTTATTTAACACCCCTAATCAAGGTTGACACCCGTCCATTGCACCTTCAACATCGTTAGGGAGGAGCGAGTTGATGTCATTGCTGCATCGTGGGGAGAGGAGGAAGCAAGGCGCAGCTGAAGCAGAGCTCGATAGGGGCTAACAGCAGTCTGATCGATCTATCGGAGCACGATCTGGATTGACCGTCATTGGTCCCGGGAGTTCAAGAACGATTGGAGCCGATTCCGCAATGGCTAGCGATGTTGGTAGCCGGGAGAGCCTCTACAATGAGGAATGTACGAGGTAATTCACTCTCGCTATAATTCTCCATTGTTAGCTGAATTATTACCTCGGGGAAGAAGTCATGGATTCATGGGACAAGTGGGGATTAACAGTTAAACGTGAAGCGGGGGTAGAGATTTTGGTTAATTAGTGGGTATTGCTCTTTGCATTAATGGGATTGATTCTCATCATTGCTACTTGGTATGTACGAGGATGATCAATTATTTCACGAGTAAAGGGTGGTGGTCGAGTGCAAGGGAGTTGGAGCATTGGGTTACTATAATATTCAGGGTCGGTTTATAATAAAATATAAACAAAGTATCAATTGATAAATAAAAATCATTCCATTATTTAAAAATAATCTCTATCTAATATGATCTGTAATAAAGAGTGACAATGATTTAAATAGTAAGATATAATTAAAAAATTGATTATAATTTTAGAACAATCAAATAGTATAAACAAAAATAGAATAAACTAAATTAGATAGGAGAAATTGATAATTTTCTTAGTCTAAAATTAAGTATGGTACAAACTATTTGTAATTGATTTAGTTATTTTTCCTTTTCTACTATTGGTGACTTGTATCTAATTATTTTTGTTAACATTTAATAAATCAATGTAAATTATTTAATTAATTTAGCATTACTGCCTTGTTAGTACAAACAGGTTAATTAACAAAATTGAATTATTTTTCTCCTTTAAAAGTTGAAAATGAAGAAACTTACATTAATAAATTTAATAATGCTAATAATAAGGCATCACCAATCTTACATCTTTTATTATTTAGGAAACACATAAGAAAATGAGTTATGTTATATGGTTTGAAAAAATTTTAATAATTAAGAAAGCAAGCTTTTCCCTCATGTGATATGTTCGTTCTTTTAGCCTTCGATCTTAAATTTTGTAATATTATTGTTTTAGACCCATAATCAAAACACAATACATAAATTTTCTATCATTTTAAATTCATAATCAAAATCCAATAATCGTTAAATATAATTAGTCATATACGCGATGCACGTCCGGAGGGCCCAAAATTTGGATGTCCTGTGTCGGAGGGCGTGCCAGTAGGCCTGACCAAGAGGGTGTGCCAAGAAGCCCTCCGGCACAGGGCCTCAAATTATTAGGGGCCTCCACCTATATATGTTAGTTAGTCTGATCGTATATTGTAGGTTTTATTTGTAGTGTATGATTAATTGATTATGAGTATGATAATAGGTTTAATTATATTAATTAATATTAGTGTTAGCCATTGATATATATTCTCAAGTATATATACATTAGACACTTATATCAATTGTTAAAATATTGTTTGTGTTTTGAAAACATAATACAAGATAATTTTAATGGACTAGTTATCATAATAATTGAAATTATTTCATGGAGAATACAAAAATTAGACGCATAATAGATAATATTATTTTAAGTAATATTAGAAAAATATTAAATTTCAAATAATTATGATATAATCATTTGGATGGCCTTGCATACTAGCACACCCTCTGGGCCCAAAAAAGATAAGGTCTTCCCATTTACTGTTGGGAGTATAGGTGTCAATCATGCGGGTTCGGGCTGGGTTCAATCGGGTTCGGGTTCAAACGGGTTGCGGGTTAGTCGGGTTGCGGGTTCATCGGGTTTGGGTTCATCGGGTTCGGGTTCAAACGGGTTGCGGGTTAGTCGGGTTGCGGGTTCATCGGGTTCGGATTCAATCGGGTTGCGGCAAATCGGGTTGCGGGTTCATCGAATTTTGGGTCGGGCGGGTTGCGGGCGGGACGGGTTTCGGGTTGTTCGGGCCTGCGCATCAAGTAACTTAACTCATTACTCATTACCAACTTACACATTTTATTACACTAATTTAAAATATTTTCTCAACTTTTTAACCAATTTATTTCTACCTCGTATATATATACTTTATTTTTTTGAAAAAAATAGTCAAAATGTTAAATCAATTTATATGACTTGCAAACTTGTTATGTAATTAATCATAATTGGTAAAGTATTATAGCTAATAGTAATGGTGATATCAATATTTGCAACCAAAAGACACCGTTAATTGTTTATTTGATATTTTAGTATTAATTCAGTAGTAATTGGATTAAAGTATCTCGTTTAGTATAAGCATGCAAATCTTGTATTTGGTGTGTGGTATTTGGCAAAAGCATAGTGATGAAAGGAGTTATTTCAAAATAACTCATTGCCCAAATAACTTTAGTAAACTGTTGCCAAACGAGTTATTTGTAAAATTGTTCGAATTATCCTATAAATTGAACCATTAAAGATTAGCTATCAAATTTAGTAAAATTATTGTGACTTCAATCATAACTTACTCAATAGCATATATCCTATACACTTAGCTTTACCCTCAATCAACAATATTAAGTTAGTATATGTTGTTGATTGTATATCCTAAACCATCAATACATTATACACTAACCACATAACCTATACCCTAATCAAATGTCCTTGAGTTGTGATTTTGCTAGTATAGTTAATTTAAAAGTGAAATTCATACTTTGATTTTCAAAACATAGATAAAAAGTGATATTTGCTAATCATTGGCGGATCCAGGGGGTGGCCACCCCAGGCCCCAGCCCAGCCCTCCTCTCGATCCGTAGTTACTATAGTCCTTATGAAATTTTTGATTTTAGACATTCAACCCAAAGATTATGCGTCTTAAAAAAACAATGAAACCTAAAATTATAAAAAGTTAAAAACATAAAAGACTAAAAGAAATATGAGGTTTGTTCACTTACAAATTTACTAAAGCAGCTGGTGTGCAGAGATGGACACACAATGTAAATTGATTAGTCGATTGATTTATCTAGTGTTGATGCTGCTCGTTTCAACAGCTACTACGAAGAGAACCTTTTTAACAATGAAACATGTGAGAACTGATTAGCTCAACAAAATGAGCAATGAATTTCTCGCCGATTGCTCAAGTATTTTATTTGAAACAGTGTATACTATTGGTATGGATGTAGACTTCATTATTGATGCATTCCCTAAATTAAAATACAGTTGTGTACAATTTACATTGCAAAAAACTATAATCATTATATTTTTTTTACGGTTCTAATTTTCTAATGAAATGCGGCCCAGTGCTCTTCTGTGTTCTGGATCCGCCGCTGTTGCTAATTGTTATACACTAACCACATAACCTATACCCTAACCATATGTCCTTGAGTTGTGATTTTGCTAGTATAGCTAATTTAAAAGTGAAATTCATACTTTGATTTTCAAAACATAGATAAATAGTGATATTTGCTAATTGTTATACCCTAACCATAGATCCTATACTTTACACCACATACCTTGTACCCTAACCACGTACCATAAACATAAATTAAAAAGGGATCTCCTGCCGTTAAAGACTTCAAATGACTTCAAGTGAACATAAGTTAATAAAAAACTTAGAACCGTCAAAACCATCAATATCTTATACCCTAACCATATACACCCTAAACCATATGTACCTTATACCTTATACCTTATACCCTAACCATATACTTTATATCCTAAACAACGAACCGTCAAAGATTACTTATCAAGTTTAGTATAAATTGTTGTAACTAATGGTTAATTTATTTATTAGCCCATAAAAAAATTACATACATATATACATATTAGCCTTCAAAGCATATAAGAATGATTTTAACTAGTCATGCCCTCCATATAAAAATTAAAGATTCATATTTCAAAAGCTAAAATTATGAAAAACCAAAAAATTGAAAACACCAAATTTGTTTCCTTCTTTCTTTTCACAAAAATACTAAAATTTCTCTCCTTCTTTCTCCTTCCATACATTAGAAAAACTGAATTTCCCCTCCTCTTTCTCTTCCATAAAATTGAAAGAACCAAATTACCCTCTTCTTTCCTTCTATAAAAAGTTGAAAAGTCAAAAGTTTCCCTCCTTATTTCTTTTTCATAATCAAAAGAATCAAACTTTCCCACTTCTTTCTCTTCCCACATATCAAAACCACCAAAATTCCCACTTGTTTCTTTTTCTAAAAAATTCAAAGAACCAAATTTCCCTCTTCTTTCTCTTCCCAAAAACTTGAATACACCAAAATTTCCCTCTTCTTTTAAAAACAACAAATTACCAAATACATTACTTTACTTTATTTATATTTAATTGATAATTTTATTGAATAGTAAAATTAACAAAAATTTTAATTTATATATTATATTAATATTGTCATGATCTCAAGTGACCTTCATGTTTCAATTTTTGTAATTTTCTTAAAATACGTAATATCAAGTGAGTTTCATATTTTTAAGATTTCTTATACGAAATGAAAAAATAATTTTAGTTAAGTTTATAATGAAAAACTTTATTTTGAAAAACTATGTATTGTATATTTTTATAATTATTCAAGTGGATTATATGAAATTTGGGTTGAGTCGGTCGGGTTAGTCGGGTTCGGGTCAATCGGGTTCGGGTTAATCGGGTTGCGGGTCAGTCGGGTTGCGGGTCAATCGGGTTCGGGTTAATCGGGTTGCGGGTTAGTCGGTTGCGGGTTAGTTGGGTTGCGGGTCAATCGGGTTGCGGGGCGGGCGGGTTACGGATTGTTGACTTTTAGTCAATTCGGATTGCGGTCGGGTTGCAGGTCGGGTTGATCGGGCGGGTTAATCGGGTCGGGCTATGTTTTGACACCTATAGTTGGGAGGACGTCCTCCCAGTGGACAATATGATATTTGTGTAATGATAATATAGTATACGATCTACAGGAATACATATTCGTCCAATAAGAAAAATGTATTCTTATAATAGATAGTAGTATGAAATCAAACTTTCAAGAATATGATATTTTTGAAGGCTTGATGATATTTATGTTATGAGAATATGATATTTTTGAAGGCTTGATTTCATACTACTATCTATTATAAGAATACGTTTTTCTTGTTGGACGAATATGTATTCCTGTAAATCGTATATTATATTATCATTACACAAATATCATATTCTCCGCTGGCAGGACGTCCTCCCAACAGTAGGTGGCAGGAGCATATCCGATCCGCTCTGGGCCGGCCCGAATAATATTAGAATTTAGAGCTTGTTCTGGGTTAGTGGTGATTTAGGCAATTACGTCAACCTATATATAGTGGCGGACCTAGTAAAGGGCAGGGTGTGTCGTCCGACACACCCTCGCCCAAAAATTTTGAAAAGTACCTATATATTTTTGGTACATTTTTTTTAATTCAGAACTTCCGACACACCTTAAATAATTATAAGCGACACACCTCATTATCGAGAATGATTTGCTTGTTATAAAGTTATTTATCTTAATTAGTAATACACAATAATAAGTAAATTCAAATAAGTTTCAAAGTTATTTATGCTTGTTTTAGAGTAACCCACACCACAACCTAGGGATGGCAATATGGCGGGTTTGCCTAAACCAACCTCATCCCCATTTCCAAATATTCAAACTCATACTCGTCTCATACCCATGCAGTGGAAGGTCTTACAAACTCATCCCCATACCGTGGTTTTCGGATACCCATGGGTAATATCGCCTCAACAACTACTCACCATTAATAAAAGAATATGGTGACAAATATGGATACTACCCACCCAAAATTATGGAACTAATACATAAGAGGATGAAATTACGGTTTGGTTGTCATCAATTACATTTTAACACTTTATTTTTTCTTTTAATTACCCTTCATTCGATTGACAAGTTACAATACACTCCTCATATTTTATGTATATAACATAATTTCTTGGTGGGCGGGTTTGGGTATGGGTATGGGGCGGGAGAGTCAAAAACCATACCCGCCCCATACCCATCAACCTTTTTGAGGGTTTTATCAATACCCGCCCCATACCCAGTCAACGCAAGGATTCCCACGTTGACTGGGCCGGAGGGGGTCGGGTACCCGCGACCATGGGTTTGGTTGTTATCCCTACCACAACCCAACAATGGAAAAAATAAACATAACCCCATCCTTTGAAACTCACCATTTCCACCCCTTGAGCCATCCTTTATTGAAAATAAAAAACTCACCCTTACCCCGTTTTAGTTTCTAATTACCGAGAGCCGCTACCACTTCTCCCTTTTCTTTTACCCTTTAGTTTTACTTGCTTTTGGAAGTTGGTGTTGACTTTACATGTTGCAATTGAAAGTTGTGAAAGATTTCAGTTGTGAAGATAATAAGGAATGAACTTTGAAATCGGTTGAGTGACCAATTTATGAATCATTGTTTAGTTGTGTATATCGAAAAGGATTTGCTTCGCAACATAAGCAATGAATGTATTTATAGATATTTCTAGTAAACATGAACTTTATGATTTAATTTCTAGTAATTTCTATTTAATTTCTATTAATTTTTTAATAATTTTTTAAATTAATTTTTTAATTATTATATTATTTTATCGGCGACACACCTCTCCGGCAATTCTGGGTCCGCCACTGCCTATATATATATTGCCAAGTTTCATGTACGGGGAAGTTGGATGCTACTTGATACTTCTACATGCTACTCAAGATTATAAAACTTATCCCAACTCTTATCCATGGGTTGAGACACGTAAACGGGCAGGTTTCGACTAGGAATATGAACAACACCTAAAATTAATTTGATTTAATTAATTAGCACGAGTTCAAAGTAATTAATTTTATCAAAAAGCGACGTTGTTTGGTCTAGAACGTCGCGGATTCCATAGCGAGCTAGCGGCTTTGAGAGCTCATCAACGCCGATGGCAAGTTCGACAAAGTCTTGTGATCAACGGCGTCATGAACTCAATGATGCCGCAAGGTGTTTTCCGGCGAGAAAACTCTTGTTGAATTGAGATGGATTGCACATTTGACTTCTATGGACAACGATTTCTAAGACACGGCTCAAACATCTTCAAACAAAGTTCGAACGAGGGTGTTTGATTGATGGTTTTGGGAACGAAATCTAAATTAAATTATTTCTACTCCTATGGAGGTTCGGCGAGAGCTCCAAACTACGAACTACATCTATGGCTACATGATAGAGAAAAGGTAAAGGATAAAATTGACAAGTGTGTCAGAGTGTTGGTTTTGGAACCTCTGTCTCTGTCGACCCCTCCTCTTATTTATAGCCCCGAGGAGGTAACCGTCATAGAAAACCGCTTGTTGGATAATTGCTACAAAGAACCGCTCCCCCTTCTTCGGTAGAAAACTGCCTCTTGGATAACTCCCAAAAAGAACCGCTCCCTGCTTCCTCGGAGTGGTGATTACTCCTTCAACCGCCTAGGTGCCTCTCTTGGAACCATCGTGGGTTTTGGAGTGTAGCTTGCCTCGCCTGGTCTTGTTTTGAATCTCGTGCCATGTTAGTCTTTTGACGAGCATGTAGTGTCTCGCAAAGGGGGTCATGGTTCTCTTGTCTCATGAGGCGACATGGCCTCCTCATTCGCGGCCATGGACTTCTCAGTCATGTCTGTGGCCCTTCTCGTGACACAGCATGGCCCTCTCATACTTAGTATCTTTTCTTGCGTCCATGCCCCTTCTCGTGAAGTGGCATGGACGTCTCATCTTGTCTTGCGTCCATGCCCCTTCTCGTGAAGCGGCATGGACCTCTCATTGAAGTGTCACATGCTTCTCCTTGAAGCGGCATGTACCTCTTCCAGACTTAGTTTATTTTTCAGTCATTCGGTATTTGTCGCAGGGCGGCATGTGCTCCTCAATTTCTTGATGGACATGGCCCTCTTCGTTGAGGCGGCATGTGCCTCTAGATTTTAGACGGACATGTCCCTCACCAGACTGAGTGGTTTGGGCTTAAAATCAATATCCATAAGACCCAACTTAAACAACATTAATTGTTATAATGGGTGTGGCCTTATAAACTCATTAATTATCTTGTAACTCGCCCATGTGGTACAAGATAAATTTTATGGTGTAAACAAATGCCCCCAACTACTTAGTGCATAAGAAATATGGACTAAGTAGTTGACACCAACTTCAATTCCTTAACCATTTGACTGGCCACCCTTGCAAAGCAGTGACCCTACATAAAGAACATAAATACTTGACAATTCTCATGGCACTAAATGTGGTCGCACCACACTCATCCCAAATTGATCTTAGATGGCAAGCCAACTCTCGTTACTTAGCCAAATTTGGCTTCACAAAGAAAAACCTTGTCTTAGTCAGCTTATGAGCCAACTCGAGAGGAACAATGAAATAATTCATTATTTTTTCCTTCTTGTACAAACGAGAATATTGTACAAACGAGAAGAGGACAATTAATTAATTCAGCCAATGAAGAGAATTAATTTAAGAAAATCATATCCCTCTCCTTTTATGTTTCGCAGTAGAGATGCGTAGCCAAGGAATTAGCTTGTCCTTGTGCTGGTCAACTCTTTTTTTTTCTGAAGTAAATTACTTAGCCACAACGAGTAACTAGGACAAGCACCAACTTGCATCTCTTCCATGACCATGGGGTTCAATAACACTTAGAATTTTTTTCTAATCCTTTGCGTGGCTAGCCATCATTCATCTTCAAAGCACCATACCCCTCATGTCACGGTCATCACTCAAACATGTGGCTATTTGGAACAAAACGGGCATGGCATAATCTGATATATGACTCGGCATGCCAAGCCATCATAATGACTTGGCTACGGGATCTTCAAATCAAAATTTAACAACTCTAAATCAAATTTGTTACTTATATATTTTTGTTTGTTTAGCAATAGTTAGCTACTATTTATTTATTTAATATATAGGCATATATTTGATTTATTTATTTAACAAGGCAAGGAGTGACAGAGTCACTGCTCTCCATTGCCTTTGGCAACAACTAATGCGCCAAAGGTGTACACCCACTACCAAGTCCATGGATTAAAGCAGGCAAGCAATCCATAGACCACATGCCTCTTTTCCCCCATGGAACATGACTCTCCATACATTAAATTCGAATCTTCTAGTTTACCAGTGGGTGGTATATAGTCGTCATGTCTAGCCTTGGTGGCCTTCCATAGGGTCCCATGCTCATATACCTTAGCCACATCACTTTCCATGTCAAGACGACCATGAGTATTCCTCTGCCTTGGTTCCCTCATGGTTGGAACATGCTTACTCCCCTCATGTTGTTGGAGACGATGTCTAGGCTTGACAAGTCGGCTAGCACTCATGTGGTCCATTTGCCTTTGTCATTCCACATCTAAACCTTGTTGCCCTTTACACTTAGCACATAACCATCCTTATTTCTTTGTGCGGTCATGCTTCATTTGTTTGTATTGTGACCTATTATACATGCCCCCTTTTCCACCCTTCGTGGTTGGTAACATGTACCTATTACTCATGGACATGGACTTGCCCCCCTGTCCGCACTTAGCCAAATTTTCATGCTTGTCACAAGCATGTGTGGCTTGGACTTCTTTTACCTTATTGGACATGCCCCCTACCCCATTATTCATGGTCGGTGACATGCCTTCTTTCCCATACTTAGCTATATTTGTAATCGTAAGACCACAATAACTCTTTTTGGCTTTGTCACGTTTTTCCTTGTTGGACTTGCCCCCATGTCCACTGTTTGTGATTGGTGGCATGCCAGACTTAATCATATTTTTACACTTACAAAAGCCATGAGTGTCTTCAACCTGTTGTGTCTTCCAAGACATGCACCCTACTTCATACTTCATGATGGGTGACACTGACATGCCCCCATGTCCAAACTTAGCCAACTAGCATGCTTATCACAAACATGTGTGGCTTGGACTTCATATGACTTTTGGGACATGCGTTGTCCATACTTAGCAAAATTTTCAAATCTGCAATAACTTTTTATGGCTTTCTCGTGTCGTGACTTGTTAGATATGCCCCAATTTCCACTACAATTGGTTGGATGCATGCCCCCATTTTCAAACTTAGCCAAATTAGCATGCTTAGCACAAGCATGTGTTGCTTGTGATTAATGTGGTCTCTTAGACACCACATGCCCCCTAGATGGACTTCTAGGCTTCACCTTATGGGAAGTTAGACTTTCATGCCCCTCTTGCCAAGCTCTTGGTGTTTTGAGTCCATCAGAATCGCCTCTTTGTCTACTCAATAGGGGTGGCTTCGCAGGTGGGCAAGCATGTGGTGGTACTTGTTCCATGTTGAATGGATCTTCACCATCTCGTCCATTGTCAAGTGTCTCATCTGATCTTGTCTCGAGAACAAGCGGTTGAACATTACCTTGTACATGCAAGACCCCATGATTGGTGTTCAGAGTGGAGGTGGACCTCTCAACACAACTATCACATTGAGGGAGTGGTTTGCTTGCCACTGGCAGTGACAAGCTCTTCTGCCATAGTTGGCCATTCTGGTCATTAGCAGAAGAGTTTGTACCATCTAGTGGCAAATCTCTTGATTGAACCACTTGATTTATCAAAAGGTGTTTCAAATCATTGAAATCATCATTATTTTTGTTAACCAACTCTATAAGTTGACTTACACGATTATCTAGATGAGAAGTGAGAGATGCTAGGCGGAGGCTTACTTGTTGGGCACCAAGATAAAGGCTAACTAGGCATCCCTCCAAGGAATAACGATGTTCCTCCATGGCTTGACGGTTCTCCGCCATCAACATGTGGTTCTCCTCCATGGCTTGACGGTTCTCTGCCATCATCTTGCGATTCTCCTCCAAAGCTTGACAATTCTCCACCATTATCTTGTGGTCTTCCTCTAATATCTTGTGAAGTAACTTGATGTTGGTGGTTATATCAACACTTGGTGCCTCCGGTGACAAAGTCTCCGCCATGCCAATGTTTCTGGAAACATCCTTCATCTCTTGGCCAAATTCAAACTTAGCCACATGCTTCTTCACAAGCCCAGGTAAGAGATCACCTTCTTGTTGTCTCTGTCTTGGAGCCATCAAATCAAACACAAGGTCCCACCAGGTGTGGCAAATTTATTTTCCGGCGAGAAAACTCTTGTTGAATTGAGATGGATTACACCTTTGACTTCTATGGACAACGATTTCTAAGACACGAATCAAATCTCTTCAAACAAAGTTCGAATGAGGGTGTTTGATTGATGGTTTTTGGGAACAAGATCTAAATTAAATTACTTCTACTCTATCGAGGTTCGGCGAGAGCTCCAAACTACGAACTACATCTATGGCTACATGATAGAGAAAAGGTAAAGGATAAAATTGACATGTGTGTCAGAGTGTTGGTTTTGGAACCTCTGTCTCTGTCGACCCCTCCTCTTATTTATAGCCTCGAGGAGGTAACCGCCATAGAAAACCGCTTGTTGGATAACTGCTACAAAGAACCGCTCCTCCTTCTTCGGTAGAAAACTGCCTCTTGGATAACTCCCAAAAAGAACCGCTCCCTGCTTCCTCAAAGTGGTGGTTACTCCTTCAACCTCCTAGGTGCCACTCTAGGAACCTTTGTGGGTTTTGGAGTGTAGCTTGCCTCGCCTGGTCTTGTTTTGAATCTCGTGCCATGATAGTCTTTTGACGAGCATGTAGTGTCTCGCAAAGGGGGTCATGGTTCTCTTGTCTCATGGCCATGGACTTCTTACCCATGTCCATGGCCCACTTGGGACTTAGTCATTACTAATATAGTGCTCCACCACCACGCCCTTCTCATTCGTGTCCATGGCCACTCTTGTGAAGTGGCATGGACTTCTCAATCATGCACAAGGCCCCTCTCATGCGGCGGCATGGCCTTTCCATACTTAGTATTTTCAATCATTTCTAATGCTTCTTGCTTCGCGTCCATGGCCATCACATGACACGGCCATGGACCTCTTAATCATGCACATGACCCTTCTCATGAGGCGGCATGGCCTTCTCAGACTTAGTATATTTTGGATCATGAGGTGACATGGCCTCCTCATTCGCGGCCATGGACTTCTCAGTCATGTCTGTTGCCCTTCTCGTGACACAGCATGGCCCTCTCATACTTAGTATCTTTTCATGCGTTCATTCCCCTTCTCGTGCAGTGGCATGGACGTCTCATCTTGTCTCGCGTCCATGCCCCTTCTCGTGAAGCGGCATGGACCTCTCGTTGAAGTGGCACATGCCTCTCCTTGAAGCGGCATGTACCTCTTCCAGACTTAGTTTATTTTTCAGTCATTCGGTATTGGTCGCGAGGCGGCATGTGCTCCGCAATTTCTAGATGGACATGACCCTCTTCGTTGAGGCGGCATGTGCCTCTAGATTTTAGACGAACATGGCCCTCTTCGTTGAGGCGGCATGTCCCTCTCCAGACTAAGTGGTTTGGGCTGAAAATCAATATCCATAAGACCCAACTTAAACAACATTAATTGTTATAATGGGTGTGGTGTTATAAACTCATTAATTATCTTGTAACTCACCAATGTGGTACAAGATAAATTTGATGGTGTAAACACAAGGTGACCGAGATTGAAAAGTTCAATAATGTTGTGAGATCAACAATGATGTGAGTTCAATTCAATGAGGTTATCGAGCTCAATATTGTGAGTTCAACGGCTTCGAAGGTTGAGATCTCAACGACGCCGCGGTCGGTGGGTGACAATACCGTAAAGCTCAATATTGTTTAGTCTAAACGACTGACACGCAGGAAACTACACCACAAATTGATCCCGGCTAGAGCCCAAGTTTTTAAACCCTAGCTGAGTGCAGGAACCTCGCTGGACGCCTCGGTGTTCATGGTTTTTGGTCAAAGTTCACGGTCTTACGAGACCGTAAACTGCCTCTTCCCCCCCCCTCTCTACACTCGGCTGCACAACAACCGCCTCTTCCCCTTTCCTTCTTCTTTTCCTGGCCCCAAATCAATTCCCCTCTCTTCCTTCTGTCTCTCGACCCCAAACAATTTCCCTTCCCCTTCCTCTTTTCTGTGACACGGTGATCAATCCCTAATTGATCATTCCCAATCCCAATCCCTAGATAGGACCAAATCCACCGGGCTCTATCATCTGGTATCAGAGCATCGTTCTTGATCAAGGGCAGACAAACAAGATGGTGCTGACAAAATCAATGACGGCTGCTGAGAAGGCTACCCAAGCCGCGCAGGAGAAGGCGGTCGCGGGAGGAGCTGCAAGTCAGGCTAGTGATGGAGAAGAGATGGTGACTGCGGCGACTCTACAGCCGAAGCCAATCCAGGCCACCACCGCGCAAGCCAAAACAGCGCAGTCAAGGCCCCCCACAACCGGGGGCCAGCAGAGGACGCAAGGAGGGCGTGGTGGAGGATGTGACGGATGAAGAGGACCTTCGCACTATCTTGAAAAAGGTGCTGGTCGCACAGAAGTGGGATCAGGAAGCTCGCCAGGCAGACTCTCAGGAGATTAGGCAGGCTATTCAGAATCAGGAAGCTCGTCAGGCAGACTCGCATGAGGTTTGTAAGGCTATTGTTGAGCTGAGAGAGTTCGTGACGCAGCGACAAGGGCATCCGCAGTGCCAATCGGAGCCGCTTGGAGCCGGCGGTAACCGAGCCGGCGGTGCGGTGTTGGACGACGAGGGCGCAGCGACGGCAGTGGCCGCGGGAGCTGAGGTGGCCGCGGCGGCGGCTGGGGTGACGCGGCCAGGGTTTGGCTCATCTTGGCCCAACATTGAAGCGGGCCTATTACCTACCCCCACGGCCCAAGTGCTGGCGGCCCGCAAGGGTAAGGCCAAGATGCCTGGCTACGACACCGATGGGCCTCTGATGATTGATGGGTCGGAGATGGGCGGGCGATTTGCGAGGGAAGGCAATTGGCTTGGATGGCTGGGCTTCGATGATGAGGACGAAGATGATGGGCTCAGCTTGGTGGACCGAAAGGAGACCCAGTCATGGACTAGAGAAGTGGCGGACCGGGCCGGGCGGCTGACCCAACCGGTAGGATGGGGTCGGCTCCTATGGGGCTGACTAGTACTGGGCGGACCGAACTATGTCGACCTGTAGGTGGGCGAATCGAGCCGGGTCGAACCAAAGGCGGGAGGATCAAACCAGTTCGAGCCAAAGTGGGTTGAACTAGGCCTGGGTGGACCTATTCGGGTCGACCTGAGGTGGGTCAAACCGGGCATCGACCCAACCCAACTAACTAGCCGCCGGGTAGAGCGGACAACAAAGGGTCCGTGTGCTGGAGAGGGCCATATGGAGCGCCAGAAGCTCCAAAATGGTACCAGGACCAACAGGGCGGCTATCAGGGGTGCTACCACCTAGGTACTCGAACCCAGGGCAGGTATTCTCGCACGGCCAACCATGGAAAACACCGGGTGAGGACAGGTATGGTTCGTTCTACCATACTTATGAGCGAACTGATGGCATAGTTTTCTAAGCTAAGCCTCCCACCATTGAGTTCCCAAGATTCAATGGCCAAGAGGACGCAGGTTTTTGGACGTACACTATTTTTATCGAAATACCCTTATTAAATCGTTAGCCATAATTAGACTCAGAAGGCTTGAAAAAATAGCCAATAATTTCTTGAATAAATTCTATAAATTCCTTGAAAGGTTTCAATGCTATGCTCATTAAAATATAAGGAATTCAAATAAATAAACTTAAAGTAAAATCCTACGGAAGCATAATTTAACGAGTGATCATAATAACATAAAATGGAAATCATATGAATACTTGAACGTAAATCAATTAAGTCGTGTAACTACTTAAATACATTAAGTGGGTTACCAACTATTCCCCTCGAACCAACCCACATTATCGTCAATCGTTGATGATCATGGTACGTTACTCGATCCTCCTCATCTGGTATTGATTTTGTTTCACGGGAAACCAAATATCCACCGCCGGGGGTGCGAAATTATTTCGGGCGATGTTGATTTGATTATTTCACCTATGACTTATGAAAACCAAGAAGATTGTTACTCGGTCACACCTCTCCAAACAATGTTCGAACGAGGGTGTTTGAGATTTTTGGTGGGATCTACATTAGACTAATCCTATGGAGATTCTTGTGGAGAGTTCCGCAACTACACTACGACTACGACTATGAAGATCTTTCATGGAAGGAGAGCTCCGCAAAGTAGTTACAGAGAAAAATGTAAAGTTTTGACAGAGTTGTTCTGTGTTTATTTTTTGTTATCTCCCTTTCTCTCTCCTTGCTCCAACGCTTTTATCAAAAGCATCTTTGTAATCCTCACGTTGTGCAACCGTCTTGCAGTTGCCACGCCCCTCACTCATCAACATCCTCGATCTCATTTATGCTCTTCTCTCCACTTGAATTACACACTGAACACAAATGAGCTGCAACACAACCCAACAACTCCGTTGTTCGAACAACGACATTGTTTCTTCGCAGGTGTAACATCGTGCTTAACTAAACAATAGTGTTGTTGACACCACGATCTTGTAAGAATCGCGAGGATGTTTTAATTAAACAACGATGTCTGCCTTGACCCACAACACCATCCAACTCCTCATATTGATAAGCTTGCAACTCCGTCAACCTCTCGACATCTTTGAACTCGCGATGTCGTTGACCTAACAACATCGATGCCGTGAGTTAAAGAACCTTGTTGTGCTCGTAACTTTATTAGCCATGATAACAACAATGACCTCGTAGCTTTGTGAAAGTCACAGCACCGCTGAACTCACCACATCATAATTCATTACGATATTTTAGCTCGTGGTGTGTTTTGGAGAAAACCTCCAAATTCACGGCATTGTTAAACTCGTGACACTCAGATCAAGGGCTCAGCTCGCGGTGTCGTTGATCCCTGGCTCAAATGTACACATTTTACCCAACATTTCTTATTCATTTAGCTTAGTAATTCATAGTTCCTCGACATATTTCACGCTAGGTTGTGCTTGTTTTGATACATTTCAGGTCCTAGCACGTGTGGAAGGGTCGAGGATGAGTTTTGGGATATTTGGAGGTCAAAAAGCGCACAAACCGAAAAAACAGCCGCAGTTCACGACCAAACGAGGCAGTTTACGGTCTCCTAAGACCGTGAACTTTAGCAATATAAGTATCATCGTAGGGGTAGAGGATCCAAACATTCGCAATGAAGTCCAACTGCTCCTCTGGGGTGGTAGATTCCCTCATGGCCTGGAATTCCTCCACCAAATGGTTGGAGCTCTCACACCACTGACACTGTGCTACCGGAGGCGCCGCCATGTCTCTACCTTGTATGAGGTTGTTAGGTTGCTTCAATGCTGAACCAGCTCTGCCACTTCCCATTCAAGGACTGATCTGGTCTCCATGGCATGCACACCTCTATCCCTCGAACTCCTGCCTCTGGACGGCGAGACGTAATGCAGTAGTTGACGGGCATGGACTGGACGGCGAGACGTAACGCAGTGCCATTGCCGAGTTTGGGTATGCAACCGGATGGCGAGACGTAACGCGGTTGGCATACTAGGGTAGGACACCGGACGGTGAGACGTAACGCAGTGGTCCTAGTGTTTTGTGTTGAGATAAGGATAGAGGTCGAGAACTTTTACGAGTTAATGTTGAGATGAGTTGATATGAATGGTTATTTAAGAGTAGAAAGCGAGAACGACTTTCATGCTAGGAAGGCATTCCCCTAAGAATGTGTTAGTAAGGAGTTTGGCTAGGGCAAAAACCTTAAGAAGTAACGACGAGACTGGCCCCTTGTCACTCACCAGGTTGAGGATAGTCTAGCAGAAGTGGTTCATGAGAAGAAGCAGGGGAGGCGAGCAACAGTACCAGCGTCGTCGGGATATTGAAAAGCTCGTGAGGAGTCAAGTTAGATTTGTTAATTATTTTGTTTCATGGTTATTAGTATAAACTGGAGATTCTGTGTTAAGTCGTTTTAAGTGTTTAACATTGAGAATATTGCCCGTGTTGGGGCTTTTAAAAATTCTTAAATGATGTCGGTTTGTTTATTTTAAAAAGTGGTTTGGGTTGCTCCGGAGTAACCGGTTTCTGGTTTGAGTTATGGGTTGGTTTTTGAAAAGAGGCGGGACGTGTCAGGGCTGATTCAATGGAGGGACCTGGAGGGGCATCCCTAGATGAGGTTTTCCCTGATTCAGGTTGTTCATCTCCCATGTCGTCCTCCTACTCAGAGTGGCTATTGATCTGGTAGTTGACTTGCTCTTCCTACGCATCTAGTCTCGCTCGTAGTGCTTTATTAAACTGATGACAAGTCAGTTCAAGTTCCTGATCCAACAACAATAATTCCTCTGACTGTCTACGAGTTATGCACTACCTGCACACAAGCTGCAGGCAAACCCATGAAGGCAAAAGTGGGGAAAAAATTAACAAAAAAAAATGCAGAAAGGAAATGCTAAAGTAACAGAAATACAGAAATAACGTTTCTTCAACAAGCTAGCCGTCCCAAGCAACGGCGCCAAAAACTTGACTCGCCAATACCGTCACACTAGAAAGTGGCCAAGTGTAACCACAAACTAATGCGTAGTATATCGGGTTTAGCTTTACTTTTCAACCCGAATCGTAGATGTGATGACTACTCCATGAAGTTCTCGCTATCTAGTAGTTTCAATGTAGTGAAGTTGTAACTAATCTGAGCAAACACAAAGTAGTAAGGTTGTGATTCAAGTTAAGAAGGTTCACTCAAGTATGAGTGCTCCTAAATCCCTGTTATGCCAAGCTGTAATTCACCTAAACCCAGTTGATTGATGTTTAAACCGCGGAAAGTTCTCAAATAGTCTGGAGTCTCGACTAAAGTGCTCCAGACCCTCTCAGTTTGAATACCGGCATGCGATTAACCTCCACCGACGTAAACTAACTGAGGCAATAAGATTCAAACTTCCTCTACTGGGTTCTAAACCAGTACAGAGCAGTGAATCCACTTCCCAACTAAAGTCGTCGATTCACTACCTCCAATTCAAGATGCTCAGTTGACCTACGCAAAGATTGTCTTTCTAGGTCAAATCAAGAATCACAAGAATTTGATCAATACTCAAGCAATTCTGAATAAAAATACTTTAACTGGATATAAGTCAGTCAATGATTCATGGCAAAGGGTTCATACAACTCATACTAACATACAATATAGGGTTCTTACATACCCAAGTGACACGCTACGACACAACACCTAACAATGGCCAAGTGTAACCAATGAAAGAGACTGCAGTATAGTGGCACAAGTAATAAATATCGAATCCACGGGTCTCTAGAGTTACTATTACTCAGCTTTAGTTCATTATCTAGCAAACTAGATTAAGGATTGATTTACTAAACTACTCTACTAATTACAAGTTGGGAACTCACTTAGGTATGATTCCCCCTAGCTCCTCAATTAGGTCCAAGTTGCAATTACCTTTGGTTGATCTACTGTCGATTAAACTGCGGAAGATCTTAAATTAGCTTGGAATCTCTTAAGCTGACCAAGCCCTCTTAGACAGAATACCCGGCAGGTGACTAGCCTTCACCGGGATAGACTGCTAAGGCGATTCACACAGATCTCCACTACTGGAATGAATTCCAGTACAAAACAGTGAATTGATTGACTCTCGCACAACCAATTCTCCACTATCAATCAAGGAAGCTCTCTTAACCTAATCAGTTTCTATCTATCATAGGTTAAAGCAGAAATCAAGAGAAGATGACCAGGCTTCAATTGACTCTATATATCATGCCTCAATCGATTATAATCAAACAATATAGCATCCAAAACTTCATAAAAGAAAGATCCTAACACATGGAACTAGGGGTTAATTTCATGGTTGGTCACTGAGATTACAAAAAACGTTCATGTTTGGTCACTGGAAATATTTAAATCCAATCTTGGTCACTCAAATTAGTTAAATGGTTCAAGTTTGGTCACTCTCCGTCCAACTCCGTTAAATTTGTCTGATGTGGCAGTCAACCCTCAAAGTTGACCGTTAACTCGGTGATGTGGCAATTAAAAAATAATAATTAAAATAAAATTTAATCTTTTACCATTTCTAACTCATTTTCACAATAAAATAAAATAAATTATTATCACAATAAATTATAACTCGGTGGCGGAAGCAACCTTTCCTCCGGCAGTAATCCTCCACCCACTCAACTAAGAAATTACCTTGAATTAAGTATCACTTCATAAGTAGCTAAACAGTGAACCCCTCTCTTTAGCGTCTCTTCCAATTTTCCAGCGGGGGAGCCGTCGACTTCACCTCTAGGTGACCGGCGGCAACCCAACTTTCACATTCTACATTTTGCTTTTTTTTTTCCAGACCTTGTGGCTCTCTCCCTTTCTATTATGCTACTTCCCTAAGTGGATTTTGCCATGAACTTCTCTTTGGAGTTGTTTCCTCTTCCACATTTCAGATTTGTTTTCAGATCTTGAAGTCTGTTCTCGGTTTGGTTCGGTTCTTGTTGGTGGGTGTCGGAGGGAGTCGTGTTTTGCGATTTGTTCTCTCCTCTCATGTTTCCGGCATCTACCTCCACACGTTTCACCCAAAACTGGGGGTGAATCGGAGATGTAAAGCTAGTGTAGCCAAGGAAACAAATCCATGGAGTTGAGAGCAGGGACATTCTTCTTGCTGTTGTGTTTTCGTCACTTGCTCAGATCGGTGGGACTCTATTTGCTCATTGTTGCTCCCTTTCTGCTCGGGTCTGGGGTTTTTCCTTATCTCACTGGCTGCTTATCACGACTGCTCTTCCTCGATCCTCCCCGATCTAGCTTTGGGAGTTCGTGGTTTGCTGGTTGGTGGGTCTTGGGAGGGCTCTGGCTTAGATCCTCTCATGTTTGTCCCTCACTCTCGTGGTCCTTTCGTCGGAGGGGATCTCCCTTTTGCTTTGTTCTCCCTCGCCCGTCCTTTGATGGTGTCGTATGGGTGCCGGTTGCAGAAAGGAAAAAAAGAAAACCGAGAGAGAAAGACAGAGGTGGTGTCAGCGGCGGAGGTACTCATCCGACTTCCGGCGGGAACACGCCTAGAACCCCTTCCGTCTCTCCATCCTCCGGCAAGCCGATGATTGACGAGTCAACGAGCGTTCTTCTTCATCATCATCCTCAACACCAAAAACAGCTGCAGCCTCCTCCGGCGATTGCACTGCCGCCCCCTCTTTTAACGGTGCCGCGATTTATGGAGCGAGGGAGAAGAAGGTGAGGTTCGATCCGGAGAGGATCGTGATGGGCGGCTGCGCAACGGAAGCTACTCCTTCAATTTTTGATTATAATAATTTTTTTTATTTTACTTTATTGTGAAAATGAGTTGGAAATGGTAGAAGATTTAAATTTTATTTTATTTATTATTTTTTAATTGCCACGTCACCGAGTTAACGGTCAACTTTGAGGGTTGACTGCCACATCAGACAAATTTAACGGAGTTGGACCGAGAGTGACCAAACTTGAACCATTTAACTAATTTGAGTGACCATGATTCGATTTAAATATTTCTAGTAACCAAACATGAACGTTTTTGTAATCTTAGTGACCAACAATGTAATTAACCCCATGGAACTAGAGTTCCTCAAAACCTAATTGAAGGGAAGTTACTCCATAGAGAAGAGAGAGACTGCAGAAATATGATCTAGATCTTCGATCTCCATCTCCAAGCTTGATTCCCGAGCTCCAATGGAGAAGAAATCCTCCAAAATAGCTCCAAGAATGTTCCCAAGTCGCTCTCTCTCTCTAGGCTTCGTCCCTTGGGTGTTTGGGATCCAAAAACCCAGCTCTCCCTCTCCTTTGCCTCGAAATTGGCTTAAAACCAGAAATTCCCGGCTCACACGGCCGTGTGACTCTCCCAGCTGCCCGTGAGAGTGTCCAAACGCGACGTTTCGATTAGTGGGCAACCAGGCAAGCTGCACGGGCAGAGGCCACACGGCCGTGTGGCTCCCTAGGCTGCCCGTGTGGCTTTTACCAAGCCTTCACATGGCCACAAGGGGCCCTACACGGCTGTGTGAGGTGCAATGGTGCCCGTGTGGCTTCCCAGCTTCTCACCAAACATCCAATCTTCGTCCAATCGACCCCGAACTCGTTCCCAGGCCTTCATTCATGTGCTAGGACCTGAAATATCACAAACACGAACAACCTAGCGTGAAATCGGCCTAAAATGCGGGAATCGAGCTCAAGAATAGGGGTAGAAACATGTGTAATTATTGGTCTATCACCAAGAGATAGAGGGGATTACTCCATAGAGATAGAGTGGAAAGCTATGCCGGGTGTGGAAATCATCGTGTAGACGGAAGAATTCGGCACAGGGTCGTCAATCGTCTCTCCTCGGGACTTGATCTAGGGCACTCAAGGATCTCTCTTCGTCAATTTCTCTATCTAAAGCTCTGTTTTTAGCTCCAAAGTGTGAATGCCATGTCAAAACCCGCGATTGGCACTAAATAACTCGAGTATCGAACCCCTGGCCTGATTACTCGATCGGGTAATTTGATGATAGACCAGGTTTTCTCAAAACGGCGCGCAACGGCGGATAGTCATTTGAGAGTTCTTTCTTTTCTTAGTCTGTTAAGAGAAGAGGGGAAACGCTGGAAAAATAGATAAAAAAAACACAAACACAAACACTTTTTCTTTCCTTCTTTATTCTGTCAAATAGAAGTAGAAGGCAAACAGAAGCCCGACAAGTCTGTACTGTAATCAGCAGAACCCAGGTTCATATTCCAGTCTAATGATGCATCATTCCTTTACTACTATTTTATTCTCTTCTCCTACTCGTCCATTTTTGTCAAACTAACTCTATATTATTGTTATTACCACTGCTACTATCATCCATCATAATCATCATCATCTAAACGTCACGATTTCTACATAAGAGTGATTGAAAACTAATCAAAACCCAGATTTACTCTTCTAACTTGTCCATCTCATTCAGCTTTATTTCACTTTCAGTTTTAGTATTTACTTATTTCAAGCATAGTTACTTCATTAATTACATTACCTTCAACAGCTAGCTTTCTACTTATGAGTTAAGCTTACTATTACACTTAATCAGTTATTGCCACTTACTATGCTATTTAGTTTCCCTCATTTACCATTCTTTTAGTTATCTCGTATTTTCATTACATAGATAAAAAAAATACGATCATCACGCGTATGGAATAAAATAATAAATTCACCATACCATCCCCGACCGTCCAACCTCTCAAATCATCGATTCACCACAAAATCCCACCTCAAACACCAGATTTAAACGAACACGGCCCTTTTCCCCACCAAATCACCCACAAACGCTAGACCCCAATCCCAAACTCAGGGTCATTATCCACAAAATACCCTAGCCTAATTAGATCCATCGCAGGTTAATCAAAATAAAAAACAGAGGTTAATCGAAATAAAAAACAGAGGAGTAGGGAGATATCTCACCCAGATTTGGCTTCTTCTCAAACCTACGAAAGTAAGAAAAGAAGGGGTCAGGTACTTGGCTAGTAGAATCGAAACCGTGAAACCACCCATTAGGCTCACCGTCGCGTATCCCTCTATTTTTGGTCACCGCCGCCAACTCCCTCTTCTTCTCCCCTTGTCCGCCATTAAACCCAGAAATCAAAGAAAAACCAATAAAAAAAATAAATAGTCAGAATCCTAAAACCCGAAATCTAACAAATATCCCTTAAAAAATCAACATGCAAACCTAAAAATGCCTACCTTTGACCTTCGCCACCGCCGTCACTCGCCGAGCCCTTTCCTCCTCCCTTCGTCCAAAACCAAAATATCAGAACACCATTCTTAAACTAGAAACCGAAAGGAAAAAACATGCAAGCCAAAAACTTATCTAGATCGCCATTTTCTGGTCAATCTGGGGCAATCCTAGTCGTTTCTTGGTTCGGCGATAGAAGAGAAGAAGAGGAAGAGGGAAAAGGATTAGGATTTTGATTCCTTTTAGGTTCTTCTTCGGTTCGATTTCCAGAAAAGAAAACAGATCGAGAGAGGAAAAAAGAAGAGTTTTGTTTTCGTTTTTCAGGTTTTCTGTTTTCAGGTTTTCTGCTTCCATATGATCCCTTATCCTCGTTTTTTTTAAATTACCCTTTTGCCCTCTCTATTTCGCTTAAATTAAACCCTACTGCCACCTTTCTCTTCAAAAATCGAAATCCACTAAAAAAAATTAACAATGCCATCCGTTGAACCATGGCCTTTGCCCTGTCATTTCTGAGCCAACACGTTTAGCCACTAGGCTAACACACTCAAATTTGTATTCTTGATGCACTTCGGTGCTATTTATTAATGTGGAGGTTGTGATCAATATATTCCAACAATCATTTTATGACGAAATTATTTGACAGTCATCACCCAATTACCAAGATAAATTTCTAAAAATTCAAATCAACATCTTAATAAGATCAATAGAATTTGTTGAGATCACTTCGTAAATCATTCAAAACATTAAATTAAGGAAAACATTTTCATTCTCTTATGATTTACGTCAAATCGTCAATAGACGTACACATCTCATCGATTTAGGTAGTACCAATTTTGGGCGTTGTGGGGTGTGAATACACTTCCCCACACGTAATCGTACTCCCGAATACAAAATATCCTAATTCGCAGACCAAGTCTCGGTTTAGACCAAAGGTGTTCGGTCCACCACTAATAAGGTCAATGGCGACTCCGAGCAATTGGCGACGGATCCTCCCGATTTCGAGGGGCGGTTGCGATAGTGGCGACTCCGCTGGGGAACTTTTGAGAGTCGAGCTACATAACTAAATCAATAAGCTTTTCTTACTTTCTTTTTGGGTGTTCTGTGTTTTACTATATTGTTTGAGCTTTTTATTTACTTTATAGTTAATTTCAATTCATACATAAAAAGCTTTATACCCGAGCTCTCCTTTAGAAATTACAAGGTGTAACGTGACTCCTACAATAGTAGGGGAATATCGTGAAACTTACTAACCAAATTGAACTCAAATACGAGGTTGATTTGAAGTATTCGGCTAAGCTTGAAAGAGCACTAGTAGGATACAACTTTGGTATTTTCCTAGATACCTTTACCAACTATTTAGTAAGCTTAGCAGCCGCCCAACACCATCTCGTATAAACCTTGTCGTCAAATCTTCCATAACTTTTAGATATATGTTTGCTTTTGATGTGATAATTTGTGCGTTATTGATACTCATAAATAATGTGATTTTACTATGCACATAAAAGCTTTTCAAAATTCATGACGTTAGCATTCATCCTATTCAAAATAAAAAAAGATAAAGCACATGCATCCATTAAAGTCATCTTTGCATTTACACATTCACATAATTTATCATCATAAGCATCATATATACAAAACCGTTTAACAAACAATAAATTTGTCAGGGTTCCTTAAAATTGCTCGCCTACGAGGAAAAAGTCAGCCTTCTAAGCACTTCACTAGATCAAAACTCAAGGTCTTCATGGAGGCATTTCAGAAAGAGATAAACGATATCAATGGGAAGCTAACGGGGTTTGATGAGAAACTGACGGGATTTGATGCGAAACTGGCAGGTTTTGATGAGATGAAAGGTCAACTCAGCACAATTTTGAGCATACTGTCAGGAAAAGGAAAGGGGGTTGCGACCAACGAAGAAGAAGCCATATTCGACGAAGAAGATCACTATGAACAACCTAAAGTAGATGCCTCGAGTAGTAAATTTATTCTCATACCTTTGAAGAACATAGGTGAAAAAGATGGCATGGAACAACAAAGCATGACAAATCAGAAGAGACTGAGAAGCATGAGGAACATGGGGTTGATGCTATGTTGAAAGAAAAATTAGAGCATATGAATGAACGAATAAGAAGCATAGAGGGATTTGAATCCTATGAGCCTATGGATGCATCACAGCTATGTTTAGTTCCAGATGTCATAATTCCTCATAAATTTCAAATGCCAGAATTTGAAAGATATAATGGCACTACTTGCCCAAGAAGTCATTTGGTCAAGTGTGGGGGGACAATGTGTCTCTCAAGTGTGGGAGGATGTGCATGCATATTTTTCGAATGTTCATGATGAATGTGCCATAATCGATTAGCGACCTCCCAACGATTTTTAATATAAGATGTTTATAGGTATATGTGGGAGTGTATGTTATCGATTGCATGCATTTTTTTTGGATTGAATGGCTTAGAGAACTTACTTGGAATCTTATTGATTATCCCAGATTTTTTTTCCAAAATTTGAGAGTTCCAAACACCTTGTCCTATGAATCCACCCATTCATTATGCTTTGAATTATTAGATGATTGGGGTGGTGTGCATTATAGAGAGTAGTTGATAACGCCCTAGATGGATGTTATTGAACAGAATTGTGCAGCTTCACCACAAACAAAGGAATCGAAGGTTCCTTTGTTAAGAACATAGAAACAGAGTTCCCAAATGAGCTTGGGTAAGCCAGTTCGAGTTTCAATTGGATGGAAATGAAGGGGAAATCTCACACCTGGGAGATTACACGATCTTTATAAGGTTTCCTTTGATATAATCGAGTGGGTTTGCTTGATCAATAGGCTATTTTCAGCAAGTTTTGATGGCAACCAAAACCAAAGCAAACCCACAACGCACTAGTTGGGAATTTTCTGGGTTTTACTCAAATCAACTCTGAATTGTACAATACACGATGGAGGCCTTTTATAGGCTTAAACAGACTCAAACAAAGCTAAACACTATGGGCAATTAACCTTATTCAACAAGGAAACTAAATTATAAAGGGTTAGTTGCATGACCATTGAGCTAGCTCCTATATTAGTGATTCCCGCATTTCATTCTCATAAACTTGCAAATTCTATCCTTTTGCATGACTTACCTATAACTAGGGCGAGGGAGGTTCCCCAGTACCTGCTTTCACATTTTTGCTTTCGTTGTCAGTTATTACCATTTATTCTTCAACCAACCAAAACCTTATTGACTAGATAACAACCAAGTGAGAAGTAACCTAGGATACTGAGGCCCCATGGAATCAAACTTGGTTAGTTACTGTACTGTCAACACCATTTTGAGTTATACTTGGCTCAAGATGGAGTAGTTAGCTTAAGTCTTGTGCATCTAAGACGAGCATGGTAGGCATAATCATAAGGCTTGAAGTGGAATTCATGAAATGTAAACAATGATTTTGATGGACATATTGAAACTAATGGATACAAATATGATAACACTAAACTTGGTGTTATTTACCCTACATACTTAGGTGTGTTTTGTGCAAGTTCATGCTCTTAAATGCTTGAACATCGTCAAATACATCCCTATTGTGTTCCTATTTGATTTTGATGTGATTTTAGGGTGTATTAGTCGATATGTGCAAATTAGGTACAAAACAAGGTCACAAGTGTACAGAAGGGGCAAGCAGCTAAAGATTGTGGCCTAGAAGCCAAAGATCATGAATGGGATCACAAGTCGCGAAGACCAGCTCAAGATTGCGGCCCAGAAGGTAAAGTACTGGATGCGGCTTCTCAGAGACTCCATGGTCTTCACCTTGGACTTCACCACAAATATGACTTCTACGAAGGGTCATCGGTGAAGAATGGAGATCTCTCCATTTGAGATTGAGGAGTCAAGTCCGGGGAAAAGACTTTTAAAGACGCGCTTGTTGGGAGGCAACCCAACGTTTTGGTTTGCGTATCTTTCCCTTTTACCTTTTGTTTGAATAATAGTTTAGTTAGCACCTTAGAAATGCATTGAAATTGACTTATATGACTTAGTTCTAAATTTTGGATGTTTGCTTAAATGGTTAGATGAAAATTTGAATTGAGGAAGTGGAGAACATGATTTGTCCTTAACAAGGGAAAGATCGCGACCTTGAGGCTAAAGATCGCGGTCGCGATCTTGCCCGTTCCTATTTAAGGAATGGCAGCCCTCGATCTAAGTGTGTTCATTCGCTCACACTTTTTTAGATCTTCATACAATTATTCTCCACCCCTTTTTACTCTTTCAATCTACCTTCTTTAATCCCCTTTCTTGGCATCTTTTGAGAAGCATTTTTTATTGCTTTTGGATTCCCATCATATCCCCTAGCAAGATAAGGTACGATTTCTCATGTTTGTTGTGTTTTTAATGCCTTATCTTACCTAACATGTTATGAATGTTTGGAACCATTAATGCTCATGTTATACCTAAGATGACATCTTTTTGGAATGGAAGTGCTCTTCTTCTCTTTAATAAACTATCTATGTTATTTTAGAAACCTTGGTGTGTTGTTCCCATGCATTTATGACACTTTCAAAAACCACCCACCAAGTGTTCGAAGAAAGTCCCCAGCCACATAGAGTTCATTATGTGCAATCCTTTTGATTTGGTACCAAATTCATAGCATGGGGTGACAATCCCTAATTGTTTCTACATTGGTTTGAGATATCCTTTAGTACAATACCTTGGAACTATCCCTCTACTTAACTTCCCCTTTACTAAATTCTTAGTTTCACTCAAGTGTGGGGTAAGAAACAAGGGGTCTAATTGTAGTTCATGAGAATGCTACTCTTTTGAAATGTGAATTTTGGATTGATGGATTGTGCACATGTGAACCACTTGTTTTGTAGGATAAAATGCAAGGCCAAAGGCATGGGACATGGTGAGAGTTCATCGTCACGCACATCTCGCCCTCGCCAAGGTCAAAAGAAGGAATCAAGGAAAGCCAAATCAAAAGAAGTGTTTATTGAAGTACCTCATCCAACATCACATCTTCAACATCCATCGAGGGTATTGCATCAAAATGATCAAGCAAATGTAGAAGGCAGCGTCAAGCACATCACTCACTATTTTTTGGAACACATGCCCGAGCAATTCAAGAGCAAACTTCTGTGGCTTCAAGGATTATCTTTATGCGAAAGTTCTTGTTTCAATTGGAAACTTTTTGCCCAACTCGTAATTGAAGATGCAATCTGCTCTAAAGTACAGAAGTTGTCATGACTCAAGTTATTCTCTATTCAAGAAAATATCTATCGGGTGCTTGTTCTAGAATTTATCAGTACTCTTACTATTCGAGATATGAGGGGTGTTGCCGACCTTGAAGATAACATCCAGTTTCAACTCGAAGGAGAACATCGCCATATGTCGATCCGGGAGTTCACTAGAGCATGGACATCTACCCGGCGAGTTTCATTGATTCATCTAATGACTTTGCTACCTTGACTAGGGAATCCGACTTCCCTTGTTTCAATACATTTTATGAGAATGAAGTCAAGAAACTCGATAGTCGACAATGGGATGTGAAGTTATCAAAAGCTAGTGAGGTGAAGCCGGAGTGGGGGCTCATACACCACGTGATTGCTAGATCCGTGGGAGGTAAGAACCGGAGCAAGGGAGGCCTAACCGCTCGAAATGTCACCCTGTTTCAGAGCATGCATTTTCCATGGTCTCTTCTACTCGGTTTATCCATCCTTTCTATATTCAAGTGCTATGAGACATACTTGCAGCGCTTCATGGAGGAGTGTTTGTTACCCAACTTGCCAAATATTTTCACGTTGACTTCGGAGTCGTTCAATTTTGAATGGATAGCCAAACAGTCCCTATGTCCTTTGAGTTTTTGACGTAAAAGCTTAAGGTGCTACACATGAGCAATGGTGGCATTTGGGAGTTTCAAGGATTCCCATTTCCAACCACCAATACTTTGGAGATACGCCTATTCCCACTCTCCAACCGTTTCAGCCACCGAGCACCAATGCAAGAGATTATAGGATTGAGGCGATGATAGCGGCCATCCTTCACAACTAGGGGTGGGCAACGATTCGATTCACATCAGACCGAATCGGACCGAATCGATTCTCACACCGAATCGGATAGAACTGTTTATCTTTCGATTCGACTTTGGTACCTGAATTTGGGACATTTTCGGTTTTGGTTCGGTCCTAACCGAAATCGTAAATCAAGCTAATGACCAGACTGAATCATAATTAATTTAATTGCCTATTTTATTAGGCTCTTAGAAGGCAAGTTGACTTGGAGTTGAAAATCCTAGTACCCTACACGACACTTAACAACCTATAAATATGATTGACACTCCCTTACTTTGACTCGCCGCTCCCGCTCCTATAGTCCTACCCTCAAATAAGATTTCTCATTCGCGTTGCTTCGATCAAGAGAGATGCTTACTTTACCTACACACTATGAACCAGGTATTTATATTGTGTTCTCTTTTCTTATTCAATGTTTCAGATATGGAGAAGATGCGAATAAATGACACCATAGAGTGATTTTATTCGAATGAAAGAATATTCGGTCCAATGGGATGGTCCATACCAAATCGAGCCATATATGGTTTGATCCGGACCGAATCGACGTAATAATGATTCGACTTTGGTCATTGATTTAGAAGAAATTTTGGTCTGGTCCGATGATAGTTTGGTCTGGTCTTGGACCGAATCAACCAATGCCCACCCCTATTCATAACCAACGGAGGCAGAAAGATGCACGACTCCACATCATGGTATGCGTCCACGCGGTCATGCAGAAGATGAACATTCCGATCGACAATGTACCAGCCACATTCAACTGCCTCACCTCTCCAACACCTCTCCACATCAGGGGATGTTTTTGTTTGTATGAATGTCTATCACGATTGATTGAACCATTGATTGCTGCCATTATCCCTCGTTTGTGAATGTAAGATGTTGATAAACACTTGTGGGAGTATGTGCTAGTAATCGTTTTTATGTTGTGGTAATGAATGGTAAAATTTTAGTGTTTTTGGAACCTTGAATGCTACACCCAAATATTTTCAAATTTGAGGGTTCCACAACACTTTGTCCTTGAAAATACCTACACAATGTGCTTTGACTTGATTAGATCGATTGATTTGTGGTGTATCTTAGGTGATAGTTGTACGGCTTGAGTATCGGTATGTGAGGGGTTCTACTACTTTCTTCCTCTTTTGTGAGTCGATAATTTTTGATACTATAGGAACGCAATGTGTACGAGATTCTCTTCTTTATGTGAACTAGGAAATTTTTCAATTTGTGCTTAAAAACAGGAAAAAGAGGTTCTCACGTGAGTGGCAACCGGGCAAAGAATTGAGATCAACCGTAATAGAACCAAAGGTACCTTTTAGCGATTCTCGAGACCTTATAGTTCTCGTTTGTACCCAACATGTGTGGCAGCCCAATGTGGAGTGCAGGCTGGGAAGTGGTGCTTGGGCTACGACGAATTCGACCATCAGCTTCCCACATGTGATCTTGAAAGGGAAGGCTATGATTCATCCGCTCTTGGTCATGAGGGAGAGATTTTTTTATGCAAAGAAAAAAATTGCAAAGGTTTGGTGCAATGTGCATAAACGAAGAAAAAGGAGACCGAAAAAATGACAACTCCTACCCCAAAAGGAAAAATAAAAGCACCGCCAATAGTTCTAGTAGTCGTTCGTTGTCTCAGAATCCCTCGGAGCACATTTTTTATGGTCATCACATGGCAGTTTGTGCTCGCACGGTAGGAAGGTAGTAGCATTCATTCATCCCTGTATACTCTCATCTATGCAATGAAGAACTACCATGCATACCTCATCAATTTGGTCTATCATATTGCATTTGGTTTGAGTAGGTTTGCTTGGGGACAAGCAAACGCTTAAGTGTGGGGGAGTTTGATAACACCAAACTTGGTGTTGTTTACCCTACATATTTAGGTGTGTTTTGTGCCAATTCATGTGCTTAAATGCTTGAACATCATCAAATACATCCCTATTGTGTTCCTATTCGATTTCGATGTGATTTTAGGGCGTATTAGTCAATATGTGCAAACTAGGTACACAACAAGGTCACAAGTGTAGAGAAGTGGCATGCAGCTAAAGATCGGGGCTTAGAAGCCAAAGATCACGACCATGATCACAAGCCACGAAGACTAGTTGAAGATCGCTGCCTGGAAGCTAAAGATCCCGAACGCAATCTTGGAGGCTTAGGGTGCGAACTTTCCATGGAGGGAGCCTTGAAGAAACAGAGAGTTTCCCCAGTCGAATCACGGCCAATGCTTATCTTGCCCGCGAGAAAGATCGCGACCGCGAAGTCGGCCCGATCTTCCCCCTTCAGAAGGACATGACGACGTCGTCTTGAGATCGCGACCTATCCTTAGAAGATCCTGTCCGCGATCTCTCATCCTCAGGCTCGAACTTCCCCGAGTCCAGAATGCATATAAATAGAAGCCCCTTTCCCCACTTTAAGTGAGCTGATTTTGAGAGAAATTTTTTGGTTCTAAAGAGAGAGAAGAAGGAGGAGCTAGGAGCAAGGAAGATCTTCCCCAACTTCAAGTCTTCTTCTATTTCTACCATGTATCTTCTTCCCTCCTTTGGGGAGTAGTCCTTTAAGGTACTAGGGGGGTTCTAAACCCCAAACCCTAGTTTTAGGGTTTACTTTGTATATATAAAATGAATGTGTTTGAATCAATGAATGTGTTTGCCTAGTTGATTTTGATGTCACTCTTTCCTAAATGATTACACTTGGGCAACTAGCCCCAATCTTCCCTCTTAGCGTGCTTTATGCTAACGCGCTGGGTACGGAGTTCTAGGGTTAGATGGGTATGCGCCATCTGGCGAGTTTAGGTTAGATGTGTTGATTCAGGCCTAATTATACACATTTTATCCCCGTTTTCCTTAGGCGTTTGTGGCAATTGTGCTCCTAAAAGGGTGGTTTTACGCTAGGTTTCTTGTGTTTTAGCATGTCTCAAGATTTAATAGGTGAAACCCGCCCCGGAGTCGAAAGTTGGACGAAAAGGAGCGAAAACTGGGAGAAGAGGAGAAAAAGAGGCAGTTCACGATTTCCCCTCGGAGTTCACGATCTGCTTAGACCGTGAAGAGGAGCTGTTGCCCGTGAACATAAAGGCGTCCAGAGCCAAATCCCAAGTAACTGACGCTAATTGAGTTCACGGTCACTAAGACAGTGAACAAGAGTTGCTGCCCATGAACATGTGCAAGTGAAGCGGTGCGTTTCGATGCCCTTCTTGAGTTCACGGACGCTTTTCAGAGTTCACGGCCATGAACTGAGGCCGTGAACTGAGCTCTTTCCTTGTTTAAAATATGAGCTGAAAGGAAGAGAGAGGAGAGAGCCCATTGGAGTGAGAAAGCCTTCTTTAGATTTTAGAGAGAGAAAGACGAACCAAAGGAGAAAGAGGCTAGGGTTTTGCTCGAAGGGTGGATTTGGTAAGATTCTCCCCAAGAGAAGTTCAGCACAAGTGCCAAGAAGATTGGAAACCTCCTTCATGATGGTTTCTACCTCTTCACCTTGTGTTTCTCCCATTTCTAGCATGGAGTAGATTTTTTTTCACTATGGTGTTGTGAAACCCTAGCTAGCTATCATGTAGTTTTCTGTTATGTGAATTGAATGATTGTTTATGGGTGTTGTTTAATTCAATGATTGAGGTATTATTCATGTTGATTGTGCATCTTTGTGCTTAGAAATCTAAGGATTGTGCATGTTGGTGCTTAGCAATCTAAGGATTGTGCATGATTGTGCTTAGAAATCTAAGGATTGTGCATGTTTGTGCTTAGCAATCTAATTAGCCACTTAACCTAGATTAGAGAGGAAAACCCCCCTTCCAAGGGAGACTCAATTGAGTTGGAATTCCTAGGGCTTTTTAAGACTCCTGACTAGGTTAATTTAGGGTAAACCTCAATGTTGGATTAAGCAATTCGGTTAAGCGCAATCGAGCCGTCCAACCCTTGGGTTGAGTGAGGGAGTAAGTCAACCATTGATTGCTTAAACCGAGAGGGCCGAGTGACAGCCTATAATGTATTCCTCGGTTTAGCAATCGTGAGTGTGGTCTATGACCATATTTGCATCCCCTAGCGGTTCACGATCACCTTTCCCATAGCAATCGTTTCAATTCACATACCATGGTAGTAGTTATGGGGAAGCGACACCCGAGTGATCCTTCTCACAAAAGAGCTTTCAAAACCATTCACTTTTGTCTTGCTTTATTTTAATTAGCAAAATTTTTAACCAAAACCTTGTTGCTAGATAATGATTCGAATGACTGAAGTAGGGGTACACGCACCGGCCCGGGACGATATTTAAACATACTTATCATGTACTGCACCCGACTAAGGTTTATATTTGGACCTTAGGTGGGAATTTATTGTGGTATTCGGGACGAGTCATCTGTGAATGGGGGCTTATAGTGGTAGAGGCGACTGTGCCCCTGCTATAGGTTTATTTCCTAGGTGAAACTCGGCATAAAACCTCAGTATTGACGGTGGATAGTGTCTATTGAAATGAGCCATATACTTAATGCCCCATATACGATAGCCTAGATTGAGGTGACTGGAGCATTGATTTAGGGGAGGCGTATTCGGAGGTGTGTTGATAACGATGAAGGCCTACGGAAAAAAGCTCACTCACCACATTCGACGACCCTAGTTATCTATTATTGCATAGTGACCCTAAGCTAGGGGGAGGATTAGTCCCCGAAGTACCTGCTTTTAGCTTTGATCAATCCTTAGACTAGAGTTTCCTCATATCCTCCACTCAAAACCTCAAAAACCGATTAACTAATTAGCAACTAGGGGGAAGTAAGCTAGGGTACCGGGAGTTGGGTAGAATACGACTTTGATTACCACTATACAGCAACGCCGTTTTAGTTTAAACTTAGCCTAGGATGGAGTAGTTTTGGATACGTGCAAATCTCTGACCAAAACCTGCACGATATGAAGTGATCAACATAAGTACAATAATAGGAAATGTGAAGAATTATATGAATCAAATAGATAAAAAAAATTGTTTGAAAAAAATCAAACAAAATAATCCTAAAACGTAATAGGTAATTGAAAGAGTGTCTATAGGAAGGAACGTTTATAAGGATCTTTTAGCTATCTGGTTCAATGATCTATAAGAACTTCAAATATCATTTTTATTTATTATATACAAAAAATGAGCCAATTTTCTATGATCAAGCAAATTGCAAACCAAAATACCGAATTTCTACATCTTATTTGTCACATTGGATTTGTTGGTACAGTTGAGGAAAAGAATTCAACGAATAAAAGTTAATAGGAAAAAAATACTTGTATTGTCATAAATTTGGCCTTTGTAACAATTGTAGCCAAATTTGAAGAAATATACTAGCAAAGCTATATTTTGGATTTTGCTAGAAAATATAGCATTTCATCACAACACGGTTAGGAATGGTGACTGGACTAACGATTTATGCTGACATGGCAAATTTTGTCTTAACTTCAGCCACTTTATGACAACTCTCCATGTGTGGATCATCTAGGTGTTGTACATTACATTCTATGATATCTCGAGGTAACTCATGATGTGGGAATGTTGTTCCCATCTTGTGGGTCAACGACTCTGACTGCAAATTTAGATTATCATTTTGCAGGATGTATTGATACACGTCAGGAAACCATAGGGTGGTGTGTGCGTTTTGGTTCTGCCTTTGTGTCTTGGATGTAAGAAACAAGACCAAGTTGAGTATTGGGCAATGTTAGATGTGTTTTCCGAACTAGTATGTCTTCGTGACTTTTGTCTAATTTTGGAGTTACTTGTGTAGTTCCAATGGATCTCTTTGTGGATAACAATAGTGTGATGTATAGTCGTCAATCCTATCATACATGATTGTAAGAATCACATCAAGATTCAATCCTATCATGCATGATTGCAAGAATCACATCAAGATTCATTTACACTGTATACGAGATCTGGTATGTGATGGTACAGTTACACTTCATTATCTTCAAACAGAAGATCACATAACTGATCTTCTCAATGAAGCTTCTCAGCATGTCGTCATTGGCATCTCACTATCAAATGAATACTTAGAGATCAACATCAATTTGGGGAGGCTGTTGATATATATATAAAAGACATTATTTATGGGTTTGGCCCATTTGTATATTATGATCATGAGCCCATCATTAGTCTCTAGTACGTACAACCTATGAAAAGTAGCATAGGTTAGGAGAAGATAGATGATTCCGAAACCTAGAGAGACATGAGTTGTATTTTATGTTTTCTTATACTAACATTGAAGTCGAGGATTGATAGTGCATCATTTTGGGTATGCCATATTATATATTATATCTTCATTTGGGAATATCAGGGTTCCTCAGGGATTCAACCACAAACTCTAATCCAAGAGTGGTCGACGCTCTATGCGGCTTTAGTATTGGTTGCACGACTTGAACTAACTATCTCATCTTGAGCCAAGTATAACTCAAGGTGGCATTGCTAGTGTAATGGTTGACCAAGGTCGTATTCCACGGGTCTCGATATTCTATGCTACTTTTTACTCGGTCATTATTTAGTCAATCGAGTTTTAGGGTTGTTTTGGAGGACAAACAAAAATAACTAGCAATGAAGGCAGAGATAAAATGCAGGTACTCGGGGTATCACCCTCACACTAGATATTAGGCCTGTCATGTAGAAGGATAACTATGTTGGTTTGTGGGAAACGAAATGCGAAACTCACTAATGTGGGGACTAGCTCAATGGTTAGGCAACTAGCCGCCTCCTAATCCAATTCAGTAATGAAATCTTGCCACAGTCTGGTTCACGAACTAGGGATATTGTCTATTCCCTTTCTGTAGGTTGCACCTATCTGCACACTAGATCGATATGTCGATAGTCAAGCACGTATCGCTCTAGCATTACTTAGGTGGGTATCCCAATTGGCAGGAGATGGTCACCTTGACCACCAATTGAGCCCCTAGATCATTCAACTACACTCACCATGCCAAATTGCTCAAATCCACTACTTCCTCAATCAAACCCTAACTAGGCAATCAAGACAGGCATATACAGAGAAAAGTTCAAAGCATAATTAACACAAATAAATGCATATAACACGAGGTAATCTCATTTCATTCACAAACTCTAACAAATTCCTTCTACATAATAAAACCAAAATCTAGGGTTCGGAATTAAACCCCTAGTACCTTGAGTAACTACTTCATAAAGGGGGGAAAGAAAACAAGAGATGGGAGATTGATGAGAAATCCCTTCCTCTTCTTCTCCTTCCTTCAGATTCTCTCTCTAACCTCTCTCTAAAACTAGAAATTTATCCAATTGCTTCAGCTTCCTCTTCTCATTCCTTCAGTAGGAAGGGCAAGTTCACGGTTGATGGCTGAGAGATCTCAGGGGTGAACATGGGGTGTGAGGCCGGTGATTCGGGTTCAATTGTACACCTTTTACCCTTTATTTCTTGATAGTTTGACTTTGCATTTCATTGTCTCTCGACCTATTTTACGCTAGGTTATGCTTGTTTTGTTACATTTCAGGTCCTATCACGTGTGGGAAGGTCGAGGACGAGTTTTGAGTCGGTTGGAGGTTGAAAAGCGCGAAAAAGTGAAGAAAAGTCCAAAGTCACGGTTTGGACACATGCCCAATAGCCATTGAGATTCTCCGCTTTGAGCCCTTCGATATGCCCCAAGTTTTCTTGTTGGGTTGTGATATCACCTCGTTTGGAAATGGTTTGCTTGGGGACAAGCAAACATCTAAGTGTGGAGGAGTGATTCGGGTCCAATTATACACATTTTATCCCCGTTTTCCAAAGACATTTGATGCATTTGTACTTCGTGAGGTGTGGTTTTACCTAGGTTGCACTTTGTTATAGTATGTTTCAGATCCTAGCAGGTGAAAATGACCCCTGAACTGAAAGTGGGACGAAAAAGAACAAAAATGAGTCAAAGGGCGGAAGCAGCTGAGGATCACGACGGAAGCTGAGTTTTCACGATCTTACGGACCGTGAAAAGAGAGCCGAGACCGTGAAGCACCAAAGTTCAAAAATAGTTTGCTCATCTCACTGGAGCCCAACCAGTTTACGGCCGCAAGACCGTGAACTCTAACCCCAGACCGTGAAACGGTGCGAATGTGGTCGACTTCACGGTCCAGGACGAATGTTCACGACCGTGAACTGGGACCGTGAACAGACGTCGATAGGGGGAAAAAAGGGGAAGTGAGCTGAAGGAGAAAGAAGAGCTTTTTTGTAGGTTTTTAGTGTGCAGAATAAAAGAGGGTTTCTAGTGAGCGATTAGGGTTTCCTCTTCCTATTCTAGAGAGAGAAAGTGTCATGCAAAGGAGAAAGAAGGAGATTTGGGCTTTCCCTAGGCTAGAGGATTGAATGTTTCTTCTTCTCAAGGGAGATTCAAGCAACAAGGAAAGAAGATTGTCAGCTCTTCATGGTTCTTTCTCTCCTTTTAGTTGTTTTCCTTTGCCTAGCTATGGAATAGCCAGCCTACTCACTTGGGTATTGTGAATCCTAGTCTAGATGTGTATTAGGATGTAAGAACATGATTCTATTATGTTGATTGTGTGTTTTAAATAATATTTGAGGTATTAATCATGAATGATTGAGTGTTGCTTGCATTATCTCATTATTGGGTCAAATTAACCTAAAATCTGGAAACCCCCCTTTGGCCCATAGGGAGCTTGATCTCCTAGCTACTTGGGTAACCCCTTTTGGGTCGATTTAGGGACGAAACTACATGTATCAGAGTAGTACCATGTTTTTGACATGATTGGTCTCTCCGTCATTCGGTTTAACTTCCGAGGGTTGGGTCCTCCAATCCTTGGTTGGTTAGTTAAGAGAGGGCTAGATTGGCTAGCCTATTGTTGCCACCCTTAGCTGAAAGGTTAAGAGAGTTAGTCTACTAACGTAATACAATAATTCTTAATTGGTCAACTAAGATAGTTAGGGTTTCCTCAATTTGTTCGATTAAGAGAGCTAGGTTTGCTAGCTTATTGTGGCAATCCTTGCTTGATTGACTAGGAGAGCTTGTTCCTAGCTAGTTGCACCTATCTCACGGTGTATGAACACGTCCTTCACCCTAGGGGTGTGTTCATTGTTTCTTAGAACGCGACTAGGGGAAGCAATACCCAAGTGATGTCCTCTCATATAGAATTCTCCTCGCTTTACTTTACTTGTTTGTTTATTTTGTAGTTTTCTTAGTTTTAAACCCAAAACCATTTGCTCGATAACAACTTAAGCGATTGAAGTAGGGGTACATGGACCATCCCGGGTTTGAAAATTAAAATATACTTGCCCTATACTCCACCCGGCTAGAGTTTATACTTGGGCTCTAGTCCGGATTTAAATTCGCGGTGTATCCGTGGCTGAGCCAAGTTTTTTGGCGCCGTTGTCGGGGAACAACGGTCCATAATTTCGAAAAAGTCGCTTAGTTTTACTCAAGAATTTTCTTTGATTTTTGTTTCGTTTTGTCTTTTATCGTTTTGTTTTTATTGACCCACTCTTCGCTTGAAGGGTGGTTTGTGTGTGTTTGATTTTCCTTTTTAGTGTTTTTGTGTTTGTAGGTATTGGATCAAGGATCCTAATGATTTCACCCAAGTGTGGGGTTATCCACTACCACCAGAGAGTGGTTACCCCGGAACGTCATGGGACGATCAAGGTGGGGGAAGTTAAGGATTCGGGTTCTACTACCAACCTCCCTTCCAAGAAGAGAAACCGTGCTCATGGGGATACCAAGAAGCTTCCCCATATCAAGAGAGTTTCCCTCCACAAATCGAGGTGAAATCCCATTTGGAGTTGGCCATGGAGACTTTCATGGGACAAAACTCAAGACTGTGTGCCACTCCACAACCAGAGCCAAAGAGCGAATTAGAGCTCATGGTGGAGTGATTTGCCCGGGGCACCGATGAAGGGTGCTCTAGCATGGACCTCCCGATTGCCAACCCATTCGACTCAACCTTTCTATGGGAATCGGAGGAGCTCCTTCTACACACAGAGAGGCTAGGAGGGCTTGTTGAACAAGCATGTGCACAACTTGCTCACAATCGCTTCCTACCATTGGAAGAAAGAGGGGAAGTCGAAGAGGCAAGCCATGAGAATTTTGGAAGAACGAGTTCCGACATAGATTACCATTCCCTTCCTCGTCCCAGTTTGACACTAGAAGAGAAGGTGACACGAGCTAGTGCACGCCTTTGCCTCTAACAATTGGAAGAAGAAGAAGTGGAGATTGGAGAGGAGGTCAATGAAGACTATGAGGAACAAGAAGTACTCATCCCAGAGAACTTCCGTGGTGAGGAGGATCAAGAGTGTCTCATTGGAGACTCTCATCATTTTCCCCTTCCGGAGACCAACTTTGAAGACCAAGTCATATGGGGGTAGTTTTTTATTATGCTTGTGTGTGTGATTGAGTGCTTAAAGCCTTGATGTATGCCCAAATTGTTTTTTAAAAATTTGAGGACTCCAAGCATTGCATGTTCATTGTAGCTGATTTTTTGGAGGATCTTGTGCTTATTGGCATTGACCTTGGATTGATTGCTTGCGGTCGAGTGCATCCTATTATGATGACTGAGTTGCATTATGATAGTGCAAATGTTTAGTTCTCATATGTGCGGAAATGAATGGATGTCTTGACTTGATTACTCCTTGATTACAATTTCCATGCATTGAATTTTGTGAATTGGAATAGATGATTGGGTGGTTATGTAGCCATGTGAGTTTTGTGCCGATCTTCTTTGTCATGTGTGATAGATCCCTCTCGCCAGGGTTTGTAACATTCACCGTTGTCACTAGCCAGTATGATGGAGGTATAGGATTATTCCACGCCCAAAAGTTGATTGTCCCGAAACATTTTATCCGCTGGTCAACCCCTCTGAGCCGTGTGACTTTGGGAGTTGTTCTCATGTTAGGAGCTTATTGCTTGTGAGATTAATGGTGATTGATAGAATGACCCCTCAGCCTTTCTTCGTGTCTAAACTGTTGTGAGCCATCCTTATGTCCCGAAGCTCTTGCTTTGGAGCTGCATTGAGGTTCTACGTAGGTGGATTTTGCACCGTTCTTGCTAGGAATGAAGAAGTAGTGTTGGAGGAAGTTCATAATAGAGAGCATTGTTCACTAAGTATTAAGGTGACAAGTGTTTAACTCTCTAGTACCCCCCATGGAAAAAATGGAAAGTAGAAATGAAAAAGAGGTAATAAAACGGGGTAAATAAAAGTAGAGAGGTGCTACAAAGTCTAAGTGTATGCTTGACTCGCTACGACACAACTCCTAACAATGGCCAAGTGTAACCAATGAAAGTGACTGCAGTATAGTGGCTCAAATAATAAATATCGAATCCACGGGTCTCTAGAGTTACTATTACTCAGCTTCAGTTCATTATCTAGCAAACCATAGTAAGATTTGATTAACTAAACTAATCTACAAACTAAACTAGGGTTAAACTACTAATTACAAGTTGGGAACTCACTTAGGTATGATTCCCCCTAGCTCCTTAATTAGGTCGAAGTTGTAATTCCCTTCGGTCCCTTTACTATTGATTAAACTGCGAAAGATCCTAAATTAGCTTGGAATCTCTTAAGCAGACCAAGCCCTCTCAGACATATTATCCGAAAAACGACTAGCCTTCACTGGGATAGAATGCTAAGGCGATACACACAGATCTCCACTACGTGGAATGAATTCCAGTACAAAGTAGTGAATTGATTGACTCTCGCACAATCAATTCACTCCTATCAATTAAAGAAGCACTATCAACCTAATCAGTTTCTATTAATCATAGGTTAAAGCAGAAATCAAGAGAATTTCTAGAGTTCGTCCCTTGGGTGTTTTCTAACCAAAAACCCAGCTCTCCCTTTCTAAAATCGCAGAAATCAGACTTATACCCGAGTAGGGGCTGAAACACGGTCGGGAACACGGCCGTGTTTAGTCCTGCCCGTGTTTAGTCCCGCCCGTGTTTTGCATCCCTTCAGCAGTCTTCACAAGAGAGGCTCGGAATATAAAAAGACTGGCAAGTGCTAAACAATACATGGTCGTGTTTTTAGGGAATCCTGCCCGTGTTTCTTCCTCGGCTCTTTTTCTAGTGTCTTTGATGCTTCGTTTCTCCCTCGTCCGGACTCCGAATCAGTCGTCGTTTGATCCCAGACGCTTGCAGTCTCGTCCTCTTTCTTTTCATGAAAATCTTATATGATTATTTTTCCATAAAATGAGGTAGAAGTCCATTATTCTTCAGGTCATGCCCAAGTTTCGTCTCCTGAATCGCCAATTGATCTTCGATTGACTTGAAACTTGCGCCTATGCTTCACTCATGCGCTAGGACCTGAAATGTGACAAAGGAACACAACCTAGCGTAAAATAGGCCAATAAATCACAAACTCGAGCCAAAACGATCAAGAAACAAGGGTGCAAACATGTGCAAATACGACGTTATCAAATTCCCCCACACTTAATCGTTTGTTTGTCCCCAAGCAAACCAAGTCAGAGACAAGGTAAGCTTAAAACATTTTAACCATGCTGATAACGTTGTATTTTCACATTTTAGCATCCTCGTTTCTTATCTGTTTGGGCTCGTAGTCGTGTGTCTTTGGTCTATTTTACGTTGGGTTGCGTTCTTTTGTCATATTTCAGGTCCCAGACGTCAAATGAAGGTCTAGACGCGAATTTCGGGTCATTTGGAGGCCATTCGGTGTAGCAGAAGCAAAACACGGGCAAGCTCACTAACGAACACGGTCGTGGTCACTGAGGATCACGCAAGTGCTTTTTAGTGCACGAGTTGAATCGATGCAAGGGTATGAAGAACCCTAGTTCCATGTGTTAAGGATTTCAGTTGTAATGACTTTTGGATTGATATCCTATTTGATTATAATCGATTGAAGTGTCTTTATTGAGTCAATTGAATCCTGGTCAACTTCTTTTGAATTCTGCTGCAACCTGAGATAGATAGAATCTGATTAGGTTGTTAGAGCTTCTTCAATGGAAAGGAGTGAATTGATTATACGAGAGTTAGTAAATTCACTGCTTTGTACTGGAATCTGGTTCCACTAGTGTAGTTCTGTGTTAATTGCCTTAGCTTTTTATCCCGGTGAAGACTAGTCGTCTGCCGGTTAATCTGTCTAAGAGGGCTTAGTCAGCTTAAGAAATTTGATAACGATGTAATTGCACATATTTGCGCCCCTAGTTCTTATCCGTTTGAGGGGCATAGTCGTGTGTTTTTGGCCTATTTTATGCCGGGTTGTGCTATTTTGTCATGTTTCAGGTCCCAGGTGTAAAAGGGAAGGCTAAGCACGAGTTTCGGGGCATTCGGAAGTCATTTCGGTGAAACTGAGCCAAAACACGGGCACACCTAAACCAGAACACGGCCGTGTTCTGAGACCGTGCTTTTACTGCCGAGAGCTAATTCGAGTTTGGCAAACATTGGCCAAAACACGGGCAGGGCTGAGATAGAACACAGGCGTGCTTCACCAAAGCAAGGCCGTGTCCTCCCAAAAGCACGACCGTGTTTCTCCTAGTGTAATTAACACTAGCCAAAGCATGGGCGGGCTGAGGCATTACACGGTCGTGCCCTCGACCGTGCTTTGGCCACTGATGCCCTTTTAAGCAGATTTTCAGCCAAACAGAAGGGTATTCGAGTTTTTGAGAGAGAGAACGATTCCTAGAGAGAGAAAGCGACGAACAAGAGTCTCCAAGCGCCCTAGCTTGATCTTCAACACCATTGAAGGCCAGCTTGAGCTTGGAGAAGTGCCGATCAACGTCCAGGAGCAGGAATCCATCCTTCACAGTATGAATTCCACGTCTGATTCTGCTTTTGCTTCTTTCTCCATGGAGTAGTTCTCCCATTCATCTGGATTTGTACGTTAGGCTTTGATTGTATGAACCCAAGTACTGATTCTATGAGTTGATTATATTCGATTATGGTTTGAATGATTGAATGACTTGAATCCTGATCAAATTCCTGTTGTTTCTGCTTTGACCTAGAATGAGAATATCTGCCTAGGTTGATAGAGCATCCTTGATTGAAGGTAGGGAGTTGGTGACTTTAGTCGAGGAGCCAACTCACTATTCTGTACCGGATTTACTCCGGTAGTGGAGGTGTTGTTTGTTAAGGCCTCAATCTGTTTACTCCGGTGGAGATTAGTCGCCCGCTAGAGACTCAGATTGAGAGGGTCTGAAGACCTTTAGTCGAGACTTCAGGCTGTTTAAGAACCTTCCGCAGTATAACTATCATAGAAACTGAACTTGGTAATTACAATCCGGCTTAACTGCAGTCTAGGGGGAACCATATCCGGGTGACCTCTCTTAACCTGAATACAACCGTTTACTTGCTTTGTTAGTTTGTTAGTTTAGACTTGCATTAAAGTTTCATTGCTAGATAACAAGAATTCACTGAGTAGTCATCAAATCTAGGACCCGGGTTGATAATTAAACCTAAACCCGCTATACTACGCTTTAGGAAGTGGTTACACTTGGCCAATTCCTAGGGTGACAGTAGAAGTGAGTCAAGTTTTTGGCGCCGTTGCCGGGGACGGCTAGGTTGTTGAAGAAAAGTGATTTCTGTTAATTTAGCTTTTCTTTTTGCTTTGTTTGCTTTGTCCCACTTGTGCCTTCACGGCTTTGCTTGCTTGAGTGTGTGCAGGTAGTGCATGACCCATAGCCAGTCAGGAGGTTTACTGCCGTTGAATCCAGAGATTGACCGCACCTATCGCCAGCTCAGGAGACAACAGCGAGCTAGACTGGCTACGGAAGAGTGCATAGACGGCCACCTGAGTAGCGATTCTGAAGAAGAGTACGGGATGGACGGAGACTACAATCAGCACCAGGGGAATCCGCAGCAGGTTCCCCCGGTGAATCAGGTCCTGGGGAACAACCCCATACCTCAGGATCATGGAGTTCATCATCCACCACAGTCGGGTCCCACCTTGGAGTACTACTACACTCCTCGGATTGCTGACATCCGCCCGGTCATCCTCTACCCGCCTATTCCAGCAAATAACTTCGAGATCAAGCCATGTTGGATTCAGCTCATCACATCCTCTATCCAGTTCCATGGCATGAAGGATGAGGAGGCCAGGGTGCATCTTTCCCGTTTTCTGCAGCTGACGAACAGGTTCAAGCTGAATGGTGTCCCGGATGATGCAATCCGCCTTCATCTCTTCCCCCATTCTCTGGCGGGGAATGCTAAGAGGTGGTTGGAGACCCAGCCCCCATTGTCCATCACCTCTTGGGATGATCTGGCTGACAAATTCGTGCACAGGTACTATCCGGCATCGAAGACTACAGAGATCCAGCGGGAGATCACTCACTTCCGCCAAGAGCCAGATGAGTCACTTCGTGATGCTTGGGAGCGGTACATGGGCTATTTCTAGCAGTGTCCCCATCATGGCTTCAGTGATGCGATCACAGTGGGGAACTTCTACAGTGCCCTCTCTCCAGATAGCCAGAGGGTGATTGAGTCTCTATGCCCAGGAGGGGATATTCTTACTAAGAATCCACTCGAGCTGAACCAGATGATCAGTACTTTGGCTGCCAGAGATCATTCTTGGGGACAGGGTAGCCGAGGCAGACAGTCCCGGGACCGTGGTGTGCACGCCATGGAGACCAGATCCGGGCTCGAGCCGCAGGTAGTTGAGCTAGTGCAGACATTGAAGCAGCCCAACAGTCTTATTCCGGGCAGAGGTTTGGCTACACCTCCAGTTGCTCAATGTCAGTGGTGTGAGAGCTCGAATCACTTAGTGGAAGACTGCCAGGCTATGAGGGAGTCCACTACTCCCCAAGAGCAGTTGGACTTCATCGCCAATGCTCGGCGCCTCGACCCGTACAGCAACACATATAATGAGGGGTGGCGCCAGCATCCCAACTTCTCTTGGGGCAGCAACACCACTAAGCTACCTGGTTTCCCAGCACCAGTAGGTGGTTTTCAGCAGAGGCAGCCCTTCCAGGCTCGACAGGGGCCAGCCCCACAGCAGCAGCCCTACCAGCCTAGGCAGGGGCAACCATTCCAGCAGCCCCAGCGCTAGTTTGCCGAGCCAGCAGCAGCTCCAGCCCCAGATGACCGGATGACAAAGCTGGAAAATATTCTAGCTTCATTCATGACTAGCACTCAGGCTGCCATCACGTCACTGGAGGCAGGTCAGCGGAACCAGGGTGCCATTTTGCAAGATCTGCAGACCCAGATGGGCATCTTGCCACCACTATCCCGAATCCTCGGGATCCTCACCAGCTCCAGCAGCTGGATGCCATTTTTACCAGGAGCGGTAAGACCATATCTGCTGATCCTGTCCCGGCCAGACAGGAGGAACCACTACCTGATTCAGCACTTCCAGCCGACGATGCAGAAGTGCGGGTGGAGAAGGAAGCCCCTGCTCCCAAGCCACAACCAGTGGTTAAGGAGCATGTACCTCAGCTTCCCTTCCCCACTCGCCTACACAAAGACAAGCTGGAGACTGAGTTTGCCAAGTTTATGGCAATGTTGAAGCAGCTCAACATCAGCATACCGTTCGTGGAGGCACTGTCGAAGATGCCCAAGTATGCCAAGTTCATGAAAGACGTCCTCACCGACAAGAAGAAACTTGGGGATCTCTCGACAGTGTTGCTAAGCGAGGAGTGTTCTGCTATCCTGCAGAACAAGCTGCCCGAAAAGCGCAAGGATCCAGGGAGTTTTACTATCCCTCTTACTATTGGCAGCATGCATGTAGGCAAGTCCTTGGCGGACCTAGGCGCTAGCATAAATGTCATGCCATATAAGTTGTATAAAAAGCTAGACCTAGGTGAATTTAGCCCTACTAGGATGAGCATTCAGCTAGCTGATCGTTCCATTGTGCATCCTAGGGGGATCATAGAGGATCTGCTTGTTAAAGTAGGTGCATTCACATATCCTGTTGATTTTGTTATTCTTGATATACATGAGGATGTGGATGTGCCTTTGATTCTGGGTAGACCATTTCTGGCCACCGCCAAGGCACTTATTGATGTGCATGATGGTAAACTGATCTTGCGTGCTGGGAATGAACATGCTACTTTTTCTGTGACTGAATTTGATCACTATGCTTTCATTGCTGTCACACCTGTGCATGCCATTTCTGATCAGGTACACGAGCCTGTCGTGTATCCTTCTGCACCTCTTATTTTGCAGGACCCTCCTATCATTCCTTCGCCGCCACTCCATCCAGCCTCGCTTCCGAACAAAAAGATCAACGAGGAGTGGCGGCCGAAGCAGCAGATTGCTATGCCTGCACGGAAGAAGGGGGGAGACCACTACGAGCTGGTCCCACCTCCTGCACCACGACCACCCTGGCCGTCCGGGTACTCACTCGCCTGCATCTTACCGGATGGCAAGGTCGAGCTGATCGATGATGGTGGTCGCATCTGTCGGGTGCATGGCCACAACCTGAAGCTGTACCTCAAGATCGACGTGGATCCGCTCTTGGAGGCACCTGTTCCTGCACCTCCCTGAGTATCCACCATGGGCGTCCAGCTAAAAGACGGTAAAGAAGCACTTGCGGGGAGGCAACCCCACCACGGTTTGATTTTCTTTCTTGTGTTTTGAGTCGGATTGTAAACCAGTTTGGTTTTGGTTTGTTTCTTTTGTTTTGGATGATGTTTTATTGGGCTGACCATTGGACCTAACATATTATGTTTGAGCTCTTTGGTTTCCTTTGGCTGTGCTTGTCTTGACTAGTCCTCTCTCCAGTCCGCTTCACTCCGACTGGCCCGTCTCCAGTCTCCTGCAGTTCGTGCATACCGGTAACATCGTTCCCCTTATCCTTCCCTCTTCTCCATTGAGGGCAATGTCGATCTTAAGTGTGGGGGGATGTTTATCTTTTGACTGCATTTGATCTGTTTGTGTGCTTGGAGCCTAGTCCACTGTCCAAATTTTTAGTTTTTAAATTTGAAGGCTCCAAGTACGTGTTCCTTGCAATTGCCTGCTCAGTATGCTTTGAATTGACAGTCTTTATAGTAATATGCAACCTAGGGAGGTAGTGTAGCACTATGGAGGATGTTGATGCATTTAAGAAGTCTCGTTTCTTCTTCATATTGTGTTGGTTGATTGAGTGAATTAGTGATCTTAGGACCCTTGAATTGTGTGGTGTTGTGGATTCTCTACCTGTCATGGACTCTTGTTTCTTGTTTTGAGTTTAACAGGTGCACGAAAATGTGCTTCAAAATAACGTCTCCCGTGCGAATAGGGCGAAAGTGTGTAAGGGGAGACGGGAATCCGTTCCCAATTTCCACCTACTACCTCCAGCCCCCTTACATGTCTTTCCCCCGCACGAGGCTCGAGACATCCACTCCTGGCATGGCCGGTAAGAGCCGGTTGGGACCCTTGAAAAAAAGAAAATAAAAATTAAATAACAGAAAACAAGCAAAACAGAAAGAAAAGGGGTTCCAACCATCTTCAAGAAGAAAATAGAGCACCTTGAAAAATGTGAGTCCATGATCCTTTGTTTTTTAGAATCTCTCCATCCACGATTCATTTGTCCTCTGTTCACTATTTGCCATGATGCCGACTCGATACTAGTGCTCTCGTCGAAGAAGCTATGAGATGACTTGTGCGTCGTTTGACCTCGTAAGTTGCTAAATGATCTAGGAAGTCCTCTACCTATGATCTGGGTTGTTTGTTGCTATAGAGGTCGGGAGAGTTGCATTGGTTTGAGTTAGGTTTGCTTGGGGACAAGCAAACGGTTAAGTTTGGGGGAGTTTGATAACGATGTAATTGCACATATTTGCGCCCCTAGTTCTTATCCGTTTGAGGGGCATAGTCGTGTGTTTTTGGCCTATTTTATGCCGGGTTGTGCTATTTTGTCATGTTTCAGGTCCCAGGTGTAAAAGGGAAGGCTAAGCACGAGTTTCGGGGCATTCGGAAGTCATTTCGGTGAAACTGAGCCAAAACAAGGGCACACCTAAACCAGAACACGACCGTGTTCTGAGACCGTGCTTTTACTGCCGAGAGCTAATTCGAGTTTGGCAAACATTGGCCAAAACAAGGGCAGGCTGAGATAGAACACGGGCGTGCTTCACCAAAGAACGACCGTGTCCTCCCAAAAGCACGGCCGTGTTTCTCCTAGTGTAATTAACACTAGCCAAAGCACGGGCGGGCTGAGGCATTACACGGCCGTGCCCTCGACCGTGCTTTGGCCACTGATGCCCTTTCAAGCAGATTTTCAGCCAAATAGAAGGGGATTCGAGTTTTTGAGAGAGAGAACGATTCTTAGAGAGAGAAAGCGACGAACAAGAGTCTCCAAGCGCCCTAGCTTGATCTTCAACACCATTGAAGGCCAGCTTGAGCTTGGAGAAGTGCCGATCAACGTCTAGGAGCAGGAATCCATTCTTCACAGTATGAATTCCACGTCTGATTCTGCTTTTGCTTCTTTCTCCATGGAGTAGTTCTCCCATTCATCTGGGTATGGAGAACCCTAGATTTGTATGTTAGGCTTTGATTGTATGAACCCAAGTACTGATTATATCAGTTGATTATATTCGATTGAGGTTTGAATGATTGAATGACTTGAATCCTGATCAAATTCCTGTTGTTTCTGCTTTGACCTAGAATGAGAATATCTGCCTAGGTTGATAGAGCATCCTTGATTGAAGGTAGGGAGTTGGTGACTTTAGTCGAGGAGCCAACTTACTATTCTATACCGGATTTACTCCGGTAGTGGAGGTTTTGTTTGTTAAGGCCTCAATCTGTTTACTCCGGTGGAGGTTAGTTGCCCGCTAGAGACTCAGATTGAGAGGGTCTGAAGACCTTTAGTCGAGACTTCAGGCTGTTTAAGAACCTTCTGCAGTATAACTATCATAGAAACTGAACTTGGTAATTACAATCCGGCTTAACTGCAGTCTAGGGGGAACCATATCCGGGTGACCTCTCTTAACCTGAATACAACTGTTTACTTGCTTTGTTAGTTTGTTAGTTTAGACTTGCATTAAAGTTTCATTGCTAGATAACAAGAATTCACTGAGTAGTCATCAAATCTAGGACCCGGGTTGATAATTAAACCTAAACCCGCTATACTACGCTTTAGGAAGTGGTTACACTTGGCCAATTCCTAGGGTGACAGTAGAAGTGAGTCAAAATTCCAAGCTACCATCGGATCTTTCGCCGTTTAATCAACAGTAAATCAACCTAAGGAAATGATAAAGCACCAGGGGGTGCTTTGTTTGATCAGAATACGCAGCTTGAAACTCTTCAACGAAAGAAGAAACAGATAGGTAGAATTTCGCCACAATCAAGGTGATTACTTGATTGATAGGAAACTTATAAAACGAATCTGGAATCCTCACAAAAAAGCTTGACAAGGGTTCTCGAATTAGCAATGGAATCCTCACAAAACTAACTCAATGATTTGATTCATGAGACAACTCAAAGAACTCGAAACTCACGTAGGAGTAATTTTTATTCACCTCAACTCTTCTGTTTTTGCAACGCAAACTAGAAGGTTTTTAAAGGCAAATAAACCTAATAAAATCCTAATATAGCTATTCAACAATTAAGGTAAAATTCTACACTAAAAAGTACACAAAAATTCGGGTTTAAACTACCTTTCTTGAAGCACAAGCAAGCTGCCAGCAAACAGTCAAAAGGAAGCTTTCGTACTACCTTCGCGCCTTTTGTTCGAGGCATTCCAGAGCTCCAATTCTTCATCCAGTTCCTTCCCTTTGTTCAAAAACATACCTAGTTTCATGTTGAGGAAGCCTTTTGACTTGAATCCCATCCATGCGCCTTGAATTGAGCTCCAAAGTAGGCTTCAAAAAACAGTTTTCTTCCTTCGCTATTTTCTGGCAGTTTTTCAGTTTTGAGGTAGCAACTTTGAGGCCTTGGAAAACAACCTTAATGACATCATCTGGATCCACAAAGCATACCATTGGAAAGAGGGACACTTTATCTGCAAAAGAAACCCTTAAAATTGAATTTGCACCAAGCCAATTGAGAGAACCATGCCTCCAAAGTATGTACCCTGAACACTGATTTTGACTTGGCCAAATTTTGTCCTTCTTCTTCCCAACTTCGATAGCTTCTTCGTCAAGTAATTTAAACGTGTAGAGCTGGCTAATTGGGACCATATCAGGTTCGCCCTCTTCAAAAAGCTTTGGCCATTAAGCTTGAAGCTTCCTTTTGTCAAAATCGTCACAAAATTCCTCACAAATCGAGTCACGAAATAGGTACCTCGAACTTGCAATGTCGAACTTAAAATCTTCATTAACTGGCGAATCGGATGCTGTTTTCCACGATTCAAGTTCCATTATGTTCGTGGTACTACAACGGACCTTTTCCACGCAATAAAGCTGCTCAGTAGAACTCTGAACTTGTTGCGCACAATTTCCTGTTTTCGGCGCCGGCAAGAACTCCGGCGAGAGCTTCAAATTTTGGAATTTTCTTTTGATGCTTGATCGCTCCAATTCACCACACGTAATCGACTTGCCCGCATCCCAGTAATCGATCCCAACCATTCCCAACCTTCGAATAAGCCTGACGGGTTCCCAATTAACGTTCAAATGTTTCCCACCATTGGGAAAGTTCAAATTCCGAGTTTCCGGCGAAGAAAACCCAGAAATCGGCGACTCAATTCCAGAATCCGGCGACCCCAAAATTAAATTGGGGGGTTTTTTTATTCCGGCTTCTCCACGACAAATTGTCTAGTCCCAAACCTTCCTTGGACCTTCCCAAATGTGTCTACAGCCTCCAAAGGTTTTGATTCACTACCAATCGCTCCATTCGAATCTTTCTTTTCTTCTTCAAAATTTTGGCCAAAAATTGTCGAATTGGGCGTTTGGACCTCACGCATCGTTAGGATGAATTGGTGACTCCTACAGGTTCGTACAATACTTTCCTTCAATTCTTCACTTTTGGCTTGCTTCAATTCATGCCCAGCTGCTCCAACCATTAAGCTCGATTTTTGGTCCTCTCTGCTCGTTTTCAGGGGTACTTGGCTCGATCTTGATCCGACAAATTAGGTGTATTCGACTCCAATAGGCTTGTGGATGAGCTTCTCAATATAGAATCGATCATGTCGGGAGTAGTGGTTGAGTTCGGATCTCCTTCCAGTGTTCCACCCCATTGTCTCTCTCTCTTACTCTGCTCCATTGTCACCGGCGAACAGAGTTTCGCTGCACTCGTCACCAGGCCGATTTGCGCGTCGGTGGTTGGCTCCAAGCCATATCCTAGCTCTCTCATTCCTCCTTCAACGTCTACGAACACATCTCTGGCCTCGGAGAGCTCTTCCCTTACTTCCTCCTTCGACGTCTACGGACACTACTAGCGTCGGCGCTCTGTTTTCCCGGCGAAAAACAGGGGTCTTCAGCTTCAGCCTTCGTTTTTGCTGACTTGATTCTCCACGTCAACGGCGTCGTCAACAAAGCCTTCCTGTACTCTTCCTGTAGACGTTGCAGCACCTTCAAGTCATCCAAAGCTTCTTCTGCAGCCAAAGGCTTTAAAATAAATGCCTTGCTTTGATGCTTCAATCGAAATTGCTTGCTTCTTCTGCTAACCAGCCGAACTTGTCAATCATGAAACCAAGTATGTCCCAAAATAATACTACTGAGTAGATTGTAGACCACATCACACAAAATCTGATCTTCATAATGGCCAATCGAGAATTTCACATTCACCTGAGATACTACGATGTCGAATATATTTTCGTATGGTGATTCGAAAACATAGGGCTTCGGAAGCATCTATGTTTGCATCCCTAGCTTGCTCACAACTCTAGAGGAAATCAAATTCCTCTCCCTGCCTCCATCCACGAGAACTATCACAGCTGCTCATCGATTAAGCAACACGTGAAGATCATGGAATTTGCTAACTCTGCTGCCGCCTGTAACACCCCAACATTTGGGTCTGGGTTCGACCAAACGATTGTATCAACAGCAGCAACAACAACATTTGCTCATCAAAGGTAATAATCATCATTCTCCCCACTCACTCTCACCAGCGGTAGGAAAGAGGAAGAAAGGAAGAAAAGAAAAAAAAAAGATGTGGACTGGGCTTGCGGCCCGGAGAAGAAAAGGAAGGGCGGGCTTGGCCTGCTGGCCTAGAAGGAAGAAGGGGAAAGAAGAAGGGCTTTGGCCCGAAGGAAAGAAAGAAGGAAAGGAAGAAAGGGAGAAGATTTGGCCCGGCGGCCAGGGGGAAAGAGGAGGAAAGGAATGGGCTCGGTTTTGGCCCAAGATGAGAAAGAGAAGGAATAGATGGGCTGGAGCCCGAAAGAAAGAAAGAAGCGAAGGAGGAGGGTGGGATTGAGGCCCGAGTGCAAGGAAGGAAAGAGGAATCGTCTTCCTCTGGAAAGCTCGACTAGGAGAGTGGAAACAGGGTGAAATAAAGACAGAGGAACGACAGGTTGCGGGGAGGAAGGTAAGGCAATCGATCAGGCCTCTCGGCGATAACGGGCGTAGGTTTTGGTAACGAAAATGGCGATTTCAGATTTTAATTGGGACTTAATGGCTGATGTATTTAGGGTCGTTAGCTGATCGGGATTGGGTTACAATGATGAGAGGGCAGGAGAAATCGAAAACCGAAGAAGAAGAGGTGAGCAGCGAGCATCTGTCCCTGGAAAGGCTAGATGGAGCCGGCACCAAGAGGAAGAGGAGCGAGGTGGATCCGAACGAGGGTAGTGGCTCGGGGACGCAAGAAGAGGCCCGGAAGCTTGACGACGGTGAGAAGCTTTGCTGTGGACTCCAACATTGGCGGGGTGAAGGATAGCACGGAACCGTCGATGAGGCCAAACGCTTACCTACCCAAACGACGTGGAATCTTGGAAATCCGGCATTTCCCTCCGAACTGTGGTCGGAGAGGGGAAGCCGAAGGTGGGATTGACGGTGGCGTGGGTTTCTCGCGGAGGGTGGCCGTTGACGAGGCGATGTTCGAGGAAGAAGAAGAGGAACCTGAGGAGTCGGTCGTGGATGGGTTTGAGGAGGAGGAGGAAGGAGGCGATGACGGTGGCCGGAGCTGGGGCGGCAACGAGAAAACCGTGAGGAGCGACGACGAGGTAAGACGCTCCTCCAATTTTGGAGTTCAATGGCATTGAGTTGGAAATTTGATGAATAGTCAAGGACGTGTATGTCTTTTTGGAATTGGGGGAGATTTGGTAAAAATTAGGAAGTTTAGGCGCCGTAAGTTAATTGACCAGGCTTGGGGTGAATTCGGAATTGGTAAATATTTGGGTACCGGATTGAAATAAGCCGTTTGGACTGAAGTGTTTAAATCAGAAAGTGAAAATTGGTATGAAGGACTGAATTGAGCAATTGTGTAAATTTGGGGCCCAATTGTAAAACCTGGGAATTTCGAGTACCATTTGGTAATTTGTCGTTTTGGGGCAAAAAGGTAATTTTCCAGAATTTTATGAGGAATCTTAGGAGAGGTTAAATGGAGGAAATTGGGATTGAAATTAACCAAATTGAAGGTCGTTTGGTTAGTTATGCTTAGAGATAAGTGAGTTAAGTTTTGCCTAATTATCTAATAGGAGGAAATGCAAAAGGAAGCGAAGCACGAGGAGTTGGAGCATGGAGTTTCGGAGGATGACGTGGGGCAACCGTCGATTAAGAAGAGTTGTCTTTTCGAGGTGAGTGTAAAGAGGGTAAAATCTCCGTCGAGGTCTTTTAGTTTATGCCTTTTTAATTCAGTTATGTTATTTAATTTTCAAGTAAGCGCGATTATGTGTGTGAGACATCCCACCGCCTACTTAAGGTGGAGGCACGCGTTGTGCTATGTATGTGTGTGTTTATGATGTATGGATGATGATAATGGAACCCCCGGGCGGTTGGGCCACTACTGGACGCGGTAGATGGTCGGGTCACTACTGGACGGCGATACGTAACGCAGTACCATTGCCTTGAGGATAGGGACACCGGACGGCGATACGTAACGTGGTGATTCCCTAGTAATAAGTATATAAGTTAAGGTAGTAGTAGAGAACTTCTACGGTTTAAGGTTAAAATTTGAGAACCTCTATGTGTTAAAGTTGAAATGAGTTGTTAAGGACGAAAGTGAGAACGACTTTCATCTAAGGAAAGGAAACACTAATAACGTGTTTTAGTAAGGAGATTTCTAAGGGCAGAGACCTTAGGAAGTAACGACGAGACTGACCCCTTCTCACTCACCAGGTTGAGGTTGGGTTAGCTGAAGTGGATCCCGAGGAGAAGTAAGATGAGGCGAGCGGTCGTGCCAGTACTCGTGAGATGTCAAGGAGCTGGGTGAAGAGTTAGAATTAAAATTTGGAAGTTATTTTATTATTATGATTATGAGTATATGTATTGGAGATTCCAGGTTCAAGTTTCTGTGTTAAGTCGTTTTGAGTGTTTGAGTTTGAGATTTTGCCCAAGTGTTGGGGCTTTTCGCTTAAAGTTCTTAAATAATGTCAGTTGTTTATTTCAAAATGTGGTTTGGGTTGCTCCGGAGTAACCGGTTTTTGGGTTTGAGTTGTGATTTGATTTTCGAAAAAGGTCGGGACGTTACATTTTGGTATCAGAGCCGGCACTCCTCTGTTTCTTGGTCTCCAAGGAATACTGGAGGGACGATCTGAGTTTTTCTAGGTTTCATTTTTTAAAGGAAAGGAAAAAAGATGTCTGGTTTATTGTTTGGCCAAGCGAGCCAAGGGTCTTTTAAGGATTTTTGGAATCTCCAGTATACTCTAATCATGATTAGGGAAATAACTCTAGGAGATCTGACGAGGTGATGATAGGTCTCGGGAAGGAGAAACAACAAATTCCTAAGGACGAGGTTCCAGGCAGCTCATATCCTTCTGGGATGTGAGCTGATCAGAACAAGGTTCAAAGTATCCAGTTCGTCGACATACAGTAGCCAAGGGGTTACGGCAAATGACGACCATCATCTAGAGGAAAGGATGCAAGGAAGGTCTGTGAGTTCACGAGGATTGAACGTAGGGTTACGACCCAAGGAATAGTGGAAAGTTAGACTTTCAGTAATGCTAGGGGGCACACAAGAAAAGCAAAGGAGGATCTTGGACCTTATGGATACAATAGGCCAGTAAGAAGAGGGATAATGGACCTGGGTAACTGATGTGACGACAAAAATTGGGAAAGAAGGAGACCACCATCGAGAAAAATGATGTAAAGAATGAGGAGAGATTCTAGAGACCCTACTACTTACGGTAGCCACGAGAGGTCAAAAATACAAGGGACACAAGGAGTATCACCGGACTCGGGTAGGTTAGGAGTTCCAATCTCGAAACTTTTCTAAGGAAAAGTCATCAAGCGAGGCAAGGAACGATAGGAAAGTAGAACGTTAAAGGGGAGTTCTAATAAATGTCAAAGAAGGCAAGTAGAACTTTTGAGAAGGAATGACGAGGAGCTAGTGAGCTGAGTTCGAGCATCAAAGCAAGAACCAAGCATCGATAAAGGACTTGTGAAATTAAAGGAAGTGTAAATCCCTATAGAAGAAGGATTGCCACAGGTAAGATTTTGAGCTAACGCGACGGACAAATTTCGAGGTCGAAATTTTTCTTAAGGGGGGAGGGAAATGTGATGCCTCGACTTCGATTTGAGGTCCAACAATAAGTGCTGACTGAGCTGGACCATCATCCGCGTGAGGGAATAGAATAAGTAAGGTAAACTATACAGGTCAAGCAACGGAAATCAACGAATTTCATTGAGCGAGAGTAAATTCTCAAGACAAGGAAGTACACGAACGAGAGTATGGAAAATGAGTCCGAGCAAATTTCGGGGACGAAATTTTTATAAGGGTGGAGGAAATGTAACACCCCAACATTTGGGTCTGGGTTCGACCAAACGATTGTATCAACAGCAGCAACAACAACATTTGCTCATCAAAGGTAATAATCATCATTCTCCCCACTCACTCTCACCAGCGGTAGGAAAGAGGAAGAAAGGAAGAAAAGAAGAAAAAAAAAGATGTGGACTGGGCTTGCCGCGCGGAGAAGAAAAGGAAGGGCGGGCTTGGCCTGCCGGCCCAGAAGGAAGAAGGGGAAAGAAGAAGGGCTTTGGCCCGAAGGAAAGAAAGAAGGAAAGGAAGAAAGGGAGAAGATTTGGCCCGGCGGCCAGGGGGAAAGAGGAGGAAAGGAATGGGCTCGGTTTTGGCCCAAGATGATAAAGGGAAGGAATAGGTGGGCTGGAGCCCGAAAGAAAGAAAGAAGCGAAGGAAGAGGGTGGGATTGAGGCCCAAGTGCAAGGAAGGAAAGAGGAATCGTCTTCCTCTGGAAAGCTCGACCAAGAGCGTGGAAACATGATGAAATAAAGACAGAGGAACGGCAGGTTGCGGGGAGGAAGGTAAGGCAATTGATCAGGCCTCTCGGCGATAACGGGCGTAGGTTTTGGGTAACGGAAATGGCGATTTCAGATTTTAATTGGGACTTAATGGCTGATGTATTTAGGGTCGTTAGTTGATCGGGATTGGGTTACAATGATGAGAGGGCAGGAGAAATCGAAAACCGAAGAAGAAGAGGTGAGCAGCGAGCATCTGTCCCTGGAAAGGCTAGATGGAGCCGGCACCAAGAGGAAGAGGAGCGAGGTGGATCCGAACGAGGGTAGTGGCTCGGGGACGCAAGAAGAGGTCCGGAAGCTTGACGACGGCGAGAAGCTTTGTTGTGGACTTCGATGTTGGCGGGTGAAGGATAGCACGGAACCGTCAATGAGGCCAAACGCTTACCTACCCAAACGACGTGGAATCTTGGCAATCCGGCATTTCCCTCCGAACTGTGGTCGGAGAGGGGAAGCCGAAGGTGGGATTGACGGTGGCGGGGGTTTCTCGCGGAGGGCGGCCGTTGACGAGGCGATGTTCGAGGAAGAAGAAGAGGAACCTGAGGAGTCGGTCGTGGATGGGTTTGAGGAGGAGGAGGAAGGAGGCGATGACGGTGGCCGGAGCTGGGGCGGCAACGAGAAAACCGTGAGGAGCGACGGCGAGGTAAGACGCTCCTGCAATTTTGGAGTTCAATGGCATTGAGATGGAAATTTGATGAATAGTCAAGGACGTATATGTCTTTTTGGAATTGGGGGAGATTTGGTAAAAATTAGGAAGTTTAGGCGCCGTAAGTTAATTGACCAGGCTTGGGGTGAATTCGGAATTGGTAAATATTGGGGTACCGGATTGAAATAAGCCGTTTGGACTGAAGTGTTTAAATCAGAAAGTGGAAATTGGTATGAAGGACTGAATTGAGCAATTCTGGAAATTTGGGGCCCAATTGTAAAACCTGGGAATTTCGAGTACCATTTGGTAATTTGTCGTTTTGGGGCAAAAAGGTAATTTTCCAGAATTTTATGAGGAATCTTAGGAGAGGTTAAATGGAGGAAATTGGGATTGAAATTAACCAAATTGATGGTCGTTTGGTTAGTTACGCTTAGAGATAAGTGAGTTAAGTTTTGCCTAATTATCTAATAGGAGGAAATGCAAAAGGAAGCGAAGCACGAGGAGTTGGAGCGTGGAGTTTCGGAGGATGACGTGGGGAAACCGTCGATTAAGAAGAGTCGTCTTTTCGAGGTGAGTGTAAAGGGGGTAAAATCTCCGTCGAGGTCTTTTAGTTTATGCCTTTTTGATTCGGTTATGTTATTTAATTTTCAAGTAAGCGCGATTATGTGTGTGAGGCATCCCACCGCCTACTTAAGGTGGAGGCACGCGTTGTGCTATGTATGTGTGTGTTTATGATGTATGGATGATGATAATGGAACCCCCGGGCGGTTGGGCCACTACTGGATGCGGTAGATGGTCGGGTCACTACTGGACGGCGATACGTACGCAGTGGTTGACCGGGTATGGACTGGACGGCGATACGTAACGCTGTACCATTTCCTTGAGGATAGGGACACCGGACGGCGATACATAACGCGGTGATTCCCTAGTAATAAGTATATAAGTTAAGGTAGTAGTAGAGAACTTCTACGGTTTAAGGTTAAAAGTTGAGAACCTCTATGTGTTAAAGTTGAAATGAGTTGTTAAGGACGAAAGTGAGAACGACTTTCATCTAAGGAAAGGAAACGCTAATAACGTGTTTTAGTAAGGAGATTTCTAAGGGCAGAGACCTTAGGAAGTAACGACGAGACTGACCCCTTCTCACTCACAAGGTTGAGGTTGGGTTAGCGTAAGTGGATCCCGAGGAGAAGTAAGATGAGGCGAGCGGCCGTGCCAGTACTCGTGAGATGTCAAGGAGCTGGGTGAAGAGTTAGAGTTAAAATTTGGAAGTTATTTTATTATTATGATTATGAGTATATGTACTGGAGATTCCAGGTTCAAGATTCTGTGTTAAGTCGTTTTGAGTGTTTGAGTTTGAGATTTTGCCCAAGTGTTGGGGCTTTTCGCTTAAAGTTCTTAAATAATGTCAGTTGTTTATTTCAAAATGTGGTTTGGGTTGCTCCGGAGTAACCGGTTTTTAGGTTTGAGTTGTGATTTAATTTTCGAAAAAGGTCGGGACGTTACACCGCCATTGTTACTCAACTTTCCTCTGATTTATTTTTGCGATAATTCGACGAATACAAACTCGATCAATCTTTCTCGCCACTGACTTGAACCGGGCTCTTGACACCACTTGATAAAGCACGAGGGGGTGCTTTGTTTGATCATAATACGCAGCTCGAAACTCTTCAACGAAAGATGAAACGGATAGGTAGAATTTTGCCACAATCAAGGTGATTACTTGATTGATCAGAAACTTGTAAAACAAATCTGGAATCCTCACAGAAAAGCTTGACAAGTGTTCTAGAATTAGCAATGGAATACTCACAAAACTAACTCAAGGATTTGATTCTTGAGACACAACTCAAAGAACGCGAAACTCACGTAGGAGTAATTTTTATTCAACTCAACTCTTCTGTTTTTACAACGAAAACTAGAAGGTATTTAAAGGCAAATAAACCTAATACAATCCTAATAGAGCTAGGAAACAATTAAGGTAAAAGTATACACTAAAAAGGACACAAAAATTCGGGTTTAAACTCCCTTTCTTGAAGCACAAGCAAGCTGCCAGCAAATAGTCAAAAGGCAGCTTTGGTACTAACTTCGCGCCTTTTGTTCGAGGCCTTCCAGAGCTTCAATTCTTCATCCAATTCCTTACCTTTGTTCACAAACATACCTAGTTTCATGTTGAGGAAGATTTTTGACTTGAATCTCATCCATGCTCCTTGAATTGAGCTCCAAAGTAGGCTTTACAAAACAGTTTTCTGCCTTGGCCATTTTCTGGCAGTTTTTCAGTTTTGAGGTAGCAACTTTGAGTCCTTAGAAAACAACCTTAATGACAACATCTGGATCCACAAAGCATACCATTGGAAAGAGGGACACTTCATCTGCAAAACAAACCCTTAAACTTGAATTTACACCAAGCCAATTGAGAGAACCATGCCTCCAAAGTATGTACACTGAACACGGATTTTGACTTAGCCAAATTCTGCCCTTCTTCTTCCCAACTTCGATAGCTTCTTCGTCAAGTAATTTAAACGTGTAGAGCTGGCCAATTGGGATCATATCAGGAAATTACAACTTGGACCTAACTAAGGAGCTAGGAGGACTCATTCCTGAGTGACTCTTCTCTTGCTTCAGGAACCCGTACAATTTACAGCTTTCTTTCTATTTTAGTTTAAACTCATTTTCACTAAACTTTCCACTAGATAACAGATAATCACGGAGTAGGCATTACATCTACGCCTTGGGTTGACATTTATTACTTGATTCCACTATACTGCATTTCCATTCTGCGTTTACACTTGGTCGCAGTTTGGTGTTGTGTCGTAGCATGTCACATGCAAACTTTGGGGAGATATCATACAGGCTCAAAATACATGAATCCTACTAGCTTTTAGACATCAACACATGAACAACAACAGCAACCTGGACAACCACCACAGATGACATTCGAGTGCAGCAAAATTGAGTAAAGGAAGAGTCTCCTTCTGTTAACCCAACAACATAGGCTTGACTCAACCAATCATTCAAAACAGTCACCCATGCATAAAATTCAAGACATCAGAATCAAGACCGAGCGATCTAGGTTCTCACCGGGTTATATAATATGAAACTGAATCACTCACTCTCAACCAGCGGGGTCAGGACAAAACTTGATGCAAGATGTGTGCATACTCATACTCTCAATCCCTAACGTCTCTTCACCATGATGGCACCTCTAAATGTTAGAGTTCACATATCGAGTGTCACCACTAACAAGTCAGGAGATCTTAGACACATGTTCAGATGACTGGCTAGGGTCTTGGACATGGGGAAAAGGCCTTTTAGGTGGTGGAACTGTGGAAGAATTGTTAACACAATGTTCCACAATTCCAAAACCAAACGCAAAAACATTCATTCAAACCATTTACTTTCTTTCTACTATTCTGCATTAATCAAGTTCTTTAGAGCACAAGAGTGAAGGAGGTCACAACATGTAAGCATTTCAAGGCCAGTGTGCCAATAAACACTATTTAATGAGCAAGATTACGATTTTTGTTGGGGCTCTTTTTTTTACTTCCTTTTTTTATTTTTATTTTCTTTTCTTGAGAGAACCACCACTTCACATTCTTTTATACTTGCAAACACATGCCCAATTTGTTAGTACTACGTCCAAACCTCATCTTATTTCCAACAGAAAATAGCAGAAAACATGCACAAACCACTCTATGAACCCTCAAAGAGATGCATAAGGGTGATTTTTCATTGTAGACACAAAGAAAGAAAGTTACACGGCTCGAAGGGGCTGACTAGGGGGTATGACACCCCAGGACAGTCGATTTGGTCGTGGGCTAATCCTATGCCTCCATCATCCTAACTAGTGGCAACGTACATGCTACACATCATGGAAGAGGGATCTATTGCATCAGAAAGAAACAAGCAGGCTCAAATCTCACATGGCTACCTATATGCTCTATCTCTCATTCTGATTCCCTGAACTAGATGCATAAACGACTTTCAAAAATGAGTGATCAATCCAAGTCGCAGTTGGCAAGCAAACAATTGAAAAACTGAACCCCTACACAACTCAATCGCACGTCTCAGTCATCATTATAGGTTGTCCTAGTCACGAACAAGTTGTCATGCATCAATGTTAACAACCAACCGATTCACCACATAAACCACAGTGCCAATATGATCATGCAAACATTAGTACATGGAGCCCTCAAATCTCGAGATTTGGACAATGGACTAGGCTCCAAGACAAGCAAAACACATCATTCATCACACACATACATAATGGTACATTCCCCCCACACTTAATCATAACATTGTCCTCAATGGAGGAAAGATAAGGAGGGTACAACGAAGTTACCAGATCAAGTGTGAATGATGGTGGACGGGGGCAAGTAGTGCATTCCAAGAGAGCATAGAGCATTCGGAACACAAACACTACACAAAATCTCACAAAGGTTGAGTTATTGACTCTAAAATCAAAAAACAACATGGACTCAACCGAAGAGAAATAGGGGAAGAAATGCAAACTGACTGGTTGGGTTGCCTCCCAACAAGCGGCTTCTTTCACGTTGTGAGTCGGACAGTGGCTCCTAAGTTTTGGTCCACCCCAAAACCTCCTTGAAGTTGAGGTTCTCGTCGATGAGGTGGAGTCTCAAGTCACGAGCATGTGGTGCATCAAGTGGGTAGACTTAGGTACTTGAGTCAGATGAAGTCTCCACCCTCGAGACCTCTTCTTTTCTTGTCTCATTGCCCCAAACCATGTAGGAAAACATCGATTGACCACCATCGCATCCACCAAGAGGGATGGATGTTGGTGTGGCCTTGGTATGGCAAAGAGACATTACAAATGGGTCTCTGCCAAGCATCTCCTCGAAGTTTTGTGGAGATATCACTTGGAACTCATGGCCGGTGCAAGCATCTTCCACCTCAAATTCATTCTTAGCCTGGACGCCAATTGCTTCTTCAACCCCCCCCCCCCCCCTTTCCTGCTTCAGAATTTGATTCCTCCCCTTGGAAAAGATCAAGCACTTCCTGTAATTTACTCCCGTCATCTTCCACAACTTCTTTCTCATCCTTTCTCGCTCTTCTAGCACGGATTGGAGAGCAAGTCGCCAAGCAATTTCTTTCATGAGATCATCTTGCATCTCCTCGCTCTGGCCCAACATGTCATAGCATAAATGGGGAGAGGTGTGATCTACCACCAGAGGACATTCCCGATCATGATTATCACGGGAGCTCTCTGTGACAACTTATGTATGCTCCTCAACATCCTCATGATTGGCTTCTCTTCCTCCTCCACTACTAGTCTTGTAGCATAAAGGTTGTCTTGATCAAACTGTGCATAATCTTTCTCTATGACCTCTATGTGCTGCTTTATGTTGATGAGGGTCTCCTCTGTTTCACAGTAGGCGAACTGAATTTGTTCGATGGCCTGAATATGAAGATCCATCTTGGAGTATGATCTCTTAGTGTCTCGAGCAAACTCCTACACAAGAAGTCTCAATTGTTTATTAGGATCTTCTAGTGGAGTGTAGCATGGCTCTACAGACGGGCCCGTGAAGGTGCCATGGCTAACTCCAGCTCTGATGGCCCTTCTGGTTGTTGGAGGAATTCTTCTGATAAGGAGAATGTTTTTGAGGTTCCCAAGGGTCCAATTGTACTTCGTAGTAGGGGGTTGGTACTGGAACCCGTATCCATAGTTTTAACCTCCTTGATTGCTCCAGGAAGTCCCGGGGTAATACCACTCGGGTGGTGGTGGATACCCCTAGTAGTTGGAGATGCCATGAGGATCCACGATTCAGATCTGCACCAACAAAAACAAAAACACCCAAGTGAAAGATCCTAACACATGGAACTAGGGTTCCTCAAGACCTAAGAGAAGGGAAGTTACTCCATAGAGAAGAGAGAGACTGTAGAAATCTTATCTATCTTCAATCTTAATCTCCAAGCTTGATTCCCGAGCTCCAATGGCGAAGAAATCCTCCAAAATAGCTCCAAGAATGTTCCCAAGTCACTCTCTCTAGGGTTCGTCCCTTGGGTGTTTTGGAACCAAAAACCCAGCTCTCCCTCTCTAAAATCGCAGATATCAAACTTATACCCGAGCTGGGTCGGGAACACAGCCGTTTTAGTCCTGCCCATTGATGACTTGATAATTGCACATGTTTTTTCATTTGTTTCTTTATCGTTTAAGCTTACATTATCGCTTCTTTGGCCTATTTTACGCTATTTTTTGTTCCTTTGTCACATTTCAAGTCCTAGCACATAAACTGAAGCGTAGGCGCAAGTTTCAAGTCAATTGGAGATCAATTGGCGACTCGGGGGAAGAAACTCGGGTATGAATTGAAAAAGAATGGATTTCTACCACACATTGTGACCATAGAATCATGTAAGCTTGTCATGATAAGAAAGAGGAAGAGACTACGAGCGTCTGGGATCAAACGGCACCTGATTTGGAGTCTGAATGAGGGAGAAACGAAGAATCGAAGATAGGGAACCCGGAACTGCAAAATACCCGACCAAAATACCCGACCCGGTATTTTGACCATCTGATAGGGTATTTTTGACAGCATCAGAAGGCCCCCCCGATCGTGAACCAAAAATACCAGACCGGGTCGCGAACGCAGGCTGTTAAAAGCCTATTTTGTACGTTTTTGGAGGGGGAAGCTGGGTTTTGGATCCCAAACACCCAAGGGACGAACCAAAGAGAGAGAGAGGGCGATTTGAGGGCATTCTTGGAGTGGAATTGGAGGATTTTTTCACATTGGAAGCTCGAGGATCAAGCCCGGACTTGAAGACTGATCAATTTAATATTCTTACTGCAGTCTCTCTCTTCTCTATGGAGTAACTTCCCTTCACTAGGGTTTTGAGGAACCTTAACTATGTTTATTTGATTGGATGATTGTATGAGTACTCCTACATGATAATCTTGAGTTAATATTCAATCTATGCACGTTTCATGATTCAATTCTGCTTTAGTCGAGATTATTGATTCTGCTTTGATCCTATGAGAGCAAATACCTTATTTGGTCAATAGAGCACCATAGATTGATAGTATTGGATCGATTGCTTTAGTCGAGGGTTCACTACTTTGTATCGATTGAGAACCTCATTCGATAGAGGGAGTCTAGTTCAGAACGCCTTGATCGGTTATTCTAGAGAAGGATATGTCCCTCTAGGCAATCGACTCAAGAGGACCTTCATCCTTTAGTCGAGATTCAAGGTCTAGTCAATGATTCTCCGCATTGTGAATGAAAGTGAAACAAGTTAGAAATCATCAATCATTAATCTGGCTAGTGGCTAGGGGGAATCATACCTAAGTGAGTTCCCAACCTGTAATTAGATTAACTTCAATTGTAGTCTGTTAGAGTAGTTTTAGTTCTTCCATCTTAATCCGGTTTGCTAGATAATGAACTTAAGCTGAGTAATAATAACTCTAGAGACCCGTGGATTCGATATTTATTACTTGAGCCACTATACTGCATTCCCTTTCATTGGTTAAACTTGGCCATTGTTAGGAGTTGTGCATAGCGAGTCACCCATGTTTAATCCCGCAGGTGTTTTGCATCCCTTCAGCAATCTTCACAAGAGAGGCTCGACATAAAAACACTGGCAAGTGCTACACAAAACACGATCGTGTTTTAGAGAAGTATGCACGTGTTTCTTCCTCCGCTCTTGTTCAACTATCTTTGATGCTTCGTTTCTCCCTCGTCCGGACTCCGAATCAGTCGTTGTTTGATCCCAGACGCTTGTACTATCGTCCTCTTTCTTTTAATGAAAAGCTTATATGATTATTTTTCCATAAAATGAGGTATAAATCCATTATTCTTCAGGTCATGCCCGATTTTCTTCTCCCGAATCGCCAATTAATCTTCAATTGACTTGAAACTAGCGCCTATGCTTCAATTTATGCGCTAGGACCTGAAATGTGACAAAGGAACACAAAATAGTATAAAATAGGCCAAAAAAGCACAAACTCTAGCCAAAACGATCAAGAAACGAGGATGCAAACATGTGCAAATACGACGTTATCAATGCCCTAGAAAGGGTTTCTTGGCACTCAAGCCATTGAAACACCTAAATTGTTTGTTGACCTCCTTCACTACAATGCTCGAATTGTGGATAACAGGATTAGCCGAGGAAGTGTGCTTCAAAGTATTTCATGGTTGGTAATGGTTTGGGAAAAGGGAAGTGTGGTTTTTGTCCGATGCTAGTGGTCGTTGATTGTAGGAAAGGTTCTTAGTCGAAACCATAGACCCTATGGTTTTAGATTGAAGATGTAGGACCTCATGCTATTTTTCCACCACCCAAAAGGCATTTTCCCCATGTCCAAGATAATTTCCAGTCATTTGAACCCGTGACTAAGACCTCCGGACAAGCTAGTGATGATAACCACCTTGTGAACTCTAGCGTTTAGAGGTTACCGCCGTGGTGAAGAGACGATAGGGATGAGTGTTCATGATTGTGCACATCTTTTGCACCAAATGGTTCTGACCCCATTTGTTTCTTGGATTGAACTCTATGCACGGTTAGTTGTGGTTGGTGAGTAGTCTTGTCGAGACTAGGGTTGATTTGTGAACAAGGTGAGAACTTTTCATTTGCACGTTCTTGATGCATTCGAATGTCATTTGTGGTGGATGTCGGTAATGCTTGTATCGGTTAATGTGTGGATGCCCAATAGCCATTGAGATTCGCCGCTTTGAGCCCTTTGATATGTACCAAGTTATCTTGTTAGGTTGAGATATCACCTTGTTTCGAAATGGTTTGTTTGGGGAGAAGCAAACGTCTAAGTGTAAGGGTGTTATTCGGGTCCAATTGTAGACATTTTACCCCTCATTTCTTGATAGTTTGACTTTGCATTTCATTGTTTCTCGATCTATTTTATGCTAGGTTGTTCTTATTTGGTTATATTTCAGATCATAGCACGTGTGTGAAGATCGAGGATGAGTTTCGGGCGATTGGAGATCGAAAAGTGCGAAAAAGTGAAGAAAAGTCCAAAGTCATAGTTTGTACGCATGCCCAACATCCATTAAGATTCGCCGCTTTGAGCCCTTTGCTATGTCCCCGATTTATCTTGTTGTCTTGAGATATCACCTTGTTTGGAAATGTCCAAGTGTGGGGGAGTGATTAGGGTACAATTGAACACATGTTATCATCGTTTTCCTTAGACGCTTGATGCATTTGTAACCCGTGAGGTGTGGTTGCACTTTTTCTTATTATGATTCAGAACCTAGTAGGTGAAACTGACCGATGAATCGAAAGTGGGACGAAAATGAGCGAAAACGAGTCAAAGGGAGGAAGCAGCTATGGATCACGACAAACCTGAGTTTTCACGGTCTTACAGACCGTGAAGCGCCGAAGTTCCAGAACAGTTTGCGCATCTCACTGGAGCCCAACTAGTTCACGATTGCAAAACGTGAACTCCAGCCCCAGACCGTGAAGTGACTTAGTGAAACTGTGCAAATCTGCTCGACTTCACTCTCTAGGATGAATGTCCACGGCCGTGAACTGGGACCGTGAATAGGCGTCGATCTGGGTATAAAAAGGGAAATGAACTGAAGGAGAAAGCAAAGCTTTTTGGTAGGTTTTTAGTGTGCAGAATAAAGGAGGGTTTCTACTGAGAGATTAGGGTTTCCTCTTCCTATTCTAGAGAGAGAAAGTGTCTGTCAAAGGAGGAAGAAAGAGATTTGGGCTTTCCCTAAGCTAGAGGATTGAAGCTTTCTTCTTCTCAAGAGAGATTCAAGCAACAAGGAAGGAATTAGGGTTTCCTTGGTTTGTTAGATTAAGAGAGCTAGGTTCGTTAGCTTATTGTGGCAATCCTTGATCGATCGACTAGGAGAACTTGTTACTAGCTAGTTGCACTCGTCTCACGGTGTATGAACACGTCCTTCACACTAGGGTTTTGTTCATTGTTTCTTATCACGGGACTAGGGGAAGCAGTACCCAAGTGAAGTCCTCTCATATAGAATTCTCCTCGCTTTACTTTGTTTGTTTATTTTGTAGTTTTCTTAGTTTTAAACCCAAAACCATTTGCTATATAACAACTTAAGATATGGAAGTATGGGTACATGGACCGGCCCGGGTTTGACAATTAAAACATACTTGCCCGATACTTCATCCGCCTAGAGTTTATACTTGGGCTCTAGTCTGGTTTTAAATTCGTGGTCTATCTGGGCGAGTCAGCCGGGATCTTGAACCACAATGTTTATTTTTCTTGCTAGCTCAGGAGTTCGCGGCCTGACTTCACGGTCGTGATCCAGAAGTCACAAACATGATATTTCTCACAGTCTTGGACAACTGAGGTTGTGAGTCGACTTGGAACCTTCTGTCCGCTCCTTGTTGTTGGCTCAAGTTCATGACTAGCACCTCCTACATCGCGACCCCCCCCCCCCCCCGGGGGGGGGGGGGGGGGGGAGGAGGAGGAGAAGGTGCGATCTTTTCTCCAGAAGGCGCAATATTGTGGTTGACTTTACCGCTCCTCTTCTCGGTTGCAATTTCTGCCCTTAAGCCGTGATCTCCTTGTTTTGCTTCGCAGGAACATGATGTACATACAGAATACGAGAATTTCCACCTTGTTGACTTGTGACTTGTGACTCATGCTTGTACCTAAACCACAATTATCATCTAATACACTTTGAAATGAGAAAATACTCCAAGAAACATTTGATAATTTATTAACCATTAAAACCATAGAATGACCTGAAAATGCCTAAAATATAAAGAATAAATAACGTTATTTTGAATGTTATTAATAATGTCCAGACTTCACCACCACCTCCTTTTCCTCCGTAACTCCACCATAAAATGGTAAGCATAATTGACAGAGTAAATCTCCAAAGATTCACCCGTCCATACAAACTTCTGAAACAACAATAGAATAACTAGAATTTTTTTTTTTTTTTTTTTTTTTTGATGAGTAAGCAGATTTATTCATCAAGAAGGAGAGATTTAGAATCCCCCAACTGGAACCCAAGTACCTCATTTTACAGAAGAATGACAAACGAAAATGTTAACAGAACAAACGAAAAAACAAAAAGTAAAACCCAGGCTACACTAGAATTGCACGAATCGTACACTCATCGAAAACTTGCAAGGGTGAAAAATGGAAATCACCCGTCAGTTTGCGTTCCAAAGTCCGATGATATTAACGATTAATGAACTTCCTAATCACTCGTCCTTGAGTATGGTGTTCACTATATAAGCTCTCGATCAGTGACCGAAACAATCTAGCTAACTACAAACTACCTCACGACCAAGAGCAGAAAAAAAGGATAGTAAGAACTAGCTTCAAAACAAGCTAACTATACACTAATAATTAAGCTTCGCCCTCTCCTTTTCTAATCAATGATGAGCTACAAATAATTCAGAAAAAAACAATGGGAATTAATAGTAAACTCAGCAGTCGACGCATCTGCCGAATTGTTGGCGAGGGGTGTGGCGGTTGTTGGCTCCGGATCCCGGGTAGTCGTTTAGCTCCACCGCCCTCCGCTGCACCATGCTTGTTGATGTTGTCATCATCCCAACTTCCGCTTCCAGACTCATCATCTTTCCTTGTTCCATGTCCTGAACAGAGTAGAAGCAAAAATTACAGTCGACGACCAAATCTACGATACAGAGCCGTAACTATCAATTACAATACCTGGTGGTTGATCTTCGAACGTACAGCATGTTGTTCTTGATTTAGGATTAATCTGGCACTTCCTACCAGAATTTGCAAGAACAATCAGACATGGCAATCTGTGGCAGCACCAAACCGAAGATGACAATAAGAAACAGAGGGACAAAAATCCTTACTTGTAACCGGGGCGGCATCAATTATACTTGGGCAGATGAATAACAGGTAGAGGATCCCCATAGGCACTACAACGAGCGACCTAGATAAGCTAGGAGTAGTGCCGATGCCTGGTGCAGCCATTGCTTAACTGGAGAACAGAAACCAGCAGCTTGCTTCGTAGTGTATTGCTTAATTACACTCTGTCAAATACCCTCTTCTTTTATACATTGACAACGGAAAGTGGGCTGCGGCCCTGTGTAATTTGTAAGTGTAACTTTTGTGGGTAGTGGACAGAGAAACACACAGAAGTCAAACGGCTGGGATAGGAACCAGCATCCACAGCATTGGATTAATTAAACAAAGATCTCTTCATTTTTCCATTGAGTGGTGGTGGTGGCCTGGTGGGTTGGGGGAAAATGTGACCCAAATTGTTAGTCAGTCGTAGTGGGGGGGGGGGGGGGGGGGGGGGGGGGGGGGGGGGGGGGGGGGGCACACTGTAGTGTACTGGAGTGGAATGTGATGGAAGAATGATAATGGGATGAATGTTATGGTGTTGAGTTTCTGCACTAAGGTAGGTAGGGAGGTCAATGGGGAGCCTTTCCCTTACTCCCCTGTAGTGGAAGCCATACATATGCCATGTTCACTTAATGGGATGGATCAGAGTGGCGACAAATTGCTCACATCCTTGTAAAGTGATCCACCCACCCAATCTGTTCATGTAAATAGAGAAGTGGGAACGGAACACCAACTTTCTACATCTTTTACAGCCCACTACACAGCTCGCCTTAACTATTCAATGTACATTGTATATAGTGGCGGATCTAGGGGTGGTCACCCAGGGTCACGGACTAGCCCTTCTCTGTATTCGGAACTAGTATATTACTCATGAGTTTATCGATTTTAGTCATTTGGCCCAGTGTTATTTTATAATAAAATTGTGTGCAAATAGAAAAATGGGTCAGATGAACATATTCAAATCACAATTCTAAATTTAGCCTGGAAATTTGAGCTCCAATGATTCTCGTCTAAAGAAAAACAAATAATGAAACCTAAAAGTCTAAAAGTCTAAAACGTAAAAGACTAGAATAAATATGAGACTTGTTCCCTTGAAAAATTACTCAAATAGCTCGTGGAAATAGGGATTGACACACAATACAAATTGATTAGTCGATTTATTTGTCTAGTGTTGACATTGTCCGTTTCAACAACTACTATGGAGATAACCTTTTTCAACAATAATACAGGTGAAAATTTATTTGCGTAATAAAATGAGCGATGAATTTTTCGCCGATTGGTTAACTATTTTATCTGAAAGAGAGTATGCTATTGGTATGGATGTAGACTCCATTATTGATAAATTCACTACATTAAAATTTAAAAGATGGACGTATACAATTGATATTGTAAAAAAAAACTTTGATTTTTTTACAAAATCTAATTTTCTAATGAAATGCGCCCCAGTGCTCTATCGTGGCCAGTGCTCCATTGTGTGCCCATTACCCAAGTATCACAAACTCTATAAGTAACTAGAAATGGTCGCGCTTTGTTGCGGGCCCAAGTAATTAGAAAAAACAGGATGGCCCACTATTGTTATTTTGGGAGGATGGTCCATTATGGTTCATTAGGCAAAAAATGTGAGAATACACTTACCGTGTAAAATAATGACACTATCATAAAAATTAATTATTTTCTTTTTCTTATTTTTTACGGATGGCAAAAATATCGATAACTCTTGGAGTTGTCCAATACTTGTTATAAACACGCTGCTACGGATCGGGAAATTGCCAAAATCGATAAAGCGAGAATACGAAAACGAGAATCGAAAAACACAGACACACGATTTACGTGGTTCACTAACACGATGTGTGTTAGCTTGTCCACGGGCGAGAGAGAGTCAGTTTCACTGTATCGAGGAGATTACAGAGGAGTATGAGAAGTATTTATAGTACTTCTCCTAGGTCTAACCCTAATCCAATCTGGTAAAAGAAAACGGTTACAGACCAGGCCCAGAACCCGAACCCAAATAACAATGAGTCGGCACACCGGGGGCCGGGGGCAAGCCCACCGGGGCATTGCCCCTTGACCCCACTCGCTGACCTGTCAGCGAGACCCCCGATTACCAGTCATAGCGGCTGATAGTCCGATTCAAATCACATCAACAATACTGGATGCAACTCTTTGTCCTCCCAAGAAGGTTCTTAAACAGATTCAGCAGGTATGCTCTCGATTCTTATGGCATGGGACTGATGCAGTTAGAGCTAAAGTGGCATGGGACTATGTGGCTTTACCAAAACAGTATGGAGGTCTGGGGGTGAAGGATTTGCTATCTTGGAGTCAAGCATGCACTATCCGAATGCTTTGGTTGTTCTTGATGAAGTCTGGGACGCTGTGGGTGGCATGGATGTATGAATATAAGTGTGGGCAGTGGAATTTATGGTCTTTGAAGGTCCAATACAATAGCTCGTGGACAAGGAGAAGGCTACTTAAATTGCGGTCTATTATTTTACCATGGATGCATAAGCAAAATGATACCATCTACCGGGACTCAAAGGAGATGCTGGTTTATTCAGTTCGCAGAGTGTTGGAAACGTTGAGGAAGAAGGCTCCAGAGGTCTCTTGGCACAAACTCGTGTGGAGCAACATCTGCCCCCCTCGGTATAGTTTGATTGTTTGGTTATTAAAGAAGAATGTCATTATCATGAGAGACAAGTTATTGCAATGGGGTAAGGTTATGGATGCTTCTTGCCCTCTTTGTGGTTTGGATGTTGAGACTAGAGATCATATGTTTCTCCGTTGTTCCTTATCTCTCAGACTTGCCTCACTTCTGAATTGCCATTTCTTGAGGCATAATGACTGGGATGCAATGTTGCAGTTTGTAAGTATTGCTCTGTGTAGGAACTCACAAGCTAGGAAATGGCATGCGCTAGTATGATGCCTAATAGTGTCGTTTATATGGATGGAAAGATGCAGAGTAGTTCATGGCTCGCCTTGTCGTCACCCTTTGACGGTAGCTGAATTGATAAAGGCCGACTTGATGTATATAGCATGTTGGAATAGAGGAGTTCGTGATGCACTACAGGGCTTCGATACTTATAGTTTTGCTTTGTTCTTTTTGTAAGTAGTCTCATATAGGAGAGCAAGTGCTTGTGAGTTGTTTCTCTCGGGATCCTTTGTGATTCCGCTTCGTTGTATCGGTTGTAATGGCAATAAAAGAAACCGATTAAACAAAAAAAAAATCGATAACCGTGGATATCCGCCTAAATAAGATTTAATTGGGAAGGGTAAAACCTTAACCCGAATGATTTTTAGTGGGTACGGGTAAAACCCAAACCCAAATATTGGGGGTAATGGATGGGCATGATTTTCTCACTATCCACCCCGAACCCGCCCGATTATACACGTGCGTATGTATTTTTTTCTAAAAAAATCATTATATTTTTCTAACATATTTTATATTTAGCATATAAATATAATATTTTCATTAAATTGTGTTGATTTAATTAATTTTCGTGATTCTAGTAAATTATTTTCGTACATTTTGTCTAATGTAATGTGAGAATACGTTTGAATATTAGCATATTGGTTGGAGTTATATAGAGAAAATATTACCCATGGATAACCGTAGACACCCAAAACTCGAATTGGTAAGGGTGTTGTTTTGATTCTCTACTTGTTTCTCATGTCAGTATGGGTATTAGTAAAATCCAAACTACTTTGGATAGGATAACGGATATGTACTATCCACACCGACCTGTAGCCAATCCTATTGTTTTTTCCATTATCTCCTTTTCGTTCATTATCAGGGCAAAGATTCTAGAGTCTATGGGGAATTCTCAAATCGAGAAGCATCTTAGTAAATAAGGGGCGGAGTAACCTATAAAGAGATGTTGAATCAAGATCTGGGGAATAAATCAGAAGCCCAATAATAGAAGTTAATAGTCCAATAAAAACAGGCCCAACGGTTTAATATTAGAGTCTTTGTTAATGAACAGTAAACAAGTTTTATATTTATATATATTAATTAATTAATATCTATTGGAAATGAAATGACTAGAGATATGCTTCTCTCTCCAAAGGATAGCCAACACATGAGATCGTCAAGAGAGACCTTCAACATGATTTTGGAAGAGTTTCATGCTCATACGTGTTAAGAAAATATGAGAAAGATGAACAACTACCATAACAAAACCTAGAGAGAGAATATAGGGAAATATAGTTTTCTTATTCATGTATATTGTTGGTACAATGTATGTACTATTTATAGGCACAAACCTATACAACATACAACTTTATCATTGTAACATCCCGTTCCGGCTAAACCAAAATTCCGATTGCTGGAAATTACGCTATTAAAACGAGTATTTTGATAGTATTTTGATGAAAATCAGTATATTAATTATTATAAATCTCTCCACATACTTTGTACGTGGTATGAAATGAGATTTCGTAATAATATATATGGGGTTAGTTGGACACATAGGTGTCGCCAGGAGGGGCTTGTCGCAAAATCAAAGGGGTAAAGCACCGATCTATTTAGATATATCCTAACTAAACCCCATGCACCATTTCTTATGTTTTCGTTCCATTTCTTTCCACTCAGTCCCGAAGCGAGAGAAGTAGAGGGCGCACAGGGGAGGAATACAGAAGCTTGATTTTCAAGTTTAAGCTAGTGTAAAAAGCAGGTAAGCGTAAGGAAAATATTCACTATCACATAGTTGATCAATATTGAAGCTTATAACGAAGTTTGGTTCAATAATTGCTTGAACGGCTCATCAAACAAAATTAGAATTTTGGAGTATCCGGAAGCCGGATTGAGTCCAGATTTTATATACGAACGAGTATATATCATTCCTCACCTAATAGGCTTTATAGCTTCTCTGCAACGTTGCTTCCTGCAACGAGGTAATTAATCATTTGGTTCTAATCAATGAATTTCGGCTATTATTTAGGTCAGAGCCGGAATCGCTGAATTTAGCTCCGGCTAGGGTTTGATGTGTTTTCATCGAAAATTTGATCCGGAGCCTAGAACTAACATTGACGGGGACACTATAGGGGATATTAGGACGGTCTCGGATTTTGATTCCGGGTTCGTTCGTGAAATTGATGTTTTAGTACGGGAAGCTAAAACCGGTGTTTGAACGACCAGAACTGTTGAGGGATTAGCACGGTATACCGGGTTTGTCGTATCACGATAATTATACTTATGCTTAGAATTGATCTAGGTGAACTAGAATGGCATGATTAGGGGTGTATGAACGTTTGTGCTATATGTTGAACCATGGAATGCTGTATGATATTATTGACTTGCCCTAATCGATATGGACCTTGTTTATGCTGATGATTGCATACATGTTGCCATTTGTGGCTTAACTGTTAACATGACTTCATGGTTGTTCGATTAGGTGTTTTGACATGATGTGATATTTTGGTTGTATTTGGATTCACAATTTGGGGAAATAAACTTCCCAGGGTGATATTATGATGTTTTAAGGATGATGACTTGCACGAGGGTTTATCCCGAGGAAGTGCAACTATACGACTCCTACTTTACCTATGTTGAGCCAATTATGGTCAGGTCAAGTACATGTGCAAGTAACGAATTATGATTAAGCAAGATGAGATATGAACCATGTATAAGGATACCAAATATGAGTATTTTGGTCTCACGGTCAATTACATAGTAATTCTAGCTCCCCATGCTATTACTCTGTTATGACATGATAGTCACACCTCTCTTGTGGTGCTGACTGAAGATTATGATATGCATGATAGTCACACCTCTCATGTGGTGGTGACTGAAGATGATTCACGAGATATGACCACACCTAGAGTGGTGTCGGGTATGGTTTCACATATGGTGGTATGGGGGTATAAGTTAAGGTGGTTGAGTCTTTTGCCCATTGGGATATGAGGATGGGTGAGGTCGAATCCTAGTGTTTTGGCTTGATTGCTAGATGTATGGTAGGGGTATGCTTTGTGATGAACTCACGATGCAATGATTGTCTCACTCAGCCATGAGCTGACCCTCTTTTATTCTTCTTCTCTGCTTATGCTATGTGTAAGCAGATTATCAGCAGCAGTAGATAGGTGTATAGGTGGGAGCTGAGCTAGAGTTGAAGCCAAAATGAGGTATGGTCTTCAACTATTCTGTGCTTGGACGACTACTTGGGATTTTGGCCAGTGATCCACACCTTTTTGTAAAAATGTTTTGAGAACGTTTTTCATGTGCATACTAGCTCCTGATGTTGTGTGTGATATCCACAGGTGTGGAAGGTTGATGATATGTGTATAGTTGTGTAATTGTGTAAGTTGTGATTATTATGGCATGTATAAGTATGGTATGCACTTGTGGAGTATGAAAACTGTGGCTATGGCTTTGAAAGCCAATATATATGGTTATGAGTATATGTGTAAGTCTATGAATGCATATATTCATATAAATTATTTTGCAGGTCTAGTTGCAAGAACTGTTAGGCCATTACGTGAGTAATTCATGTCGAAATTTTAATTGGGTATATTTTGGTAATTAATGTAACACCCGATATTATTTCCACTGCAAATGTATGAATAATATGATTAGGTAATACGTATAGGGTGGGGTGTTACAGTTTGCTATCAGAGCTTGTTTGTTTTCTGCATTATAGGTGTGTTACTTTCACCCTTGAGGACCGATCACCCTCAAAAGGGGAGGGAGTACTCCATACCTGTACTTGCACTAAACTTTCCACGATTTGGACCAAAGGTGGTGATGTGTTGCATAGTCAGTTGCATATGGTCAAACATGATTTTGAGTATTTGAAGGAATCTTGAAAATTTTATGGTTTAAGAAATTTTTGGAAATATGTGGAGTTTTTATCTTGTTGTCCAAGTAATGATTTTGAAGAAAGTTTTGTTTCAACCAAGTGAGTAACTTGGTTAGACACAAATGGTGTTTGGATCAAACTAAGCCCAATGTTTCCTTGTAGTTTGCACAGAAGTATTTTAGGAGTCACTACTAACCAATCGAGAAGCAGGGTGGCTAGCTATGCAATGGGCATTGAGTTCAGACTATGCTAGCATGATGAGTTGTGATGGTAGATATTTGAATAGAAATGTGAATCTTGATGATGTTGTGGTAAACATGTTGTAGGTCGATAACCTTGTGTACGTTGATATGTTTTTGAACTTCTTGATTTGCTCATGTTGTGATGCCCGGTATAGCTTTTTGAAACCTAAACATGGGGACTTGAGGTGTTATGTGTTTATTTATATACTTCAGGTCTCCTAACCTAAGAGTTAGGTAATGGATTTATGTATAATAGACCATATTAAGGGTAAGTAATGGATTTATGTATGATAAACCATATTAAGGGTAAGTAAGCGAATTTAGTGTACAACTCAAGGTTAGATTTCGGGGATGAAATCTTTTAAGGAGGGGAGAATTGTAACATCCCGTTCCGACTAAACCCATATTCCAATTGCTGGAAATTATGCTATTAAAATCGAGTGTTTTTATAATATTTTGATGAAAATCAGAATATTGACCTATCAGATAAATATCGATTATCATATTGTATGTTTAAAGATATATATTAATTATTATAAATATTTCCACATACTTTGTACGTATGTTGGTATGAAATGAGATTTTGTAATAATATATATGGGGTTAGTTGGACCCATAGGTGTCGCCAGGAGGGGCTTGGCGCAAAATCAAAGCGGTAAAGCACCGGTCTATTTAGATATATCCTAACTAAACCCCTCGCACCATTTCTTATCTTTTCGTCCCATTTCTTTCAAGTTTAAGCTAGTGTAAAAAGCAGGTAAGCGTAAGGAAAATCCTCACTATCACATAGTTGATCAATATTGAAGCTCATATCGAAGTTTGGTTCAGTAATTGCTTGAACGGCTCATCGAACAAAATTAGGGTTTTGGAGTACCAGAAGCCGGATTGAGTCCAGATTTTATATATGAGCGAGTATATATCATTCCTCACCTAATAGGCTTTATAGCTTCTCTGCAACGTCGCTTCCTGCAATGAGGTAATTAATCATTTGGTTCTAATCAATGAATTTCGGCTATTATTTAGGTCGGAGCCGGAATCGCAGAATTTAGCTTCGGCCAGGGTTTGATGTGTTTTTAACGAAAATTTGATCCGGAGCCTAGAACTAACATTGACGGGGACACTGCACGGGATATTAGGACGGTCTCGGATTTTGATTCCGGGTTCGTTCGTGAAATTGACGTTTTAGTACGGGAAGCTAAAACCGGTGTTTGAACGACCATAACTAGTGAGGGATTAGCACGGCATACCGGGTTTGTCGTATCACGATAATTATACTTATGCTTAGAATTGATCTCGGTGAACTAGAATGGCATGATTAGGGGTGTATGAACGTTTGTGCTATATGTTGAACCATGGAATGCTATATGATATTATTGACTTGCCTTAATCGATATGGACCTTGTTTATGCTGATGATTGCATACATGTTGCCATTTGTGGCTTAACTGTTGACATGACTTCATGGTTGTTTGATCAGGAGTTTTGACATGATGTGATATTGTGGTTGTATTTGGATTCACAAGTGGGGGGAATAAACTTCCTAGGGTGATATTATGATTTTTTAAGGAGGATGACTTGCACGAGGGTTTATCCCGAGGAAGTGCAACTATACGACTCATGGTTTACCTATTTTGAGCCAATTATGGTCAGGTCAAGCACATGTGCAAGTAACGAATTATGATTAAGCAAGATGAGATATGAATCATGTATAAGGATACCAAATATGATTATTTTGGTCACACTGTCAATTACATAGTAATTATGGCTACCCATGCTATTACCCTGTTATGACATGATAGTCATACCTCTCTTGTGGTGCTGACTGAAGATTATGATATGCATGATAGTCACACCTCTCATGTGGTGGTGACTGAAGATGATTCACGAGATATGACCACACCTAGAGTGGTGTCGGGTATGGTTTCACCTATGGTGGTATGGGGGTATGTATGTATGATCACATCCTACGGGATGCTGGGTGTGTATGGTGGCCCGAGAGAGTTATTAGCATGGGATTAGCCAGGAACCTATAAGTAAAACATGATAAGATGCATATGCATAAGTCAAGGTGGTTGAGTCTTTTGACCAATTGGATATGAGGATGCTTGAGGTCCGATCCTAGTGTTTTGGCTTGATTGCTAGATGTATGGTAGGGGTTTGATTTGTTATGTACTCACGATGCAATGATTGTCTCACTCAGCCATGAGTTGACCCTCTTTTATTCTTTTTCTCTACTTATGCTATGTGTACGTAGATCATCAGCAGCAGTAGATAGGTGTATAGGTGGGAGCTGAGCTAGAGTTGCAGCCAAGATGTGGTATGGTCTTCAACTATTCTATGCTTGGACGACTACTTGGGATTTTGGCCAGTAATCCACACCTTTTTGTAAAAATGTTTTGAGAACGTTTTTCATGTGCATACTAACTCCTGATGTAGTGTGAGATATCCACAGGTGTGGAAGGTTGATGATAATTGTATAGTTGTGTAATTGTGTAAGTTGTGATGATTATGGCATGTATAATATGGTATACAGTTGTGGAGTATGAAAATTGTGGCTATGGCTTTGAAAGCCAATATATATGGTTGTGAGTATATATGTAAGTCTATGAATGCATATATTCATATAAATTATTTTGCAGGTCTAGTTGCAAGAACTGTTACCCATTACGCGAGTAATTCATGTCGAAATTTTAATTGGGTAAATTTTGGTAATTAATGTAACACCCAAGATTATTTCCGCTGCAAATGTATGAACAATATAATTAGGTAATACGTATAGGGTGGGGTGTTACAATCATCAATGTACGTAATGAGCAATTGAGCACAAATTCAAATGTGAGGTGAGGAGTTACATGCAACACACATTTGTGCACTAATTTGGTCATCCACATTATCAATATTTTCAAATCAAATTTATGTTTCCTTTTATTTATTTATTTATTTATTTAATCGAGAAATATTTAGAAACAAAACAACCAAAAAAATAAAACACGTCCCTTCCTACACCCGAAAACCCTAACTACTACAACAGTGAGGCACTAAAATCAAAAGACACCAACTCTGATAAAGACAAAGTAAGGACTTTAAGTGCCATTTTATGGGCAGTCCAATTAACAGCTCGAGGAACGGTACCAAAATCTACACCATGAAAAAAAAACTGAAAAAGTTAATCTCATAGGGTATATTGTGAGTAGATACTCACAAGGTCTAGATTCTGGCAGTTTTTATCTAAGGGTTGAGGCTTAGTGGCTCAAAGAAGGGCTCATTAAGTGGATTTTGGTGGCATTTCGGCTTAGAGCCAAGCTATCTGAGTGAACTAGTATCCAACCGAGAATAACAAGTATCCGAAATGCATGACCTAGCATCCGCTTGTGTTGAGAAATCCTCTTTTTTCCTTTATTTTGAAAATTAGGCTATTCCTTCTTTTCATGAATTAGATATGATTTGATCTTTCTCATCTTTGGATCATTGGAGCTTGAGGTGCCTCTAATGGAGATATGATGTTGCGCGTTTTTTTCCTTGTTGTGGGTTTTTTCTGTCCGGCGATTGTTCTTCTTTTCTTTCTTGGCTTTTTGGGTTTGTTGGTTTTTTTAGTTTTATGTCATGGATATCAATTCGTAAATGTATACGTACCGATATCAAAATACTACCAAGTGTACTGATCGATATGAGTTAGCAAACATTAAATACTAGTTGGTTTGAATGTGGATATTAGTTCGTAATTGATTGGGTGGATACTAATTAAGTGATGTATGAATACTCTATTGTGTTGTCTGGATATTAGTTTGTGAACAAGGAATAATAGTTGATTTCATGGTGGATATCAGTTAGCAAACAATGATAGTGGATTTGATTGTGGATATTAGTTGGTGCTGTCTCAATACTAGTTTGTGCTCTCACGTACACTAAATGCCACCAGTTTTTCAACTAAACATGGATACTACTCCAACACAGACAGATACTAGATTGTACAATATGAACTGAATATTAGTTCTATGATGTCTGGATAAAAGGTCTCATGTATACTTGAATACTATTTCATCATACATGGTTACTAATTCATGTACATGGGCCGATATCAAAATACTACGAAGTCTACTGAGTGATATGAGTTAGCAAAACTTTAATACTAGTTGGTTTGAATGTGGATATTAGTTCATAATTGATTGGCTGGATACTAATTATGTGATGCATGAATACTCTATTGTGTTGTTTGGATATTAGTTCGTGAGTATGGAATAATAGTGATTTCATTGTGGATATCAGTTAGCAAACCTTAAATAATAGTTGGTTTGATTGTGGATACTAGTTGGTAATTGATTGGTTGTATATTAATTATGGGAGTTAATACTAGTTTTGTGATGTTTTGATACTGGTATGTGCTATCTGGATACTAGTTTGTGCTCTCGTGTATACTTTAGTACTACTTCATCAAAGCAACAAGCATATGGATACTAGTTCAAGCATTTTGGATATCCGTTTTGCTCGGCTGGGTACGAGTTCTCCCGCTGGCTTGGCTCGCTGCCGAAAAGCCGGCAAAATCCACTTAATTGAGCCCTTTCTTGTGCCATTGAGCCCCAACCATGGATCTTATCTTTGCACATGTTGCCTCTCATCTCACCCTATGAGTATGTACTAACTAAAAGACTTCTGAGCACCATAACTAGGTTGAAAAAAACTACGTAAAGACATTCACGCATGACAGCCCCTACTAAGACATAAGATGAAATGGCCTAAAATCTCTAACAAATTGATATTTCTTCCGTTACCTCTAAAACAATTTCAAGGTTCCAGTTAAGCTAAGTGGCTGGTGCTTAGCATTAGTCATCTTTTAGCTAGTCTCGTCATGAAGGGAACCATTTTTATTGTGTCGAAGTATCATGATTTCTGATTGAGAAACACTTTTTTAATTTCTTTTTATTTTATATAACATCTATTATTTTGCTTTTTTATTTGGTGGATTTACATCCAACCAACGTTATTTAATCCGGATCTTGCATTTCACTTTCTACTTTCTATATGGCATGCTCCGATGCAAAGAGGGATAGTGAAACTTGTGGTTGTCCCCTTTCTCGTCTACTGACGCCAAAGGTGTCGGATTACTTCGGGCCATACACTCTCTTGCACACGCTACAAAGAAACACAACTCGTCTAGCACAAGCAAGATTCACACTCACAAAACAAAAAAAGTTAACTCTAAATTAACACCAAACAATCTTTTCAAAATAATAGAACGAAAGTTCCCGGACAACGACGCCAAAAATTTGACTCATCCCGAATATTAAAATAAAAACCCCCAATTAAGGCCTAAGTATAAACCTTAACCGGGAGCAATATACGATAAGTATGTTATAAAAGTCAAACTTGAGCCGGTCCATGTACCCCTACTTCGATTGTTTGAAACATTATCTAACAATTGGTTTTGGGTTAAGACAATGATATATAACTAAAATAATTGAAAAATTAAATGGTTTGAACACTAATTGAGAAGGCTTCACCCAGGTATTGCTACCCCTAGCTAACAATCGTGATTTGTCGGATCGAATGCAAAAGTACAAGAAGTGAACTACCATCACTCTCTCTGTCTCTATGCCAAGGGATATAAAATCAAGCTACTAAGGGTTGCTCAAAACTCACCCTTGAACTATAGTTCGGACGGCCAAATTACAACCTACCAAAGGTGCTAATATGTATTAAGAGGTTTGCCCTAATTCAACCTAAGTAGGTGATACAATTAGCCCAAGAATTCCAACTTTTACAAGCCTCTTAACAAGAAGGGGATTTCCCTCTACCTATGTCAAAATGGCATAAGAATTGGAAATGCAAGAACACACACAATCTTCATGAAAATACTTCATATCTTGTATTAAAATACAACCACACACAAGTCATTCAATCCATACAAACATTCACATAATTGTAGCTAGGGTTTACAAACACCCAAGTGAAAGAAAGGTCTACTCCATGCTAAGTAGATGGAACACACAAGGGAGAAGAGAGAAAACCATCTTGGAGATGTTTGTCTTCTTCCTTATGGTGTGGAGATCAACCTTGGAGGAAGAAATTCCTAAAACCTAGCTCTTGGATGAAACCCAAACTTCTCTTCTCCTCTTGTTCGTCACTTTCTCACTTTAGAAATCTGAAGAAGAAGAAGTCTCTCTCACAAGGTTCCTCCTTTTTCTCTTTCAGCTCAGCCCCCTTTATATACCCAGATCAACGGCGTTTCACGGTCCCAATTCACGGTCGTGACCATCTGGCTCGGGTCGTGTTGTTGAGCAAAGACGCGTTGTTTCATTAAGGTGCTTCACGGTCTGGAGTGTGTCTTCACGGTGTGCGTTGAGATGGACAAAACCCTTCTAAACTCATCTCTCTTCACAGTCTATGCCTCTTCTTCATGGTCTGGATGACCGTGAACTGCTGGCCTCCACCGTGAACTGCTGATGTTGCTCCCTTTTGACCAGTTTCCGCCTCTTTTAATCCAACTTTTGTTCCATTGGTTGATTTCACCTACTAAGATTTGAAACATACTAAAAACAACCACAACCTAGCGTAAAACCGAACCTCACGGAGTAAAAGTACCTCAAGCGTCTAAGGATAAAGGGGGTAAAAAGTGTACAAATAGACATGAATCAATTGGTTGGGTGCTTATAAGCTAGGCGCTCCTATGTTCGTCCGGAGATAGGGGAACCATGATATTGAAACGCGCCTCATCGCCAAGCGCCCAATCTGTCGCAACCTCGCCTCCACTTTCAAAGAAGAAATTGGTACGCTCCTTCATAAAGAAGAACCCCCGGAACCAACTCCTCCCCAACTTGGGGCATTTTCTCACAAAGTTTGGAATTCCCTTGCACTTTTGAAGGGACGGGAAATTGTCAAGAAGCACCACATTAAAAAAATGTCGGAATAAGTTGAACGTCGGATTCACGTTGTGCATCCTACACTTCAACTTGAAGAGAATAAATACTAAAATGACTAAAGGCGACAGGCGCCCAATCGTGCAATCACAAGACACCAGCACCCTTTCCCAATATGAGTTCTACCGGAAATAGCAATCCAAAGCGAAAGTACTCCAGATAAATTCCGAGTCATTTTGGCCTACATAATCTGATCCTCGGGATAGGGGAGGCGGGCGCATAGCACTGGAACCGAGGCAGCTGCAGACTGATTATAAGGTTCTCCATCCACGCCGCCAACATTGTTAACTGAAGTTCTGGACCGACCACGTTAGCAGGTATTTCGGAGGTGTCAATATGCACATAGTCCAAGGGCCAGATGTTCTACCATGTAGTAATCTTATACGATCCATCTTCGGGCACATATGAAGGAGTCGACGAAGGCTGAGGCGTCCCCACTAGAGCATGCAGGCGCACACACCTCAAAAGCTAAGGAAATTCAAAGAAAATTTGTGCCAAACACAAGTTTGAAAGGGGTGCTTACCAGGATTGGCGGGGTGCCTTGTTCATTGCTGGAGCTGGCACATGCGACATCGTCTCGAGGCGCACACATAATGACGACAATGGACAAGTAGCGAGAGGGAAAACGAGGTGGCGCAAGGCGAGCGTTAGAGAGAAGTTAGAGAGAAGAAGGGTTTTAGGGAGAGTAGAAGAGAAATGAGTTGGAAGAGAGGTATTTATAAGAAAGATAAAGGGACATGCCTCGAGATTTGAGCCCATCGCAACGTGGCGTGAGCACGACCTAGCGTTTGAAATTCAAATTGTCGGTCGTAAGGGGCCAGGGAGGCGCATATTTCGTAACGGGCGAACATCTACCATATCAAATCACGGTCTGGCGCCTAGAGAAGATTAGTCAACATGAGAAAATTAAATATTGAGCGCGTTGGGCGCCTACCATTAGGCGCATTATCTCAATGGCTATTTACAAGTCATAAAGAGGATGTCTTGTAACAGACAAACGCCTAAATTAAATATTAAGCATGTTTGGCGCCTATCATTGAGCTCATAAAGGGGGTGTATCTTGTAATAGATAGACGCCTATTGTAGACGAGTCATCGAGTGACCATCGATCATTGCAGTAGTGGGGGCCCGTCAATGTGTCGAGTTTTACCACAAAAGGGTGCCTTCCGTAAAGGGCTGGTAGAGTTGGGTCGTGAATTGACCTGGAGTGGGCCCTTGCTACGGGCAGATCAAGACTCTAGGGGCATTTAACGAGCGCTTATTCTAAAAAAGGGTTAACGCGAGCGATCGACAAGAGTGGAGCATCGAGCGGGCGCCATGTTAAGCAAAATTATGGGAAAAATCAATCAGAGAGGAAGCCCAGAGGCCGTGAAAAGGAAAGCAAACACACCACTGAGGGGGTCAGTTAGGCACTCAAGACACCAGGTGTTGAGTGCCGAACTGGAGGGCAATGGTTGGGGATATTACAAAATACCAGGCACAAGTAAATGTCCAATAACTTATTGAGAGATATCACCTAAGAGAAATCCCGAAAGCAAGCCCAGTAGGCGGGTTGGGCCCAAAGGGTCAAGCTGAGCAACAAGGGGAGACACATAGTGACAAGAATCACTAGATGCCAAGGTAGTACGGATTGTTGATTGTCCCCCACCAGGCGCCTGGCGTCTGTCAGAAAGACTGTGATGATTGTCGGGGCGCCTAGCCAGGTGGAGGTACAGAGTATTAAATGCAATGTTGACGTAGGGCTGAAATGAATGAGCCATGTCGAGAGCTGGGTGAGTATAAATAGTTCTGGTAGATGGCATTGATGGGGGGTTGGATTCTCTCGCTAATATTGGAGTTAGAAATTTCTCACTCTAAGTTTCGGACTAACTTGATCGTCGTAGTATTAAAGGGCCCGTGTGCCCCTCTGTACTTTTGTGTGTAGGTGAGACGCCCAAGAAAAGTGAGAAGAATGCGGGAGTCTGACGGTTCGTGGGTCCGATAGTTGGTGCACAAACCGTTTTGCATAGTGGTTTTTTACCAAAATTCTATTTCGAAATTCAAGACTTAAAAGTTATAAAAAAAATAGCCAAGGATGATGAATCTAGACTTCCTGCTCCCTATGGAAGGAATTTATCATATGGTAAAGTACTAAATTCCCATCAACTTGCCCGGAGATATCTTCACAACTGCAGTATGGGGTGGGGTGGGGGGTGGGTGGGGGGGATGCAACTCGTCGGGTCGCATGAGCCAAGAGGTGAAGCTTGAATTGAATGAATTCATCAAGCGTTTATGAGGAGGTGCTAGTGTCCCTCAGTTGTGAAAGTATCTCAATCTTGGTTCTGTACTTCACAACAAGGGAGAGTGGGCCAAGATCCAGCGTATAAGCCACCAACTTATGATCAAATCATTAATAAGATTGAGTCAATGGGCATGCTTCGGGTGAAATCTCCAGCTGCTCAATTAGAATATCAACTGTGCTTCCATATCGTCCTTTGATATTCTGCGTTCACTGAACAGGGATGAGTGGAATACCACCCAGACTATTCAGTTTCAGTGGCTCATGGAATTTAACTAGCAGGTCACTGAACATGAGTTTACACCTTTGATCTCCATGTATGTGAACTAAATTCAGACAGATTACACTACAAGCGAACAGATTGGACGCCATGTTCTGTTCCAAATGAAAGAGACAGTTATTGGATCCTGCAACCGCCTGCATCCTGGGTATGCTGTACATTGCCGTACGCTAATAGTTCTACAAGATCCATATCACGACCTGCAATTCACAAGAAAATTGAAGGCTCTGTTAACCATGTCATGAAATAATCTCATTAGAAAAAGCTTTCGGTGAATGTTGCAGCACCTGAAACACGGCAGTAGTTACTTCTCTGGATGAGCTCAGCTCTGGATAGCTCAATTCGGTTTCCCTTTGATCGATTAGCTGTTGCCTGCAGCAATAAATCAGACACTGCATCAATAGATATCACGAGCTATAGGAAACAGCAATATCCATGTTTTACCAAGGTATAACGATATTCCTAACCTGCAGGACTTGACAATTATCCAGTGTGCTTTTCCCTCCCTGAAAGGTTTGACATGAATAAAGATCATGCTGAAGCGGTGGCAGGATAATAACGACTACACAAGGCGATGGTAGAGAATCTATAGAGGAAGGATATGCAATGTAGAACTAGTAGAAGAATAATCAGCCAAATAACAAACACAAGCAAGAAGATAGGGAAAGTTGAAAATGAACAAAATCGTTTAGTTTGCCAGCAAATGTCAGCAATTGCACCACAAAATGGATCCTCTCTTGTTTCCGAAAACGTTCAACAATCTGTTTTGAGTCACAACACATTTATCAGAATCCAGGGAATACAAGTACTTTTAGTGTTGTTTCATCTTGTGAGCCCACAAACCACATAATCTTTCGTCTCCACTGACACTTCGGCTGTAGCCTGAGGAGCTTTCAACTGTCATACTTCAGCGTCAATTTGGGTTCTTGAGTGAGCTGTGAACAGACCAGAACAACAGGCTCTAACTGTTTCTTTCAAATTCACATTACTAGCAATGCTGGCATTCACATCAACTGCATGTAGGGCTTCTGACTTGTACTTGAATGTAATATGGAAATGAATCCGATAAGCAAGCTGCTTCTGATATTAACATTGGTAATAAACGAACCTATGACCAAAACAATCCATGCCCACTCCTCCATTCATTTACTATGTTATCATCAAATCAACGTGAAAGCAAACTTACACTCACAAAATTAGCATAACCCACAAAGAAGCATGAGCCCAGATAGCATGATAGTTGCACCCCTTAAGAAATTAAACCATTATCTACCTTGGAGTAGGGCAAAATGTGATCATAATCATGGCACAAACAACCAGCACATCCGACGAGCTTCCGGAAAACGATGTTCCCAAGCGGGTCGCGTCGCCAACGGGCCGGGTCTCGACCCTTCACCTTCTCTGCCTTCTCCCAGCACTGCTGTTTCACGCTGTTGGGAAAACTCCTGGGTTCAGGGCTGGAGCTGCTGACGACGTAATCTTCGGAAATTTGAAGGTCTTGGAAGAGATCAATGGTGTTCCGTTGAGAGGTGAACTCCCCTTCAACCAGAGAAGCGGCGGGAGTGAGTCTTGACTGCCGGCTCGATGTCGGGTCGGCGGACTCAGGCGAGGCCAGTTTGGAGGGGAGTCGGGAGGATCTGGCCGGGGAAGAAGGGCGGCCTCTCTTGGCGGCCGGAGAAGGGCTGTCCTTGGCCGGCCTCATCTGCTTCTTTGGTGGGAGATTGGTAATGGCGGATAAAGTAGAGGAGTTGAGGTTTAGGATGGTGTCGGGGAAAGTAAAGGATGGAAGTTCATTAGTTTTTCTTATCGGGTCGGGGCCCAAATCCAATAATAAACCTAATCGATTGAGCCTGGGTTCTTCCTCCAGTTCCAGGATTGCGGGAGTTTTGTGCCACGTAAGATCTGCGACCTCGGGCGATTGCCTCTCCTGCCCAGACACGGCCGCCACCACCGGAGGAAGTTGCTGTAATGCCGCCGTGGCTGCTGCTTCCATTCTGAAAATTCAGAACTTGAATCAAAGAGGACACCACTTGATTAGTGACGATTGGTCGTTCGGTACAGGACATATCGATTGCGCAACGCCAAGGTCGTAATTGGACGAGCGGCATCCAGTCGTTCTACAGCGGGTGATCTAACGGCACAGTCAGAATTTCATCTAACCATTCAAGTTTGGTCACTGAGATTACATGGTTGGTCACTTAGATTACATGGTCGTTAATTGCATAGTTAGTCATTGAGATTACAAAAAAATGTTTAAGTTTGGTCACTCGAAATATTTAAATTTATTGGTAGTACTTCAGTTTACTGAAACCGTTCATGTTTGGTCACTCTTCGTCCAACTCGGTTAACTTTTGCTTACGTGGCGATCAACTCTAAAAGTTGATCGTTAAATGTGTGACGTGGCAATTTAAAAATAATAAAAATAAATTTTAAAAATTGTCATCTCATTTCCACCTCATTATCACTTTTATTCAAAATAAATAAAACACCCTAATTTCTTCTAATCCCCAATACCAATACCACGCCGGCAACATACCCCCGCCAAGCTAACCCCCTAGCTCGACAACAATGACCGTCAACAACTAATCATTTCAGAAAGTTTGAGGGAAGTTGAGAATAATCTGATTGACTCACTAAGGAATCTTGCCGAAAGCCTGGGCCACGGGAAATAGAAGGGGGGCGGCAATGGTTTCTAGGTCCGCCAGCAGTGGCACTGGGGAGGGAATTGACTTGCGGAGCATGAGTTGCGAGCGAGAATCAAGCCATGGAGTAGTGAGATGGAACAAAAAGGGTGAGGAGAGTAAGTGATATCAATTCAAGTCTCATTGTTGTGGTTGCGCAATGGTCAGATTTGTTTGATTCAGTAACGGTGGCTTTGCAAATGAAAATTTCAAGAGGGTGTAATGAAGATGGTGCGTCGAAGATGGAAGAGATAGTGAAACATAATTCCGTAGAGGATTTGCGAGAGCTGGATTTAACTGGGATCATATTGAACATGGAAGATTGGATTGTTTACAAGAGATAGAGAGACCGTCAGAGATGGTTAGACCCCCGAAAGTGTGTAGAATGGTTAGAAGTAGCTGGTGTTGCGAGAGTGAGCGAGAGGTGGAGGAATTATCTTCTCGGAGGGCCGCAAGAGAGACGCATTGCACTGCAGGACAGACGGCGAGAGCGAGAGGAGTTGAGATTTTTTTCAGGGGCCTCGCAAGACAGAGCAGATGGAAAGAAACAATGCGACGATTGAAGAATTACAGAGAGGGCGACGGTGGGCGATTTGGATTTCAGTTTGAGCGTCGCAAAAAGGAAGGTCATAGTTATGTTGAACTGTGATGAGCGGGGAGGGCAACAGGAAGGATTTGGATTTCAGACGGCGGGGGGTATGCTGTCGGGGGCTAGTGGGGTATTGGTATTGGGATTAGAAGAAATTAGAGTTTTTTTTTATTTATTTTGAATAAAAGTGATAATGAGGTAGAAATGATATGGTAATTTAAAAAAAATATTTTTATTATTTTTAAATTGCCACATCACACATTTAACGGTCAACTTTTAGAGTTCACCGCCACGTAAGCAAAAGTTAACGGAGTTGGAAGGAGATTGACCAAACGTGAACGATTTCAGTAAACTGAAGTACCACCAATGGATTTAAATATTTCGAGTGACCAAACTTGAACATTTTTTGTAATCTAAGTGACCAACCATGCAATTAACCCAACCATTATGAATCTTTTTGGGAAATCAAACAACCCTTCCATTGTGACGTGACAATACTATTTCTCTCTGTCATTGAGGAAGTATAATCTTCCTCTTTATGAAATAGCAAATGAAATAGTGGGTGGTAGGAGAATGGGCCCCTTCCCATCTTTTGCTACATTTTTTTTTTGCATTTTTGTTTTCTTTATTTGAATTGAAAAGAGTGCAATATTATTTTAACTTCTATTTATCATTTGCTAGAAGAGATATGGAATCGATTTGGAGACGAGGAGTACGATGATTAATCTAGTATCGTTTCTATGTATTTGTATTACGTGTGTTTATTTGAAATTGTTGTACATGTGAAATTGTGATTGTGTTATGTAATTTGTCATTTGAATATTGTACTTGTGACTTAATAACAAGTTTCATGTAATTTTATTAAAGTCTACCCATTTTAAATTACATAATTTATTTTTTTTAATCAATGATTAAAGCTATAGTCAAGGTTCAAAAAAGTGTTAGGTGCAAGGCAAGCGCTTGGCTCCTAACCTGTGCCTAGCTCGATTAAGCCTAGCCTAAGTGCGCTTAGACGTTCAGATTATAAATGAAAAAATTTCTCAAAATTTTCCCGTTTTCTAGAATACTCTATATGATCGCAAGTTTATATAAAATTAGAAACACCTAGTACTTAACCGTTAACACTTAACATAACAAATAACAAGCAATTGTTTACTTAAATTATAAGTAATTATTCACCAGTATCATTCATTGTAGAGAGGTATATCTGTTATAAAATTAATTCATAATCAAACAACAAACCAATGATCATTGTTAACTTAAAATAACAAGTAACCCAATTATCTAGAATCACTAATTATCATTCACCAATCACCAATGATCAAAAACAAATTTATTCTTAAAATGTTATTATATATGTACATTATGTCATTATCACCAAGTGACCGAGTGAGAGTAGTAGGGATGGATTGCATTACAAAGAACATTATGTCATTATCACCAAGTGAATAAAGCCAATTTATCATTCCCAACAAAGATTAGGTTAGGTTAGTTGCTTGCGGGGTTAATTGCAAGGTTGGTCACTGAGATTACTAAAAACGTTCATGTTTGATCACTAAAAATATTTAATTCCATTAGTGATCACTAAAATTAGTTAAATATTCCAACCGCTTCCTTCTTAAATTTACTCGCTATTCCAATCAGAATCCTCGCTCGCCGTCTCGGCGACTGGAATTCATAAATTCCCCTCTTCACTCCCCTCAACAGTCGCTCCCACTGGCTACTTTCACGGTTTAAAAAAATATATTATCAATATTTTTTTATTTTTTTAGTGGTTGCAATAATGAGGTGGAAATTTGAAAATCTTAAATTTTATTTTTAATTAATTTTTTAATTGCCACGTCACTCATTTAACGGTCAACTATGAGGTTGACTGCCACGTAAGCAAAAGTTAACGGAAACGAACGGAGAGTGCCCAAACTTGAAACGTTTAACTAATTTTAGTGATCACAAATGAAAATAAATAATTTTAGTGACCAAATATGAATGCTTTTAGTAATATAAGTGACCAAACTTGTAATTAACCCGTTGCTTGCGAGGGAGAGGATGGAAACGACAGCGTTACAAGTTTATTGACCGCCACCTAGCACCAGTGTATCACGCATGTACATGGGCGCAGGGCCGTGCTTGGGCCGGCACGACACGTGCACGCGTCGGACCCATTTATTTCGTGTCGTGCTTGGCACGGCCCGTCAATTTTCATGAACGTGAATTTGATATTGGAGTTGAGATGGAGGAGAACCAACAAAGAGAGGGAGCCGCCCAAGTTCACAACCACAATGATGCGGCGACAGAGGAGGAAGCCCCAAGGAAAATGGGTATTACATGGCCCCACGACCGGCGGACATTCAATCGCCTATATTACACCCACTCATGGCGGCCAACAAATTCGAAATCAAGCCGGCCCTCGTGACTATGATTCAAAACAATGCTTTTTTCCACGGGCTCACAAGTGAATCGCTGAGGGAGCATGTGCAAAGGTTTATTGAGCTTGCAGGGAGTTTGTAGATAAATGGTGTGCCGGTGGAAGTTTTGCAATTACTTTTCCCCTACTCACTTTCGAGGAAAGCACTTCGATGGCTCAACAACCAGCCGCCTCGCTCAATCACCTCGTGGGATGATCTTCTCAACAAATTCATAACCCGCTATTGCCCTCCTTCGAATATGGCCGAGTGGAGAAAGAAGATCACCCATTTGGAGCACGACGATGGTGAGACATTGAGAGATGCTTGGGAAAGATTCTCCGAGTATTTTCTTCAATGGCCTCACCATGGATTCGAGGAGCAATTTTGGATAGAAACTTTCTATGGTGGCCTTATACATGAAGACAAGATCCTCATTGACTCTCTTTGCCAAGGGAGGTTGATGAACATGACCCCACCTCAAGTGACCAAGTTGCTCGAAGATATGGCTCTTAAAGGATATGATTAGGGCTTGACGAGAAGTGGGAAGAGAAGCAATGAAAGAGGAGTAAGAAGTGTGGGAGCAAGTGCTCCACTTGAAGCGAAGCTTGACAAGTTGATCTAGATAATTCTTGAAGACAAGAAGCAAGACGAGAGAGTAGTGATATCTAGTGATTGGGGTGCAAGTGTAGGCTAGGAGGAAGCCGAGTGTCACATGGTGAGTGGGGAAACGACTCAATACGAGCAACTGTACTCCATTGCCCCTGGGCATGTCGACCGGATGTCAAGCATGGAGGAGTTAGTGATGACCTTTGCTACCTCCAGCTCGAAGAAGTTTGAAAAAACTGACAGGTTCATAGGAGAGGCCACATAGAAATTCTCAACCATAGAGGTGGGGTTGCAGAGTCACCAAACACTCTTGACAACCTTGACCACAAGTGTGGGGATTATCTCACAAGCAGCTCGTTCTAGGAAGCAAACCGACGAAATAGAAGTGGGGGCGGTTACTCTTCGAAGTGGAAGAGAGGCCAGGGAGCTACCCCCAAATAAGAAGGCTCTCTCCACAGAGGAGCAACAGGGGGGTGGTAGCCTCCCCGAGCAACAGGAGGCCATGAGTGAAAAGGAAATTGAGAAGGTCGCTTCTATCCCCCAACCGGAGTATAGGAAGGAAAATGAAACTCTAACTCTTCCCTATCCTTCTCGACTCCGAAATGACCGTATGGCAGTAGAGTTTGCCCACTTTATGGAGTGGATGAACCAGTTGCACTTAAACATCCCCTTCATGGAGGCCGTTACCCAGATGCCCAAGTACGCAAAGTACTTGAAGGACCTCCTTTCCAACAAGAAGAAGCTGGAGGGGATAGCTATGGTGAGCTTGAATGAAGAGTGATTCGCCATCCTGCAGAACCACCTGCCCACAAAGAGCAAAGATCTAGGGAGTTTCACTATCCCTTGTTTTATTGGCAACATATGCATAGGAAAATCCTTAGCGGATCTAGGAGCCAGTATAAATGTGATGCCTTACAAGCTGTTTCAAAAGCTAGACGTAGGTGAACCTAGAACTACTAGGATGAACATTCAGTTGGCGGATAGGTCTATTGTACAGCCAAAGGGGGTTGTAGAGGACTTGCTCATTAAGGTAGGGCCTCTCATTTATCCAGTCGATTTTGTCATTTTAGACATTGATGAAAACGTGGATGTCCCTCCCATCTTGGGTAGTCCTTTCTTAGCCACCGCCAAGGCCTTAATTGATGTGCATGGGGAAAAGTTGGTGTTTAGGGCAGAGGAGGAAGAAGTTACATTCTCCATTGATGATAGCATAATGTTTTCTCATCATCATGATGATTTTGATTATTGCGAAGAGGTCTTTGACTTCATGAGGCACTCGCATCCGCGGGTGCCCATACTTCTGACCCTTTTGAAGAGTGTGGTTTGGTACCGCAGAAGGAAATGATGGATACCCTTAACCACTGTCACATGGTACTAGATGGAGGCCATCATGGTGGCAACCGAACTGCAAGAAAGGTGCTCCAGTCAGGGTTCTATTGGCCGAACCTTTTTCGGGATGCCTACAAATTTGTGAGCCTTTGTGACAGCTGCCAAAGGATAGATAATGTTTCTAACCGGAATGAGATGCCCCAAACGATTTCCATTACTTGTGATATTTTTTATGTTTGGGGCATCGACATTATGGGTCCTTTCCCCTCGTCTTTTGGTAATAAATATATCCTTGTTGCCGTAGAATACGTTTCATGGTGGGTTGAGGCTAAAGCTCTCCCCACCAATGTTGCAAGATGAGTCTGTGGATTCCTTAAAAAGTTGTTTTCAAGATTTGGGACCCCGAGGACCATCATTAGCGACCGAGGAACCCATTTTCAGGGTCAATTTGACAGACTCCTCAATCGCTATGGTGTTACCCACCGGGTGTCAATGGCCTATCATCCCTAGACTAGTGGACAAGTTGAGTTATCAAATACGGAACTAAAAAGGATAATAGAAAAGACCGTGGATCAATCCCGCAAGGATTGTTTGACAAAACTCGATGATTCTCTATGGGCATACCACATGGCCTACAAAACCCCAATAGGCGTCTCACCTTACCAATTGGTGTATGGCAAGCTTGCCACTTGCCCGTAGAGCTAGAGTATAAGGCTTTCTTGGCCACAAAGCTATTGAATATGGACCCTATTTTGTGTGAAAATGAATTAAAGTTGCAGGTGCTTGAACTCAAGGAGTGGCGTCTCCAAGCCAATGAGAACACCAAAATTTAAAAGGAAAAGACGAAGCTCCTGCATGATGCTCGACTGAAAGGAGGGAAGGATTTCCAACCGGGAGACCAAGTACTCTTATACAACTCCTAATTGCGATTGTTCCCCGGGAAGTTAAGATCAAAATGGTCAGGCTCGTATGTGGTAACGCAAGTGTTCCCATACAGGGCGGTAGAGATATCCCACCCAGAGATAGGGACTTTCAAAGTGAATTGACACCGCCTCAAACGTTACCTTGGAGGCAAGTTTTCCTACTACTACTATAGCATTGTGTTGTGTAATAACCTCGCCTTGAGCGAGTCATATTGTGTTTGTGTATGCGTGTTTTTATCTTCTCCTTGAAGCTCCAAATCTCCTACCCCGGAAAAAATTCCAACTTTCACTCACCAAGCAAAGCGGTAACATCATTCTACCCATATCTTATGCCATTGAGGGCAATGTCGAGCTTAAGTGTGTGTGTGTGGGGGTGGGGGTGGGGGGTAGTTCATTATTATGCTTGTGTGAGTGATGCTCGGAGCCTTGATGTATGCGCAAATTTGAAATTTTGAGGGCTCCAAGCAATGTTTGCATGATCAAAGTGGCCGGTGTGCGGGAAAAATCTCGTGTTTATTGGCATTGACCTTGAATTATTGCATGTGATCGACTATGTCTTATGATGATGATTGAGAGTTGCATTAGGATAGTGCAAATGTTTAGTTCTCATGTGTGAAAAAATGAATGGATTTTTTGACTCAATTAATTGTTGATTACAATTGCCATGCATTTTGCTTTGTGAATTAAAATAGATGATTGGGTGACTAGGTAGCCATGTGAGCTTTGAGCCAATCATTTTCTTCTTGTGTGCTTAGATCTGTAACACTCCGACCTTTGGGTTTAGGTTCGACCTTAATACGTAAATGGTTGGATTAACGGTTACGTACGAAGGGTTGCAACCGCGGATTATGAATAACAATAATAATAATAATAATAATAATAATAACTATTATTATTATTATTACCAAAAAATGTTCAGCGCCCTCAACCATCAATTGTGTCGCCCTCATTATTATTACTATAATAAAATGAGATGGAGCCACTACCGCTCCCTGTTCCCGACCCCATCCCCTTTCGTGTCCTAGCATTTGCGGTGAGGGTTGAGGGTTTGAGCATCGATCAACGAGAAGATCAACGTCCCAGGTCATCCAATCTAGTCCTAGGCACGATCTAGAGGTAAGGCAACAAGATTCCTTTGAGTTAGATCATGCGATTTGGTGATTTTTTCGTAAGGTTGAAATTCTGGGGTTTTAGTGATAGACTTTACAGGCTCTTAGTGACAGATTTTGGGTGGTCACTAAAGTTGCAGTGAATTTCCAAAAATGTATTTTTGAATGTATTAAGAGCGACTGTGGGTGTTGGTTTCTAGGTTTAATAATTATATAAATTGAGTGGGTATAGGAGATGTCTGTGATTTAATTTGGGAATTGTTAAAGATGTATTACTATTTTTAGAAATTGTTCGAATTTTGATTTTGATTAAATAAAAATCTTGCCGAGGATTTCTTAAAGGGTATGATAATTTTCCAGGGTATAAGTTCTCATGATTGACATGGGAAAATTATTATCAGAATTTTTAAGAAGGTTCAAGTTAGGTGAAAAATTCTTTGAAGGCAAAATTAATTAGGAAAATGTGCAGTTTTTTATGGGATTATTCATAAGAAAATTTTTAAAGGAGGTTAAGGGATCTTGGGGATGAGTTTTGTGGATGGGACCTTGAGGAGAGGTGTTTTGGTAAATAAAAAGGGGTTTTAAATTGAGAATGGTCATCTAAGAAAATGATTTCTTATTAATAGGTGCACCGAGATAATTCGTCTAAGGAGGGATTTCTTCGAGGAAGGAATCGAGGAGTAATCGTTTCGAGGTGAGTGTAAAGGGGGTAATATCTCAGTCTTACGTCTTTTTATTTAAGCCTTTCGTTTCAAGTATTATGTAGTTAATTTTCAAGTATGTGCGATATGTGTGTGAGGCATCCCACCAGCTACTTAAGGTGCAGGCACGCGTTGTGCTATTTATGAATGTATGAATATATGATTGTAGTAGTTGGTTAATGGTAAAATGAACCACGGGCGGTTGGGCCACTACTGGACGCAGTAGATAGTCGGTTCACTGCTAGACAGCGAGACGTGACGCAACAGTTGATCGTGTTTGTTAGGGTCACTACTGGACGGCGAGACGTAAAGCAATAGTTGACCGGGCATGGACTGGACGGCGAGACGTAATGCAGTGCCATTGCCGAGCTTGGGTATGCAACCGGACGGTGAGACGTAACGCGGTTGGCATACTAGGATAGGGACACCAGACGGTGATCCGTAACGCGGTGGTCCCTTGTGTTTGGTGTCTATGGAGTAAGGATATAAGTTAAGAAATTCTATAAGATAAGATAGGAGTAAAGATCTCTTATACGCTGTTTTGTGAATAAAGTATAAGTGATGAAAGCAAGAACGACTTTTGTCTAAGCCAAGAACCCTAATAATGTGTTTAGTAAGGAGTTTCTTAGAGAGAAGACCTTAGGAGGGGAAGAGGACACATCCATCAAGAGGAGGTTACCCGAGGAGAGCAGACGTGACAAACCTGAAGATGGCAACTGGATCTGGGCAATGAGATGGGACCTCCCATTATATATGTCTTTAGTTTCATGTCTTAATGAGTTTACTGGGAAACTCAAGGATGGTGTTTTGTGTTTTATTGCTTTGAATTGATGTTGCCCATGTGTTTAGGGCATTTTACTTGAGAAACTTAACATTGCCGTTGTTGATTTTTGGTTTTTACTTGTAAACCTGTTTTGGGTGGCTCCGAAGTAACCGGTTTGAAGATTGAGTTAGGGTTTAGTTTTCAAAAAGGATCGAGTCGTTACATTTTGTTATCAGAGCCGACACTCCTCTGTTTCATGGTCTCCAAGGAATACTGGAGTGAGGATTTGGGTTTTCAAAGGTTGTTTTAAAGGAAAAAGGAAATTTCAAGAAAAATGGTTGGCCAACCGATTTGAAAAGATTTATAGAGTCCCTAGTATACTCATGCGTGATAAGACAAATAAATGGGTTCTAATAAGGGTACTACTTACTTGCAGATCAAGTAACGTAATGTTAACCACGCGGCAGCTAGGCTACCCCCCAGATTATGCGTCTTTTCAGAGGGGAGGAGTGGTGGATTTTGTTGGGGACCGCTCAAAGGATGCTAGTGAAGTAGAGTAATGGCAGGCGAAGTTCTCGCGCACATTGACTGAAATGAGGGCAGATGATGAGGGCAGGGTGCTACTGGCGATACACCAATGGGGATACAACCGGGACAAGATTCACTCCCCCCGATGCCACCACTTTGTGAATAAGGTGGATCCTTCTTTCCCGTTTCATCAAGGAATGGAACTTGAGAGAAAGAATTGATTGTACTACATCGACATAATGGGCTGCTTCGAAGGCTTGATTTGATACGCTTCCCTCTTCATCCCCTGAGCACTCTGTGGATAGAAAGCGGGTTGTCAGCAAGAGTGACAAAGTATCCCTGCTCCACGATGCATCATAAAATTGGTGGTGCACCCAACCAGCCAACCAAGAGGACCCACCAGCTACCACTTAGCCAGAGTGGTGCGGGTGTTCCGTGACCACTATGTACCAGAGGGTTACCGACTCGGAAAAAAGAGGGAATTTTTGTTGATCAAGCAGAGATGGGGCAATGAAGGAGAGGAGGGTGTTGCAGAGTACACCTTCAGGTTCGAGAAGCTGCTGCCCAACAGGGGACACCAGTTTTAGGATGCGGCAGCTCAGGGTTCCCACTATTTGGAAAGTCTGAAGCCTGCCCTTATAAAGCAGTTGAGCATGCAGGCGTGGAACAGTCGGAGGGAGATTTATTAGGCGGCTCTTCGGATAGTGAAGGCTGACGTAGCTGTGCATGAAGAAGGGATACAGCGAGAGGCAAGCAAGAGAAAGGCAAGTAGCATGCTAGGGTGGTCCGGCCAGCCCAGTCAATGCCGGAAGATGCCGAGCGATACTAGTAGCTATGGGGGTACTCAGAGTCAGACCGACTTGGTTTGGTCTGGTCAAACTTTCAGCAATAGAGGTCTCTGCAACCAGTGTGGGCGGGATCACTTAGGAGAGTGTAGGCAGCCCCCTAGGCTTTACTATAACTATAACGAGCATAGGCATTTTGCCAAAGAATGCCCCTGGAGGGGCGGACAAGGGATGGCTCAGTCCGAGCAGTCTATCCGGGGTGGTGGAGCAAGGATTCATGTAGGACCACGGTTTGACGGCCAACCAAACTGCTCCTTCCAGAGCCAGGGAGGACGCACCGGGCGGTTGGACCGCACTGAACAGTACAGAGATCAGAGGCCTCGAACATGGGGACAACCGAGGGTATTTGCCACGTGAGGGATAGAGGGCGACTGTGGTGATGATGGAGGGGACGAGCAAACACACTGATGTGATAATGTGGAGCAAATGGGGAGACTGGGGAGAGGAAGTATTTGTTTTAAGCATAGACCGCTAGTTGGTTGTTTTCTTCGAAAGACGTTCTTTCAGTTTTTGTACTTTGTACCAAACCTATTAAATTAGTTCGGACCAAAATTTCTAGGTCAAAATTTTATCAAGGGGGAGGGAAATGTTATATCCTAGCTTGAGAAATTTTAGGCAAACAACAAAAGTTTAAGACCAAGTATTTATCTTTCCGGTTTCCAATTTCGGGGATGAAATTTTTATAAGGGGGGAGAAAATGTAACACTCCGACATTTGGGTTTAAGTTCGACCATAAATACTTGAATGGTTGGATTAATGATTACGTACAAGGGGTTGCAACCGAATTATGAATAATAATAATAATTATTATTATTATATTATTATTACTATTATTATTATTATTATTATTATTAATAAAAAAGGTTCAGAACCCTCACCCATCAATTGTGCCTCCCTCATTATTATTACTGTAAAAAATAATAATAATTATAATAACAACAACAAGACCTACTCGGCCAAAAGGGCCGAGCGGCTAGCAAACCCCCCATCACTTTTGTTTCTTTTGTTCCTCAGCAAAGTTACCCACTCCAGAAACCCCCGCCGCCAATCCAAATTTCCCCAGCACGAGGCAAGTTCCCCCAGCGCGAGTCGAAAAGAAGGAGTCACCGCCGCTCCCTGTTCCCGACCCCATCCCCTTTCGTGTCCTAGCGTTTGTAGTGAGGGTTTGAGCATCGATCAACGAGAAGATCAACATCCCGGGTCATCCAATCTAGTCCTAGACACGTTCTAGAGGTAAGGGAACTCGATTCCTTTGAGTTAGATCGGGAGATTTTGTGATTTTTCGTGAGGGTGCAATTCTGGGGTTTTAGAATCATACTTTACAGGCTTTTAGTGACAGATTTTGGGTGGTCAGTAAAGCTGCATGGAATTTTCAGAAACGTATTTTTGGATGTTTTAATTGTATCGAGCTTCTGTGGGTGTTGGTTTCTGGGTTTAACAATTTCATAAATTGAGCGGGGTATAGACGATGTCTGTGATTTAATTTGGGAATGTTTGAAGATGTATTACTATTTGTAGAAATTGTCCAAATGTTTACTTTAATTAAATAAAAATCTTGCCGAGGGATTCTAAGGGTTTGATGATTTTCCTGGGTATAAGTTCTCATGATTGTTATGGGAAAATTATTATCAGAATTTTTAAGAAGTTTCAAATTAGGTGAAAATTCGTCCAATGCGAAATTAATTAGGAAAAAGTGTGATTTTGAAGATATTATTCTTAGGAAAAATTTTAAAGGAGTTTAAGGGATCTTGGGGATGAGCTTTGAGGATGAGACCTTGAGGAGAGGTGTTTTGGTAAATAAAAAAGGGGGTTTAAATTGAGAAAGGTCGTCTAAGAAAATGATTTCTATTAATAGGTTGCCCGAGATAATTCGGCTAAGGAATGATTTCTTCGAGGAAAGAATCGAGGAGTCATCGTTTTGAGGTGAGTGTAAATGGGGTAATATCTCATTCGTAGGTCTTTTATTTACTCATTTCGTTTCATGTTATTATGTAGTTAATTTTTAAGTATGCGCAATATGTGTGTGAGGCTTCCCACGCCTACTTAAGGTGGAGGGACGCGTTGTGCTATGTATGAATGTATGGTTGTATGATTGTAATAGTTGGTTAATGGTAAGCTGAACCCTTGGGAGGTTCTACCACTACTGGACGCGGTAGATGGTCTGTTCACTGCTGGACAGGGAGACGTAATGCAACAGTTGATCGTGTTTGTTGGGGTCACTACTGGAAGGCGAGACATAACGCAGTAGTTTACCGGGCATGGACTGGACAGCGAGACGTAACGCAATGCCATTGCCGAGCTTGGGTATGCAACCAGACGGCGAGACGTAACGCGCTTGGTATACTAGGGTAGGGACACCGGACGGTGATCCGTAACGCGGTGGTCCCTTGTGTTTGGTGTCTGTGGATTAAGGATATAAGTAAAGAAATTCTATAAGATAAATAGGAGTAAAGATCTCTTATAGGCTATTTTGTGAATAAAGTATAAAGTATGAAAGCAAGAACAACTTTCGTCTAAAAAGGGAACCATAATAATGTGTTTAGTAAGGAGTTTCTTAGGGCGAAGATCTTAGGAAGTAACGACAAGACTGGCCCCTTCTGACTCACCAGGTGCAGAGATGGGAAGATGACTCATCCATCAAGAGGAGGTTACCCGAGGAGAGCAGCCGCGACAAACCTGAAGATGTCAACTGGCGTCATCAATCGGTCGGTCTTCTTTGTAAGGGCAACGAAAGCTGATTCCACTTATCACGCCTCTCTTGCTGCTCGGATATGGGTGACGAGATGGGACCTCCCATTATATCTATCTTTAGTTTCATGTCTTAATGAGTTTACTGGGAAACTCAAGGATGGTGTTTTATGTTTTTGTAACATCCCGTTCCGGCAAAACCCATATTTCGATCGCTAGAAAGTTCACGATTTAAAATCGAGCATTTCGACACTATTTTGACGAAAATCGGATTATCGATCGATCGGATAAGTATACGTATTAATTATATATAATATATTATATATAATTATATATATATATATAATTATAATTACATTAAGCGGTCATTGACCAAAATATAAATTCCCTTCCCCCGTCATTGCTTTCCCTATCCATTTCTTCTTTCTTCTTCCATTTCCGAGCGAGAGAAACAGCGAAGCAGAGGCAGCTCGGCTAGAAGTTTCAAAGCTCAATTCTTGAGCTCTGTTCATCCAAAAATCCCGTAAGTAATGCCTAATCCATCCATTCATCATGATTTATCGTTTTAGAGCTTTAAAACGAGTTTTTGGTTCAGGAATTTCTTGAATTCCCGATAAGCCAAATTAGGGTTTCGGAGTATCCGGAAGCCGGATTGAGCCCAAATTTCATATACGAGCTTACTGCAGCGAGGTAATCAATCCTCTAGTTCTAATCCCTGAATTTCGGCTATTATTTAGGCCGGGGTCCGAACCGCTGAATTTAGCTCCGGCCAGGGTTTGATGTGTTTTTATCAAGAATTTGACCCGAAGCCTAGAACTAATATTGACGGGGATACTGTAGGGGATATTAGGAGGGTCTCGGATTTTAATTCGGGGTTCGTTCGTGAAATTGACGTTTTAGTACGGGAAGGTTAAACCGGTGTTTGAACGACTAGAACTGGTGAGGGATTAGCACGGCATACCGGGTTTGTCGTATCACGATAATTATATTGATGCTTAGAATTGACCTAGGTGAACTAGAATGGCATGATTAAGGGTGTATGAACTTTTGTGCTATATGATGAATCATGGACTACTGTATGATATTATTGACTTGCCCTAATCGATATGAACCTTGTTTATGCTGATGATTGTGTATATGTTGCAAATTGTGGGCTTGACTGTTAATATGCTTTATGATGGTTCGAGAAGGTGATTAGGTATCATTTTTCATGATTGTTGTATTTGGATGCACATGTGGGGAAAATATATGTTCCCTGGTGATATTATGACGTTTAAGGAGGATGACTGGCACGAGGGTTTATCCCGAGGAAGTGCAATTATACGACTCCTGATTTACCTATGTTGAGCCAATTATGGCCAGGTCAAGTACATGTGCAAGTAATGAATTATGATTAAGCAAGATGAGATATGAATCGTGTATAAGGATACCAAATATGAGTGTTGTGGTCTCACGGTCAACTACATAGTAATTAGGGCTCCCTATGCTATTACTCTATTATGATATGTATGATAGTCACACCTCTCATGTGGTGGTGACTGAAGAATTCTTATGAGATATGACCACACCCAGAACGGTGTCGGAGTATGACTACACCCATAGTGGTGTGGGGTATGTATGACCACATCCGACGGGATGTTGGGGTATGTATGACTACATCCGACGGGATGTGGGATATGTTTCCCGGGAGAGTTATTAGCATGGGAGTAGCCAGGCGCCTATAAGTAAAACATGATAAGATGCATATGCATAAGTCAAGGTGGTTGAGTCTTTTGCCTATTGGGATGTCGGAGAGCTGAGATATGATCCCAGTGCTTTGGCTTGTTTGCTAGATGTATGGTAGGGGTATGCTCTGTTATGAACTCACGATGCTATGATTATCTCACTCAGCTATGAGCTGACCCTCTTTTATTCTTCTTCTCTGCTTATGCTATGTGTAAGCAGATCATCAGCAGCAGCAGTAGATAAGTGTTAGGTGGGAGAGGAGCTAGAGTTGAAGCCAAGATGAGGTATGGTCTTCAACTATTCTGTGCTTGGACGACTACTTGGGATTTTGGCCAGTGATCCACACCTTTTTGTAAAAATGTTTTGAGAACGTTTTTCATGTGCATACTAGCTTCTGATGTAGTGTGAGATATCCACAGGTGTGGAAAGTTGATGATATGTGTATATTTTTGTAAATATGTAAGTTGTGACGATTATGGGTTGTATTAGTATGGTATGCAGTTGTGTAGTATGAAACTGTGACTATGGCTATGAAAAGCCAATGCATATGGTTGTGAGTATATGTGTTTATCTATGAATGCATGGATTCAGATGAATTATTTTGCAGGATCATATGGAAGAACTGTTAGCCCATTACGCGAGTAATTCATGTCGAAATTGTATTTGGGTAAATTTTGATAATTAATGTAACACCTGAGATTAATTCCGCTGCAATTGTATGAACGATATGATTAGGCAAAACGTATAGGGTATGGTGTTACAGTTTTGTTGCTTTGGATTGAGGTTGCCCAAGTGTTTAGGGCATTTTACTTGAGAATCTTAACATTGTCGTTGTTGATTTTCGATTTTGACTTGTAAACCTGTTTTGGGTTGCTCCGGAGTAACAAGATTGAAGATTGAGTTATGGTTTGGTTTTCAAAAAGGATCGGGTCATTACAAGATCCCTCTTACAATGGCGAGTAACATCACAATTGTCACTAGTGAGTATGATGGAGGCATAGGATTAGTCCATGCCCAAATGTTGATTGTCCTGAAATGATTTATCCACTAGTCAACCCCTTTGAGCCTTGTGACTTTGGGGGTCATTCTCATGTTAGGAGCTTTTTGCTTGTGAGCTTAATGGTGCGTGATAGAACGACCCCCAATCCTTTCTTTGTGCCTATACGTGTGTCGTCCTTGTGTCACAGAGCTCTCGCTTTTGAGTTCCATTGAGGTTCTACATAGGAAGATTTTGTGCGGTTCTTGCTAGGAACGAAAGTGAAAGAAAGAGTAGTGTTGGAGTGAGTTCTTAAAAAGAGAGCATTTATCATTAAAAGTAGTGTGGCAAATGTTTAACTCTCTAGTACCCCCCTCAAAAAGAAAAGAAAAAGAAAGAAAAGGAAAGTAAAAAGAAAGAAAGAGAAATGTAAAAGAGGTAATAAAACGGGGTAAATAAAGTAGCGAGTGTCACAAGGAATCAAAGAGTATGCTCTAGGAGAGGTTACTTGGCACTCAAGCCATTGAAACCTCCACATTGTCTTAGAAGTACTTCACTACCAAGGTGAAATGTGATAGCAAGAGTAGACCAAGAAAGAGCGTTTAAAGGAAGTTCATGATGGGTTATAGTTTGGAAGGGAGAAGCGAGATTTTAGGCCAATGCTAGTGGCCATTTTGAGTAAGGAAGGTTCTTAGTCGAAACCATAGAACCTTCGGTTTTAGGGTGAAGATGTAGGACCTCATGATGTGTTTGCCACCAACCAAAAACCCTTTTCCCCATGTCCAAGACAATCGCTAGTCATTTGACCCCGTGTCTAAGACCTCCGGACAAGCTAGTGATGACAACCATTCCGTGAACTCTGGCATTTAGAGGTTGCCGTCGTGGTGTTGAGACGATAGGGCCGAGTGTTGATGATTGTGCACGTTATTTGCACCAAAAGGCCCAGACCCCACTGGTCAAGAGAGTGAGTGATTCATTCTTGTTTTGCATGTCATATCATACCCCAGTGAGGACCTTTGTTGCCCATCCGTTTGTTCCTTGGACTTGAACTCTATGCATGGTTAGTTGTGGTTGATTAGTGATCTTGTTCAAACTTGCATTGATTCATGAACAAGGTGAGAACTTTTCATTTGCCCGTTTCTAATAGCCTCGAATGTCGTTTGTGGTGGATGTCGGTATTGCTTGCAATGGTCCTTGTGTTAATTCCCAATAGCCATTTGAGAGTCACCACTTTGTGCCGTTTGATTTGTCCCCAAAGCGTTTTGATACGTTGAGATATTACCTAGTGTGGAATGGTTTTCTTGGGGACAAGCAAATGTCTAAGTGCAGGAGAGTAATTCGGGCCTAATTGTACACATTTTATCCCCGTTTCCCTTGGGAGTTTGTGGCATTTGTGCTCCTAAAAGGGTGGTTTTACGTTAGGTTTTGTGTGTTTCAGTGTGTTTAAGGATCTAATAGGTTAAACCAGCCCCAGAGTCGAAAGTTGGAAGAAAAGGAGCAAAGACCGGGCAAAGGGAGTGATTTAGGCCATGTTCACGGTTTCCAAGAATGGCTCTAGATCACCCTCGCTCTCTTTAGTTCGTCCCTTGGGTGTTTGGGATCCAAAACCCAGCTCCCCCTCTCCAAAAATTGCAAAACAACTTTTATACCAACTGAAACTCGCACCCCCTATTTGCAAGGCCGTGCAAATTAAGGTTTTGGCCGTGCATACCCTCTGGGAAAACCACACGGCCGTGCAGAATTTCACACGACCGTGCACAATTTCCAGCATGCACTCCTAAGCTTCGTTGATCTCGTTTGAGCTCGTTTGACCTCCAATTCAGGTCCCGTTTGATCCCAGATGCTCGTAGTCTTATCCTATTTCTTTTCATAAAATGCTTTAATGATTCTTTGTCAATAAAATGAGGTATAAATCCATTCTTTCTCAAGTCATTCCCGAGTTTCTCACCTCAAGTCGCCAATTGTTCTCTTATTGACTTGAAACTTGCGCCTAGGCTCCACTTTACATGCTAGGACCTGAAATATGACAAAGGAACACAAACTAGCGTAAAATAGTCCAAGAAATAAAAAACTCAAGCCAAAATGATCAAGAAACGAGGGTGAAAACATGTGCAAATACGACATTATCAAATTCCCCCACACTTAACTGTTTGCTTGTCCCCAAGCAAACGTGACTCAAATCAATGCAACTCTCCAGAAATTTATAGAAACAGGCAACCACGATCGTCGGTAGAGGATTTCCTAGATCATTTAGCAGCTTACGAGGTCAACCGACGGATAAGTCATCTCCTAGCTTCTTCAGCGAGAACGCTAGTCTCGAGTCGGTATCATGGCAAATAGTGATTAGAGGACAAATGGATCGCGGACGAAGGGACTCTCAAAAACAAAAGATCATGGACTCACTTTTTAAGGTGCTCTATTTTCTTCTTGAAGATTCTTGGAACCCTTTTTTTCCTTTTTTTTCTTCTTGTTTGTCTTTGTTTTCTCTTTTTTTCAGGGGTTCCAACCTGTTTTTGTTTCCCAAAAAATAGGGCTCCCACCTAGCAAAGGTTTTGAGGGAGCCCGACTCTTACCGACCATGCTATGAGCATCTCTCAAGCCTCGTGCGGGGAAAGAAATGTAAGGGGGCTGGAGGTAGTAGATGGAAGTTGGGAACGGATTCCCGTCTCCCCTTACACACTTTCGCCCAATTCCAAAGGGAGACGCTATTATAAAGCACATTTTCGAGCACCTTTAATTTCAAAACATGATACAGGAGTCCATGACAGGTAGAGAGTCCACCATACCACACAATTCAAGGGTCCTAAGATCACTAATTCACACAATCAACCAACACAATATGAAGAAAAAAAGAGACTTCTTAAATGCATCAACATCCTCCATAGTGCTACACTACCTCCCTAGGTTGCATATTACTATAAAGTGTTACACCCTATCTTTTTCTAAGCCAAAATGAAGACTATGCCCTTGGTCCAAATTTTTCAAATTTCAGCGTAATGTCGAGGAGGACTTTAAATGTGAACTATCGGTTCAAGCGGTGTCGAATTTCGACATAAAATGAGAAAGTTACGAACTTTAGTTGAGTTTCGGATTAAACTCACCCATGATTTATGAAATTCCCAAAATACCGCTCGAGTTAATAAAAACCCAACCCCAACCCTAATCTCACGCTCCACTCGGCAACACTCAAACTAATTAAAACCCTATGCAGCCTTTCACCTCAGCACCCAATTTTAAACTAATTCCCTGCAAATTTAGGAAAACCCAATTTTCACCTCTGCACCCAATTTAGCCCATATTTGTCAAACACAGGAAAACCCACCGACCAGACTAACATTCGCCGGAGACGGGGAAAAAGAAGGAAACCCTTCTCCTCGCCGACAAAATCAAAATTTAGCGCTTCTTTCCGCTCCTCCGACTTGAGAACCTACCGCCAGGCTTCAATTCACCTCCACCGCTACGGCCGACGTCGACAGCCCGACTAAGCTAGTAAGTTCCTGTTCCATTCTCCTCGTCCTTGACGCTAGGAAAAGCTGATTGGAAGTTGATAAATAATGAGCTCGTCCGTAGCTAGGTTTTCCAACTTTGAAACGCTCGTCAATCAGGAGACCATGGCTGCAATTCTTCTACGGTGGAAGTTTCAAATGAGAATAGTGTGTCTGAAAGAGGCTCCACGTATTTGCAAGTTCCTGAACGATGGGGGAGGATAGCAAGCATGAGGTGGGTTACTTTTGGGAAATCAAGGCAAAAGCAAGGCGACTAAGAGAAGGGGAGACATGGTTAATCTCCTCTAACACCGATAGAGGATAATCGACTGATAACTAAGGTGAGTGTAAAGGGGGTAAATTCTACGACTTACGTATTCTTTTAAGTATTATGATTTTAAGTATTTTAGCGAATTGGTTACCGTTGCTTGGTTATGTTTATGATTGATTATTTGTGCTTTGTTTGAGCTATGATTTGATGTGATTTTGTGCTATTTGAGGTAATATGAGGTGATTTTGTGCTATTTACCTTAAAGCGTTATTTTTGAGTTATTGTTAAAGTTTAAGAAACAAGTTCTTTTTCTAAGAAGTAACTCACCTTCAAGAAGGTGAAGTCATTTTAAGTGTTTTTAGCCACTAGCGCCAGTCCGTTGCCATTTGAGATTTTCAGATAGAGCAGCAGTTATGCCCTTGAGACTTTTAAGATGAGCAGCAGTTATGCTCTTGAGAATCCTGGTGAAGAGCCACCACGATAAGTTCAAGATGTTAGGGGGATGAATCGTTACGACTTCCCTAACTAAGTTTAAGTTTAAGGAAAGCCTGGATGGCTTCTTATACGTATGAGTTGGCAACCGGACTAGCTAGTGAGGGATCCTCGTGTCATTCAAGTATTTAAGTCAATATTTGAGCTTTAAGAGAGGAGAGTAACTTCAACTCCCTCAAAGTTTAAGAGTTAAGATTTTAAGATTGGAAGTACAAACAACTTCCACTAGTCAAAGTTAAGTGTTTAAAGTAAAGTACTCAAGTATGAGAATTATTAAAACGTAAGGGCGTAGACTGACCCCAACTCACTCACCAGGCCTTAGTAAGGGAATGAGCGAGAACCCGTTCAGTAGCAGCTAGCTAGAGGGGCAGTTAGAGAGCAGCGAGTTTGAGAGGAAAAGTTCAAGGGCAGCCAGCTAGAGGAGGGCAGTATAAGCGTCACAGAGGATGCTTAGCCAAGGTTTCAGTAGCAACAACATTAGAGATTATAAGTTATTTACGTTTACGATACTGAGTATAGACTAGAGATCATATTAAGATTTAAAGTTTGAGTTTAATTTGCCCATGTGTTAGGGCTTTGCTCGGAACTACAAGTGTGTTTTCAGTATTTTATTTATGAAAATTTTTCCCGCTGCAATTTAAGATTTGAGTATTTTATTTGTCAAGGGCATTTTAGTAAAAGTAGTACCCGGCTGGGTTAGGGTGTTACATAAAGACTGTCAATTCAAAGCATACTGATCAGGCAGTTGCAAGGAGCACGTGCTTGGCGCCCTCAAATCGAAATTTGGACAATGGACTAGGCTCCAAACATACACAACCAACGAAACATTCACATGCAAACATAATGGAACATCCCGCCATACTTAAGCACGACATTGTCCTCAATGGAGGAAAAATAAGGAGGGTAGAACGAACTTACCAGTTCAAGTGTGAATGATGGTGGACGGGCCATGCGGTGCATTCCAGGAGGAGAGAGAGCAGTCAGAACACAAACACCACACAAAATCTCACAAAGGTTGAGTTATTGACTCTAAAATCAAAAGACAAACTTACTCAACTGAAGAGACATAGGGAAAGAAAGTGCAAACCGACTGGTTGGGTTGCCTCCCAACAAGCGCTTCTTTCACGTCATGACCCGGATGGTAGCTCCTAAGTTTCGGTCCATGCTAGAACCTCTTTGAAGTTGAGGTTCTCATCTATGAGGTGGAGTCTCAAGTCACGAGCAGGTGGTGTGGCAGGTGATGAAGGCTCGTGCACTTGATGCAACTGAAGTCTCCACCCCCGAGACCTCTTCTTCGTTTTTTCTCTCGTCTCATTGCCCCAAACCAGATATGACAGCATTGAGTGACCACCATCGTGTCCATCAAGAGGGACCGATATCGATGTGGCCTTGGTCTAGCAAAGAGACACTGCAAATGGGTCCTTGCCAAGCAGCTCCTTGAATGTTTGTGGAGATATCACAATTAACTCATAGCCGGTGCAAGCCTCTTCCACCACAACTTCGTCCTCAGCCTGGGCGCCAATCGCTTCTTCAACCCCCCTTCCTTCCTTAGAATTTGATTCCTCCCCTAGGAAAAGATAAAGAATTTCCTCTAATTCACTTCCGTCATCTTCCACAACTTCTTTCCTCATCCTTTCTCGCTCTTCTTCTTCTAGCACGAATTGGAGAACAAGTCGCCATGCAATCTTTTCAATAAGATCAGCTTGCATCTCCTCACTCATGTCCGCCTCTTCAGCACCCGGTGTGGGATGCGAAAAGGTGTGGTCGGCTACAACATGACATTGATGATCATGATCATCACAGGAGCTCTTCGTGACAAACTCTGTATGCTCCACAACATCCTCATGATTGACTTATTCTTCCTCCTTCTCCGTTTGTATTGTAGCATAAAGGTTGTCTTGAGAAAACTGTGCACAAGCTTTCTCAATGACCTCTATGTGCTTCTTTATGCTCCGAAGGGTCTCCTCTGTTTCACAGGGAAAGGAGAAGTTAGTTTGGACAATAGCCTAGATATGAGGATCCATCTCAGGAAAGGATCTCTCAGGTACTCGAGTAATATGCTCCACGAGAAGCCTTAAGTGATAGTTTGGATCTGGCTGTGGAGTGTAGCATGGCTCTGGCGAATGGCCCGTGAAGGCTGTGGCTAACTCAAGATCTGATGGCCATTCTGTTTGTGGGAGAAATTCTTCTTGATAAGGAGATTGTTCTTGAAATGCCCAGGGGTTTGATTGTTCTTCGTAGTAGAGGGGTTGGTACTAAAACCCGACTCCATAGTCTTCTTCTTGTTGGTTGCTCCAGGAAGTCTTGGGGTAATACCACTCGGGTGGTGGTGGATACCCCCCAATGATTGGAAAAGCCATGAGAATCCATGTTTCAGATCTGCACCAACAAAATCAAAACACCCAAGTGAAAAGCAAGGGTGGAAAAGAAAAGAAGAATGCTCAAGTAACAAACTTCTGCCTTTTCTAATAATCTAGAAAGTCCCCGGCAATGGCGCCAAAAACTTGACACGCTACGACACAACACCAAACTATGGCTAAGTGTAACCAATGAAAGGGACTGCAGTATAGTGGTGCAAGTAATAAATATCGAATCCTCGGGTCTCTAGATGTACTATTACTCAGCTTCAGTTCATTATCTAGCAAATCAGATTAAGGATTGATTAACTAAACTACTCTACTAACTAAACTAAGTAAAACTACTAATTATAGTTTGGGAACTCACTTAGGTATGATTCCCCTTAGCTCCTCAATTAGGTCCAAGTTGTAATTCCTTTTGGTTGTTTTAATGTTGATTAAACTCTGGAAGATCCTAAATTAGCTTGGAATCTCTTAAGTTGACCAAGCCCTCTTAGACAGAATACCCTGCAGGCAACTAGCCTTCATCGGGATAGACTGCTAAGGCGATTCACAGAGATATCCACTACTTGAATGAATTCCAGTACAAAGCAGTGAATTGACTGACTCTCGCACAACCAATTCACTGCTATCAATCAAGGAAGCTCTCTTAACCTAATCAGATTCTATCTATCAAAGGTTAAAGCATAAATCAAGGGAATTTGATCAGGATTCAATTGACTCAATAAATCATGCCTCAATCGATTATAATCACACAATATAGCATCCAAAACTCCATACAAGAAAGATCCTAACATATGGAACTAGGGTTCCTCAAAACCTAAGTGAAGGGAAGTTACTCCGTAGAGAAGAGAGAGACTGCAGAAATCTGATCTAGATCTTCAATCTCCATCTCCAAGCTTGATTCTCGAGCTCCAATGGTGAAGAAATCCTCCAAAATAGCTCCAAGATTGGCTCTAGATCACCCTCTCTCTCTCTCTCTCTCTCATTAATTCGTCCCTTGGGTGTTTGGGATCCAAAACCCAGCTCCCCCTCTCCAAAAATCACAAAACAGCTTTTATACCAGCTGAAACTCGCACCCCCTACTTGCACGGTCGTGCAAATTGAGGTTTTGGCCGTGCAAACCCCCTGGGAAACCCACACGGTCGTGCACAATTTCCAGCATGCACTCCTAAGCTTCATTGATCTTGTTTAACCTCCAATTCAAGTGCCGTTTGATCCCAGATGCTCGTGGTCTTGTCCTCTTTCTTTTCGTAAAAAGCTTTCATGATTATTTGTCAATAAAGTTAGGTATAAATCCATTCTTTCTCAAGTCATTCCCGAGTTTCTCACCCCGAGTCGCCAATTGATCTCCTATTGACTTGAAACTTGCGCCTAGGCTTCACTTTACATGCTAGGACCTGAAATATGACAAAGGAACACAAACTAGCGTAAAATAGTCCAAGAAATCAAAAACACAAGCCAAAATGATCAAGAAATGAGGGTGCAAACATGTGGAAATACGACGTTATCACATTGCCACATCTCCCGCCAGCGGAATGTATTATACCCCAGAAGGAGGGGCAAAACAAAAGCAGCAACTAATTCAATAATTTAACGGGCTCAAACTGAACCACCATTGTTAGGAGAAGGCTGGTTCAGCTCCTCGCCAGCATTGACAGCCGGGACCTCAAGTTCCTCGGAGTTGATATCGTTGTCACCCCATAACTCAATAGCGTCCCTAACCGCATTTCGGTCCCAATCCGCACTGGGACACTCGCGGCGGAACCAATGGCAAATGGAGGCCACAGTATCCCTCAGCAACTTGCTGTATTTGGCCTCATCGGCCGCCTTAAATTCTTCTGACTCCATTGCGGCCATGCTAGACTCCAGCTCCTTCACCTTGTCGAGTAGCAGCTTCTCCCGCTTGGTAGCCTCCGACGCTCCTCTTTTGACGCGCCTCAAGTCCTTCTTCTCTTTCACCAGGTTGCTCTTTGCGGTCGTCAGCTCCGCATCCTTGGCATGAAAGGCGGCCTCCTGCTCCTTGAGAATTTCATTGCGCAACTCCTGCCGAAATCCCTCGTGCCCCTCTTTCAGCTGATCCTCCAGCTTTAAGATCAAGGTATCGCGGTCATCCAGGTCGCTTTGCAGCCAGTCATTGTGAAGCATCAGCTGATTGATCCCAAACTGAGCCTAAGTATTCAAACCTAGATAAGCGGTTAGTAAGAAGACAGATAAACAAACCAAGTACATAGTCAGCATATGCATCGCGAAGAAGCACCGCGCGGCCGCCCCAGCAAGATGGCGAGTATCGCAAGTCAGCACAGGAGTGCCAACAACGCGGGTATACTTGCTGGGAACCGCGAACCCTTCAGAGATAACGTGCATGGCACGTTTATCAGCTCAGCAGAAGAAGTCACATGCGGGAAGTAAGCGGCGCTTGACGAAAGTTATGTTGTCTTCTGCCTTTTCTAGCTGGAGTATGCAGCAAGTGGGTCATAGCGCGGCTTCTCGATCAGGATGCCCTTCATCTTTTGTCGCTCTGCCTGTGGCTTCCTTTCCGTCGCTTAGCTGCATCCTGGCATCCAGAGGTCGCTTAGCTGCACCCCGGCCAGCTCCTTGACTAGTGGGGACGGTCAACTTAAGCAGCCCCAAGTGCCTCAAGGCTATCTGAGACTGGGTAGAACCGCCAGTAGTACGCAGCCCCTTCGAACCACTTAGTGCTAAAGCAGCCGCAGACTGTGAACCGCTCGCGCCTATCTTAGGCGAGCTCGCTGTGGACGCATACCACCGGATGTCTACAAAGTAAACCCATAAGTAGATGACATAAGAAATCGCCATCCTATTAAAACTAAAGAAGAATAACTAACCGTGGAAACGCCGAACAATCTCAAGGGCGTTATCATGGCCATGCGGTGGTAATCGAAATGGACGGTTGACATAATGCGCTTCAAATGGGGCTTAAAGTGGCGAAGCTCTTTGATACCAGCATCCCAGTCATCTTTGTTCCCAATCACGTACCCAGTCAGCGGCTCATCATCGCCTGAATACCACTTCCCAGTTGGGCGGGCAAAAAAGTATATTGTGTACCAAGGGGAGTCTAGCTTGGGCGACCCGCAGACAAACCCTACGCGCCTCTCACGCCTGCGGCAAGACCATCAATTCTTGGAACCTCTCATGGTATACATAAGGCATAAAGCATCAATGGAGGGCTCCTCTTTCACCCAGTTGCAAGCCGCTCGGTAGCAGAGGGAATGAAAGATGATGGATGGAGAGAGGCAGCTCAAGGAGCAGTTAAGATGAGACAAAATTTGGGTCAAAAGCAGGTCAAAGGGGAATTCCAAACCTAACCGCACATGTTCCACGAAGATAGTGATCCACCCAACCGGGCACCACCCACAACGACGAGCGGAGGAAGGAGCGGCGTGCTCCTAGTCAGTAGGCAGCTGGTGCCTCTTCAGCTGCTTGAGCACTTGGACAGGGGAGTACGCGGGATCGTATGGCGGTCAGTATTCGTACACGACGTCAGGAACCTCCTCACCTTCCCACATATCCTCATGAAGGCGCACACGGTACGTCTCATCCGCAATCGCCTGAAATGGGTGGACACGAGGTGCTTCCGACAGCGCTAGAGATGGAGAGTTTGCAACAGAATCCTCCGCGCATATGTCGTCGGGATCACCTCTGGGAGCGCTCCCCAACGACAATTCTACCAGAGGCGCTCTTGTAGTCTAATCTGAATTTTTGTGGCAGTATAGACTGGTTTGGTCTTTGTCTCGTGGCGGTATAGCCTGTTTGATCATGTGTGTCATGGCGAAAAGGTCAAAGGATATTTGAAAGCTAACTTGATGACGAGTGGCATAGAGTTGTCTGCTTGATATGAGTTACTGAATCAATTTGTTGAGTCTAGCTAGATCTTAGGTATGTGTCAAACTTGATTTGGTAAAGATTGTCTAACCTTCGTATTGGTGGGCAAATGCAAGATGTTATATGATGTGATATATGTTGATGAAAATCTAGTTTAAGTGAATTTTTAGAATGATTTGAATTCATGAGATTAGCCATCTAATGCATGATGTTGTATGTTTAGTTTGAAGTGCATTTGAAAGATTTATTGTATGAAGAGTCATATGATGATGTCTTGAAGAGTATGCGTATGAAAGAGTATGATTGATCCTCATGGTTTATCTATTTTATGTCGAGGATGATCTTAAATCGATCATCCACAAGGAACTATGCCAATGGGTTCATTCTTCCTTTGACATGTCATTATCTCGTGGTAATAGACTTGTCATCTAGCATTTTGTCTTTGTCTGCTCAGTGAGCTCAATGTATGTCATATCTGGAGACTGATGGAAGAATGGTCCCGTGTTTTCTCCAACTTGGACACTGGTGCTTGAGTGGCTGATGTGTTAGCCATATGATCCTCAATATATATGCGTGGTGAATTGGTTGTGTAGAAGGATTTTGTAGCATGGTGGTTTGAGGATATGTGCTCCCTTAGCTTGATTGATATTCTTGCTATGAGAGTATGTCGTGCTTGGCTTAGAGGAATTTGTCATCTCGAGGTATTGTCTTGTTGATGTTGATTTTCTAAAGATGTTTGATTGACCTTGTCGAGAGGTATGAAGTAACAAAATACTTCGTTGGAGGATAGCTTCAGTAACCCGTTGGTTCAATGAATTCGGGGTATCCTGAGATATTTTTGGGGCAGGATATTTGGGTAGTTTGCTTTGTGAGGGTTTGAAATTCTTCATCATCTAGGATACATCATTGTTGTTGGACACTTTATGTCCTGCTGGTACCAACTCTGAGTTTTGTGGTTGGCCAGTCTAGGGTACGACACACCTAGTCTTGTGTTGTGTATTTCATTTGGTATTCATGGTACAAACGAGCTTGTTCTTATAGTCAGGTCGCTCAATGATATTTTAACTGACTGGTTGGGTAGCTTGAACAGGGTGATTCAAGATCTTTGACATTTCCTGTTTACTCATGATTTGAAGAGTTGGGACATCCACTTTCTTCTTTCTTATTGGGTAGCACCAGTTTGCCCCCGAGAATATGTCATTTGCATTCAGGTTTTCGGAACAAAGTGTGACTTTCACCAATCTTGAATTAGGATGAATGCAAACAATGTTTGAAAAATCTCATTTGAGGAAGTATGATGGGAACTTGATTTTGGAAATCGAAGCCTTGTATGAGGGAAGTGGGCGCAACTTGAATAACAAGATTTTTGTGTGGTTAATGTAGAATCAGAGAGAAAGGAAAAATTGTGCTTTTATTGATTTCGAAAGATTACACACCGCATAAAACAAGAACCCTAGCCAAGCCAAGAAGCTTGGCTCTTTGAAAGAAAGAAACACAACACTCAAATCCTCACTTCCCAAGAATCAATCACCCGGTTTACACACCCTATGATTGATCTACTGAAGTTAGATCAAGAAAGGACCCATGACGAACAAAGCAGATTCCCCAATCTCACTTTCACTCGACAGTCACACAACAAATGACTCAATTGACTTCTATTTATAGACGCGATCACAAAGTGACCGTTTGAATAGCAGACTGGTTCCCTATATTGTAGTGTCCATCATTGCAAGGAGTAGAGGTGATGGTCGGCGACCTGGATTCTGGTGTGGGGAGCGGAGGTCTGAGAAATGAAAGGCTTGAGAAAGAATGAATACTTGCGAAGGACGATACTTGGCTTGATGATGCGGCACCGTTCTGGCCATGATATATGGAGCGACACAGCGACACCGTCTTGGTGAGTAGAAACCTTCAAGCCCCATGCATCAATTTCCCCCTTCGTCCGAGAAGTGTGAAGATTCCTGCAAAAAGAGAAAGAAACCCAGCAGAGAACGATTCCGAAAACAAACACAGTTGCATTCAATGAAATAGCATGGGTACAGTAAGAGCATCTGGGGGATTAGAGCTTTACAAAAGACCGGGAAGGATCTTCCCCCTAAGCAAAAGCACCTAAACTACTATAGCTCAAGTCCCCCTTAACAAAAGAACCATCCTTAAGACAGGACAGGAGAAACAAAATATGCTCTACTACCTAACTAAAACAAGAGGAAAGAAGATTAGGAGGGAGGAGCAGACGCAGCAGAGTCATCAGAGGAAGAGCTCCCTTCAGAAATAGTGAACACAAGGTCACCAGGTTTGCTGGCTTCACCAGCAGACTTTGCCTTCTTGACAGAGGAAGTTTAGGAGGGGGACCAAGAAGAGAGGTTGAAGGACGAGGAGGAGGAGGAATGTCTGTTGGAAGATCAAGTACCATGAGCACATTGGGTGCACTAACAAACATGATGGAGGAGACACTTCGGAATTCAGATAGATCAACACCTAGGTTGATTAGTAATTTGGTTATGATGGAGGCAAAAGGTAGGAGCCCCTTATAGTGTTCATCAGCCACAGGGAGGAGCTGGCCGAACATAACACTTGCGAAATCAAGCTTTCGCCTTGCTGTTGCACTTGAGATAATCCATAGATCCATATGAAGAACTCGATCTTGATTGAAGGACCGAGGGAAGAAGACATGAGTAAGGAAATAGTGAAAGATTCGCAGCCGAGGAGGAAACCAGGCAGCAGGGATTGGTACGTCAGATCCACCAGTTGGCTCGATGGAGAAGTTGTTATACTCTACTTCAATCTTGAATTCGTGCTTCCAGAATTCATAAGGATGAGCTATTCCAAGCCCTTGAGAAGGAAACCCGAGTATGCCGTTGAGAGCATCGACTGGTATGGTCAGCAGGTGACCATAAACCAGTGTAGTGAAGCTCCTAGAGCTTATTCCCTGACTTTGCAGATTCGAGAAGAAGTATTTCACAGCTCCAGGACATGCAGGGTGAAGGGGTTGTCGGAGGAGAAAATCCCACCCAAGTCCTTCGATAAGAGAAACAAAGTCATACTTGTAGACATTGAATTCGTAAGGATCAAGCTGAGTAATGTGATGGATCCTCCTTTTGTCGAAATGTTGAAGATACCGATGATGATTCAGCACCATTGGCTCATGGAACATATATCCAGAGAAGGTGTGAACCAGACCATCGAATCGAAAGGGGCGAGGAAGGCAATCACTCATGTTTGGAAATGCTCAAAAGCTTTCGAAGTTTTGGTTGGTGTTTTAGAGCTACTGGAATAGTGAGGAGGGTAAGACCAGAAGTACTCCTTATATAGGCAGAACACGTCAGGTAAAGGAGAAGAGGAAGAGTCTCTCTTAGAATAAAGGGAAGGCAAAAAGTGTAATGATTAGTTTGTAGCATGCATGGCGTTGTCTTGGAACAACGCAAGCATGAGCCGAAAAGAAAGGTTTATGAATTACCCGAGACACGCAAAATGCCTAGAGCAAAAAGGGCCCAATGAGTCTTTAGTTTGTAAGATTTTTAATCTGAGTAGAAGATTTGAGCCCAATCTCAGTGCAAAGTTGAAGGAAAGGTTCACTGGATAAGGGTTTTGTGAATAAATCAGCTAACTGTGACTCGGTAGAAACGAATTGTAAGCAAATATGACCTGCTTGTACTAGGTCTCTAATAAAATGATATTTTATCTCAATGTGTTTTGTCCTAGAGTGTTAAACAGGGTTCTTTGTCATGCAAATTGCACTAGTGTTGTCACAACACACCTGAATATTGCTTAATTTAAAGCCATAATCTGAAAGCTGTGCTTTTATCCACATAATCTGAGCACAGCAGCTTCCAGCTGCCATATACTCAGCTTCTGCGGTTGAGAGTGCAACTGCCCCTGCTTTTTACTAAACCACGAGACTAAAGCAGGTCCTAGGAACTGTACAGTTCCTGAGGTGCTTTTTCTATCTACCAGACTTCCCCCAAAATCTGAATCACTATAGCCTATTAATTCGAATGAATCAGAAATTGGATACCACAAACCCACATTTGTTGTTCCTTTGAGATATCTGAAAATTTGTTTTACTACTTTGAGGTGACTTTCTTTAGGATTTGATTGAACTCTAGCACACAATCCGACCCTAAACTGAATATCTGGTCTACTAGCTGTTAAATAAAGAAGAGAACCAATCATACCTCGGTATTTCTTTTCACATACTGCTGTTCCTCCTTCGTCTTTGTCTAGCTTTAGGTTTGTGGCCATTGGAGTCAAACTTTCATTCACAGAGTTCATATCAAATTTCTTAAGCATAGCTTCAATGTAACTTGACTGATTAATGAAAATTCCAGACTTAGTTTGCTTGATTTGTAAGCCTAGAAAATGGGATAATTCTTCCATCATGCTCATTTCAAATTCTGATTTCATACTTTCACAAAACTTTGTGCACATGGAGGGGTTTGTTGCACCAAACACTATGTCGTCAACATATATTTGCACTATTAGAGTATCTGAGTCTTCTCTTTTAATGAACAAGGTTTTGTCAACATTTCCTTGACAGAAACCTTCATTTTTCAAGAATGTGGACAATTTTTCATACAATGCCCTAGGTGCTTGTTTTAGTCCATATAAGGCCTTTGATAATTTGTACACATGGTTTGGATTTTTATGATCAATGAAACTAGGAGGTTGACTAACATACACTTCTTCTTTTATTTCTCCATTTAAAAAGGCACTTTTTACATCCATCTGGTATAGAGGAATTTTCATATAACATGCATATGCACAGAGCATTCTAATGGATTCAATTCGTGCAACAGGTGCAAAAGATTCTTCAAAGTCAATTCCTTCTTCCTGTAGGTAACCTTGTGCTACTAGTCTGGCTTTTTTTCAACTACTGTACCTTCTTCATCAGTTTTATTTCTGAAAACCCATTTTGTTCCTATGATTAAACAATCTATTGGACGTGGAACAAGTTCCCACACATGCAATCTAGCAAATTGAAGTAGTTCTTCTTGCATAGCGTTCAGCCATTCATCATCAGTGAGGGCTTCTTTATAATTCCTAGGTTCTAGTAGAGAGATAAGAGCATACTGACCTGGTTGATACTTACCTCTGGTGTGGATACCATCCTTGAGTTGACCAATGATATGAGATGGAGGATGTCGTTTTTGAATGTGTGCAGGGGCCTCCTTTTCTTCTTCTAATTCAGTCATTGGTTCACACTTGCTAGTATAATGTTCTTCAGGAGCTTCTATTCCTCCCGAGTTTGTTTCTTCAGTAGAAACAGGAAACCAGAAATCTATGCTTTCGGCAGAACCCTTGTTAGTCCCCATTGTTTCATCAAATTTTACAAACACAGACTCCTCAACTCTTTTGGTTCTATGATTATACACTCTATATGCTTGACCTTTGGTTGAATATCCAAGAAATGTAGCTTGATCTGACTTAGCATCGAATTTTGAGAGATGATCCTTTGTATTTAGAATGAAACATTTACAACCAAATGGATGAAAGTAACTTACATTTGGTGTCTTTTGCTTTAAGATTTCATATGGAGTCTTATTTATGGTTTTTCGAATAAGTACCCTGTTGATTACATAAACTGCCGTCATTACAGCTTCTCCCCAGAACATTTTAGGTGTCCCATATTCCAACAGCATTGTTCTAGCAGTTTCGATTATGGTTCTATTTTTTCTCTCTACTACACCATTTTGTTGTGGTGTTCTAGGTGCTGAAAATGTGTGGTTAATACCTCTTTCATCACATAGCTCTCTAAACTGATCTGATATAAATTCTCCTCCATTGTCACTTCGAATGGATTTGATTCCTATCTCAGACTCATTCAGTATACGATTTACAAACATCCCGAAGCAACTAAAAGCTTCATCTTTTGATGCAAGTAGATAGACCCATGTATACCTAGAGAAATCATCAACTAACACGAAACCATAGGATTTTCCACCAAGACTAGTTACGTGAGTTAGTCCAAATAAATCCATATGAATGAGTTCATAAGGGGCAGAGGTAGTTATGTCCTTTTTGGACTTAAAGCTTTTCTTAGCTAACTTACCTCCAACACAAGCATCGCAGAAGAACTTGAAATTTCCTTTTAAAGTAGGTATTCCCCTAGCAGACTTCATTTTGGACAGCTTGGACAGTTTGGGCAAGGACACGTGTCCTAATTTTCTATGCCAAAGCATTTCAGTATCACACATGCTGGTTTGAAAACATGTCTCATTAAAGGTCTTTAGACAATTCAGATTTACAACGTACATATTGTTTTTCTTGGTTCCACTGAATAGCAGTTTATTGTCTCTTATTCTGATGATTTGGCATGTTTCTGATTCAAATATTACTCTATTTTCATTTGAACATAATTGACTGATAGAGAGAAGATTGTGTTTTAAGCCATTAACAAATAACACATCAATGATGGTGGGGAGAGGATTCTTACCAATAGTTCCACTTCCCATTATTAATCCAACTCGATCATCTCCAAACACTACCTTACCCCCTTTTTTATATTTTAAAGAAGAAAACAATTCCTTTTTACCTGTCATGTGGCGGGAGCAACCACTGTCCAGAAACCAGATGTTCTCATTTTCTCCCAAACACTGCAATCAATCACAGGTTAGTACATTTTGGTACCCAAAATGTTTTGGTTGTACCAGGTTTCCTCAGATCTTGTAAATCATAACAGAATTTTTCCAAGTGGCCCCTTCTTTTGCAGTAAGTACATGTATAGATGATAGGGTATTTTCGGTTAGAAAAATATTTTTGAGAAGAACTATTTGGAGTTTGTTTTGTTCTGAATATATTAGACTTCTGTAGTCCTGATTTTGCTTTAAGTTGTTTATTTAGTCGCTGATTTTCATCTGTGAGTTCAAATATTAGCTTATTCAACCTTCTATGTTCTTCATTTTGGCACTTAATTGACTTATTTAGACTAAGTATATCCCTTTTTAATCGCTGATTTTCAGTCATGAGTAGACAATACTTGCTCTTAAGTCTTTTACATTCTTCTTGTAAGTTTGGTAGAGCATTAAGAAAGTCAGTTTTTGACTCTAAAACAGTGTCTTCATTATTGTTTTCATCTGATTCAGAATCAATGATTACCTGATAGCATGAAGGTGTTAACTGATCATTGCTGCTTGAGGATTGATAACTATGTTCACTGTTGGTTGCAAACGCCATGTAGGCTAAGTCTTTTATCTCATGCTCCTCTTCCGAGCTGAGGTCACTCCAAGATGCAGCCAGTGCCTTCTCCTTAGCTTTGCTTCCTGTAGGACACTTTGATCTGATATGCCCTGTCTTACCACACTTATAGCAAACAGTTAGATCTTTTTCATTGGAAGACATGTGGTCTTCCTTATCAATTTTGAACCTTTCTCGACCATCAGACGATCTATCATATGACCTCGGAGTGCTCTTATCTAGGTATGGTCTATATGATACATATCTTTTGTTTGTTTTGGTAGGAGTTCTCTCAATTTCTTCCCTGTCCTTTCTAGGTTCAGGGAACTGACTATTAAAATGTCTGGAATCACGATATGCTCTCTTTGCTTTGAAGTCCTTTTTCATTTTAAGCATTCGATGAAACTTCCTACTTACAAGAGCAAATTCCTTTTCAAATTCCTCTCCCATATCTGCATCAGAATCACTATCATATTCTTGATCCTTGAATGCAATAACTTTCCTTCGTCTATGATCATCTCTATTCATTTGTATTATCACTTCTTCATGGCTAAGTAAAGATCCAACAAGCCTCTCAATAGATAATGTGTTCAAATCTTTAGCCTCTTCAATAGCAGTTCGCTTAGGTAACCATTCCCTGGGTAGACACCTTAAGATTTTGCGAACTAAATCCTTTGTTTCAAACAGTTTTCCTAGACCTTTTAATCTATTGATCAGATCATTAAACCGTTTGTACATGCTAGATATTGATTCTCCTGAGCTCATTTCGAATGATTCATATTCATTTAGCAGGACATCAATTCTACTTTCTTTTACTTCAGACGTACCTTCATGGGTTGTCTGAAGAGACTCCCAACTCTCTCTGGCTGACTCACATTGCGCAACCTAACTCCGTTCCTCAGGGCAAATTGCTGAAAACAGTAGGTGCATAGCTCGTGAATCCAGCTGAGATGATATCTTCTGTTCTTCTTTCCACTCTTCTTCATCTTCCTCATCCATAGGGATAGGTCCTTTTCGTACAACTGCCCATAGCTCCCCATCAACTCCGCGAAGATAGATCCTCATTCTCTTTTTCCAGACTGTGTAGTCTGTTCCATCGAAACATGGCGGATTCGTATTTGCAGAATAGGAGACTGCAGCTGACGAGGATCCTGACATTATAAACAGTACTCTTTGGCGATGATTAATCCTTCAAAGAGCAGGCTCTGATACCAATTGTAGAATCAAAGTGAAAGGAAAAATTGTGCTTTTATTGATTTCGAAAGATTAGACACTGCATAAAACAAGAACCCTAGCCAAGCCAAGAAGCTTGGCTCTTTGAAAGAAAGAAACACAACACTCAAATCCTCACTTCCCAAGAATCAATCACCAGGTTTACACACCCTATGATTGATCTACTGAAGTTCGATCAAGAAAGGACCCGTGACGAACAAAGCAGATTCCCCAATCTCACTTTCACTCGACAGTCACACAACAAATGACTCAATTGACTTCTATTTATAGACGCGATCACAAAGTGACCATTTAAATAGCAGAACCGTTCCCTATATTGTAGTGTCCATCATTGCAAGGAGTAGAGGTGATGGTCGGCGACCTGGATTCTGGTGTGGGGAGCGGAGGTCAGAGAAATGAAATGCTCGAGAAAGAATGAACACTTGCGAAGGACGATACTTGGCTTGATGATGCGGCACCGTTCTGGCCATGATATATGGAGCGACACAGCGACACCGTTTTGGTGAGTAGAAACCTTCAAGCCCCATGCAACAGTTAATGCCACATTGTTTAAAACTTTGTTTTGTATAAGCCAAGCCATGAGAATATCCATAAGCCCTCACTTTGATTATCACGCTCATGCTCAATTTTGCTCTCACTCATTCCTATGGGTGCTTTGAGTTTACGACATTTCAGCTACTATTAAGATTCTTGTCACCGTGTTGATGGAGAAAATGTGTTCGATATATAGGTTTGCTGATCATGGAGAGTTCGAGCAATCTTTGTATTGTCCAGTGGTAAAAGTTTTTGAAGTTTTCTGAAAAAAGCTTGTTTTTGGTATGACTCCAATAGTAAGAGTTCTCGTGTTTTGGAATCTGAATTTCCCCACGATGATGGATAAATGAGACCTTCATCCATGAGGATCTAGCTTGGCCCCCAAAGTATGAGGCTGACTCATGGATAAAGGAGGTCTTTGTGTGATGCAAACTTCAACTGCTTATTGGTGACACGCTAAAACACAACACCAAATTGCGACCAAGTGTAATCGCAGTCCGGAAATGCAGAATAGTGGCAAGTTCTATTTATCAACCCAGGGACTAGATCTACTGCCTACTCCGTGATGATCTATTATCTAGCAGACTAAGTTGAGCGATTGTGATTTTAAGCAAAAGCAGTAAGAAAGCAGGAAATGGTTCGAAGTTCTTAAGAAGGGGAAAAGTCACTCGAGAATGAGTCCCCCCTATCTCCTTAGTTAGGTCAAAGTTGTAATTACCTTTGGTTGATTTACTGTTGATTAAACTACGGAAGATTCGACAGTACCTTGGAATCTCTTAAGCTGACCAAGTCCTCTCAGATAGACTAACCAGCAGGCGACTAGCCTTTACCGGGATAGACTGTTGAGGCAATAAACATAGAACTCCACTACTAGAATTGGATTCCAGTACAAAGCAGTAAATCGATTAACTCTCGTATAACCAATCTACTACTACTGATTGATGAAGCTTTAACAATCTGATCAGATTCTATCTATCTCAGGTTGCAGCAGAAATCAAGGAAAGTTGATCAGACTTCAATTGACTCAATGAATCATGCATCAATCGATTATAATCAAGCAACATATCAATCCAAAGTCATTACAATCAAGATTCCTAACGCATGGAACTAGGGTTCTTCATACCCAAGTGAGAGAAGGTTCTACTCCCTAGAGAGAGAGAGGAAAACAAAAATCAGAGTAGTCATACTCATAATGATGGGAAGAATCTGCTCTGGGATGATAATCTTCACTCCAATGATGAAATCCAAGCTTGATTGATGAAACCCAGCTCCAAAATCACATCTAGGGTGTGTTCTTCGCACTTTCTCTCTCTAGGACTCTGTTTCTAGCTCTGAAAACCGATTCACCCTTCAAATTTGGGTAAAAAACCCAGTTCTGCCTGATCATACGGCCGTGTGAAATTTAGGTCTGCCCGTATGGCTCTCCAAAACACTGCGTTCGACTTAGTGACTCCAGGTACGCTACACTGCCAAAACCACACTGCCGTGTAGAATTTAGGCATGCCCGTGTGAACTCCCTAGAAATCTCACACGGTCAAAAAAGGCCCTTACACGGCCAGTGTGGCTTTGCCCGCGCAAAGGGGTTCCACACGGCCAAGTCACACGGCCGTGTGGAATTTAGGTTTGCCCAACGGAATTTCCAGCTTTTCGTCAATCGTCTCAACTTCGTCCAATCGGCCCTGAACTCATTCCCAAACCTTCCTTCACGTACTAGGACCTGAAATATCACAAACACGAACAACCTAGCATGAAATCAACCTAAAACACGAGAGATGAGACTCAAACGGTATAGGAATGGTGGACAAAAACATGTGTATATATCACCCCGTCAAATTTTTCCCAGATTGAAAGTTTAGGACTAGAAGTCAAGTGAACTCATAACCTGTTAGCAAAATAAATTGCTACCTTATTTACGATACTGACATGCTTCTTTAATGTCATAAGCTAGAAAAAAACACTCCAGATGTTAGGGCTCCGATAGAAGAATGATTTCTTTGGCTTGATCAGACACTCCACTGAGATAAGGGTCAGCCCAAAAATAGTGATTGAGATCCGAAAAGAATTTGGTCCTATCGACCCAAGTCATGTCCTCTGGGAGTCTCTCTATGGCCAAATAGTTTTTCACATCGGCAAACCATTGGGGGGGGGGGGGGGGGTGATCATATCGTGCTTGAACAATGTAGTCTTTCATCAGGGAATGAATCAATCTCTCTTCTTGAATCATTTCTAACTTCAATAACTTCCAATCTAGAAAGATGATCTGCAGCGAGGTTTTCTGCTCCTCTTTTGTCTATAATCTCAATATCAAATTCTTGGAGCAAGAGCACCCATCGGATAAGCCGTGGTTTTGCATCGGCTTTTGTCATAAAATAACAAAGGACAGAGTGGTTGGTGTACACAAAGACCTTTGAGAGAACCAAATAAGGTCGGAATTTGTCGAATGCGAAAACCACTGCTAGAAGCTCCTATCTGTAGTTGTGTAATTCTCTTGAGCATCGTTTAATGTTATATCCTAGCTTGAGAAGTTTCAGTCAAACACCAAAAGTTTAAGACCAAGTAATTATCTTTCCAACTCCGAATTTCGGGGACGATATTTTTGTAAGGGTAGAAGAAATGTAACACCCCGGTATTTTTAGATTTGGGTTCGACCATATTTAATGAGCGGTTAGTTTAACGGTTACGTACTAAGAGTTACAACCGCGGATTAAGAATAATAATAATAAATATTATTATTATTATATTATTCTTATATTATTAAAAACAATACTTTTGTTCGGGCCGAGCGGCCCACTCCACCAACTATTCCCCACTCCCCAAGCATAAACCAAAATCCCCCATCCCCAAATTATTTCCCCAAAGATGAACTCCTCTCCGCAGCGAGCAACCCCCCGCCGCCAGCACTCTCCCTAGCGCGTCCGAGAAAAAAATCAAGAAGTCCACCGTCAACTGTGCCCGACCCTGATCTCGGTCCCATCCCTTTTGTGTTTCTAGCGTTTTCAGCGAGATTTGAGGGTTTGATCATCGATCAACGAGGAGATCTACGTCCCGGGTCATCCAACCTAGTCCTAGGCACGTTCTAGAGGTTTCCCCAAGATAATCCGGCTAAGGAGGGGTTTCGTCGAAGAAGGAATCGAGGAGTCATCTTTTCGAGGTGAGTGTAAAGGGGGTAAAATCTCTGTCGTAGGTCTTTTAGTTTATGCATTTCGTTCAAGTTATTAATTAGTTAATTTTTGAGTAATGCACGATATGTGTGTGAGGCATCCCACCACCTGTAAGGGTGGCGGCATGCGTTGTGCAATGTGTGAATGTATGATTGTAATAGTTGGTTGATGGTAAGATGAACCCCTGGGAGGTTGGGTCACTAGTGGACGGCGAGACGTAACGCAGTGCCATTGCCGAGTTTGGGTATGCAACCCGACGGTGAGACGTAACGCGCTAGGGACACCGTACGGTGATACGTAACACGGTGGTCCCTTGTATTGGTGTTTATGGACTAAGAATATAAGTAAGTAAATTCTAAAGATAAGATAGGAGTAGAGATCTCTTATAGATTGTTTGATAACAAAGTATAAAGGATGAAAGCGAGAACGGCTTTCATCTAAGTCAAGAACCCGAATAATGTGTTCAGCAAGGATTTTCTTAGGGCGAGGACCTTAGGAAGTAACGACGAGACTGACCCCTTCTCACTCACAAGGTGTAGAGAGGGGAAGAGGATGCATCCATCAAAAGGAGGTTACTCGAGGAGAGCAGCCGTGGCAAACCTGAAGATATCAACTGGATCTCGGTAACGAGATGGGACCTCCCATATATATGTCTTTAGTTTCATGTCTTAATGAGTATACTGGGAAACTCAAGAATTGTGTTTTATGTTTTGTTGCTCTGGGTTGCGGTCGCCTAAGTTTTTAGGGCATTTCACTTGAAAATCTTAAACATTGTGGTTGTTGATTTTTGGTAAACCTGTTTTGGGTTGCTTTAGAGTAACTGGTTTGTGGTTTGAGTTATGGTTTAGTTTTCAAAAAGGATCGAGTCGTTTCATTTTGGTATCAGAGTCGACATTCCTCTGTTTATTGGTCTCCAAGGAATACTAGAGTGACGATCTGGGGTTTCAAAGGTTTAGTTTTAAAGGAAAAAAGGGAACTTTCAAGAAACATTGTTGGCCAACCAATTTGAAAAGGTTTATAGAGTCCCCAGTATACTCGAGCATGATAAGCCATTAATTTGAAAAGGTTTGCAGAGCAAGTAACACCAATGTTAACCACGCGGCAGTTAGGCAACCCCCGAATTATGAGGCTTTGTGGAGGCGAGGAGTGGTTGATTTTGATGGGGACCGCTCGAAAGATGCATACTGACAGTATCCCTGCTCCAGGATTCAACATACAATTGGTGGTGCACCCAGCCAGTTAGCCAGGAAGACCCACCAGCTATCACTTGGCCAGAGTTGGTGCGGGTGTTCCGGGACCACTATGTACCAGAGGCATATCGACTAGGCAAAAAGAGGGAATTTTTGCTGATCAAGCAAGGATGGGGCAATGAATGAGAGGACGGTGTGGAAGAGTACACCTCCAGGTTCGAGAACATGCTCCCTACGGGGGACCCTAGTTCCAGGATGTGGCTTCTCAATGCACCCACTATTTGGAGAGTCTGAAGCCTGCCCTTAAGAAGCAGTTGAGCATGCTCGCGTGGAACAGTCGGGAGGAGATTTATCAGGCGGCTCTTCGGATAGAGAGGGCTGAAACAATTGTGCATGAGGAAGGGATACAACGAGAGGGAAGCAAGAGAAAGGCAAGTAGCATGACAGAGTGGTCTGGCCAGCCCACTGAGTACAGAAGGAGACCGAGCGGTATTGTTAGCTTTGGGGGTACTCAGAGTCAGACCGGCTCGGTCCGGCCGGGTCAAACCTTCAGCAACAGAGGTCTCTGCAACCAGTGTGGGTGAGATCACTCAAGGGAGTGTAGGCAGCCCCCCAAGGTCTGCTATAGCTGTAACGAGCCTGGGAATTTCGCTAGAGAATGCCCCTGGAGAGGCGGAAAAGGGATGGCTCGGTCCGAGCAGTCTTTCCGGAGTGGTGGAGTGAGGACTCGCGCAGGACCACGGTTTGGCGGCCAGCCAAACCGCTCTTTCCAGAGCTAGGGAGGACGCACTGGGCACTTCGAACGCACCGATCGGGACAGAGACAAGGGGCCTTCAGCAGGAGGACAACGAGGGTTTTTTCCATGCAAGGAATAGAGGGAGATCGTGGTGACGATGGAGGGGACGAGCAAGCACATTGATGTGATCATGAGAAGAAACGGGGAGACTGTGGAGAAGGAGTATTTGCTTTAAGCACAGACCACTAGTTGGTTGTTTTCTTTGAAAGATGCACTTAATAGGTTTCAGTACTCGGTACCAAACCTATTAAACTAGTACGGACCAAAATTTCGAGGTCGAAATTTTAGTAAGGGGGAGGGAAATGTTATATCCTATCTTGAGAAGTTTTAGTCAAACGCCAAAAGTTTAAGACCAAGTAATTATCTTTCCAATTCCCAATTTCGGGTACGAAATTTTTATAAGGGTGGAGGAAATGTAACACCCTGTATTTAAGATTTCGGTTCGACCATATTTAATGAGCGGTTAGTTTAACGGTTACGTACTAAGAGTTACAGTTGCAGTTAGTTTAACTATTATTATTATATTATTCTTATATTATTAAAAAAATACTTTTTGCTCGGGCTGAGCGGCCCACTCCACCAAATATTCCCCACTCCCCAGCATAAACCAAAATCCCCCATCCCCAAATTATTTCCCCACATAAGAAATCCTCTCCCCAGCGAGCAACCCCCCGCCGCCAGCACTCTCCCTAGCGTGTCTGAGAAAAAAATCGAGAAGCCCGCCGTCACCTGTGCTCGACCCCGATCCCGATCCCATCCCTTTCGTGTTTTTAGCGTTTGCAGAGAGATTTGAGGGTTTGATCATTGATCAATGAGGAGATCAAATTCCCGGGTCATCCAACCTAGTCCTAGGCACGTTCTAGAGGTTTCCCCAAGATAATCCGGCTAAGGAGGGGTTTCGTCAAAGAAGGAATCGAGGAGTCATCTTTTCTAGGTGAGTGTAAAGGGGGTAAAATCTCTATCGTTGTGCTATGTATGAATGTATGATTGTAATAGTTGGTTGATGGTAAGATGAACCCCCGGGCGGTTGGGTCACTACTGGACGGCAAGATGTAACGCAGTAGTTGACAGGCATGAACTGGACGACGAGATGTAACACAGTGCCATTGCCGAGTTTGGGTATGCAACCGGACGGTGAGACGTAACGCGGTGGTCCCTAGTGTTGGTGTCTATGGATTAAGTATAGAAGTAAGGAAATTCTAAAGATAAGATAGGAGTAGAGATTTCTTATAGACTGTTTGATAACAAAGTATAAAGGATGAAAGCGAGAACGACCTTTGTCAAAGTCAAGAACCCGAATAATGTGTTTAGTAAGGAGTTTTTTAGGGTGAAGACCTTAGGAAGTAACGATGAGACTAACCCCTTCTCACTTACCAGGTGCAGAGAGGGGAAGAGGACGCATCCATCAAGAGGAGGTTACTCTAGGAGAGCACCCGCGGCAAACCTGAAGATGTCAACTGGATCTAGGTAACGAGATGGGACCTCCCATATATCTATCTTTAGTTTCATGTCTTAATGAGGAAAATCAAGGATTTTGTTTTATGTTTTGTTGCTCTGGGTTGAGGTCGCCCAAGTGTTTAGGGCATTTCACTTGAAAATCTTAAACATTGTGGTTGTTGATTTTTGGTTTTGACTTGTAAACCTGTTTTGGGTTTTTTGGAGTAACCGGTTTGTGGTTTGAGTTATGGTTTGGTTTTCAAAAAGGATCGGGTCATTTCATTTAATGTCTTACTCGCATAGCAGATAGGGTGACAATGTTTGTCTCTTCGTTGTTCCAAAAATGCACCCACGACGAAGTCACTCGCATAGCACATCAACTCGAAGGGTAATGTTCAATTCGGGGTGACCATAAGTGGTGTAGTGGTCAACCATTTCTTCAATATTTCGAAAGCTTCCTTACACTCATCTTGTAAGAGGTATAGCAATCTTTGAAAAATCTTGTATGAATCTCCTATAGAAACCGGCATGACCGAGGAAGCTCCTGATCCCTTTGATAGAAAATTTCGGCGGCAGCTTGCTAATGGTCTGAACCTTCGCCCTATCTACCTCTATACCCTTATGGGATATTTTGTGGCCAAGCACTATCTCTTCTTGAACCATAAAGTGACATTTCTCCCAGTTGAGCGAGAGATGAGTCTCCTCGCATCGCTCCAAAACTTTCTCCAAATTCTGAAGACAAAGCGCAAAGGAGTCCCCAAACACAGAAAAATCATCCATGAAAACCTCCATTATGTCTCCAACTAACCTATTAAAAATAGCGATAATACAACGTTGCAATGTTGCAAGAGCGTTGCAGAGACCGAAGGGGATCCTATTAAAAATAGCAATAATACAACGTCGACTCTTGGTCTCTAGGGGAAATAGGAATCCGGAAGTAGCCTAAAATTCCATCCAAGAAGCAATAGTAATCATGACCAGCGAGTTGCTCCAATACTTAATCGAGGAATGGGAGTGGGAAATGATCCTTTCTAGTGACCTCGTTGAGATTCTGATAATCAATTCAAACCCACCACCCTATGACCGTTCTTGTAGGAATGAGTTTGTTATTTTCATTCGGGACGACAGTCATTCCCCCTTTCTGGGGGACCACCTAGGTTGGGAACACCCTAGTGCTATCCGAGATAGGTTAGATAATCCATGCATCAAGTGACTTCTTCCAAATATCACAATAAAACTCACAATTAAGTCCAAAGTATAAACCTTAATTGGGTGCAATATAGGTCAAGTGTGTTTAAATATCAACCCGGGCCGGTCCATTCTACTTCGATTGTTTGAAATATTATCTAGCGATTGGTTGTTTATTGAAAACTACAATCTAC